CTTGGAGATTTCGTTCGAAAATATCTGAAATATTTCTTGAAAATCTTAATGACATATTTAGCTTCAATATTTTATGCATATAATAAAAATACGTTTTTTACTTTGCGATTATTATCGGACATTTCATTTGGTATCAAAAAGCCCGAGAAATTTTTATAATATTTTCGTTCCGGTATTTCATTATGGGAGCAAAACGTGCGATTTTGATTTTAAATATTCTTAAATCCTTTATAATGTATTCGGCAGATAATATTTAAAAAATACTTGTATTGAAATGAAACGAAAGGTTTTGTATATCTGATAGAAAGATATTATGAAAACACATGGAGCTAATATTATACAAATATTATAGAGATAATATTCTAAAGTAAACGTTTTGCAAATATTTCAAATGTCTGCTAAATATTAACAAAATGTACGATATTCGTTAAATATATAGAACATATAGGATAAATATTTTGCGCTACTAGGGTTGTTATATTACACTTCGAAAAATAATAATATATAATTATATAAAATATATATTATATAAAAAGGTACATATAAAAAGTACCGGTCATATAAAAAGGTACGAGTATGGCAGCGGTCCGATCATCTTTAACTAAAAATAATTCTTCGTAATTATTGACTTGTATCGTAATTGTTTGTATTTATTAAACTCATTACGCTTGACCTGCTGACATTCTCGCACGTCTTAGCGTCAGGTAGGAACGGAATGGTATCCTAGATAGAAATTCATGATCGTCGGATGTAATCGTAACGTTTTCAGCCTTTTTTTATTGGTTATACTTACGATTCGGCCTACCGAGGATATTTTTAAACAAATGTATACGCATTCGAGCGTTCGAATAAATTCGCGTCGTTGCGATAGAAAGGCACGAATCGATTAAGAGAAATTGTTGAACCTTCGCCAAGGATCGGTCCGATTAACTCAAGCGAGACGCATTACAGCGATAACTTCACGTCGGTGCATCCTGCCGGAAGTTAGCCGGGTGAAAAACGTGTACAGTAGACTACATTAAGTTGATATGAAAGTATGACATATACATAACAAAAAGTCAAAATATTTATAAAACTTTTCTCCAAACTGGGTGCACCGAATTATCTGAAACTTTAACACGTAACACTAGCCGGGTGAATAACGTGTACAGTAGACTACATTAAGGTGATATGAAAGTATGATATATACATAACAAAAAGTCAAAATATTTATAAAACTTTTCTCCAAACTGGGTGCACCGAATTATTTGAAACTTTACCACGTAACATTAGCCGGGTGAAAATCGTGTACAGTAGACTACATTAAGTTGATATGAAAGTATAATATATACATAACAAAAAGCCAAAATATTTATAAAACTTTTCTCCAAACTGGGTGCACCGAATTTATCTGAAACTTTAACACGTAACATTAGCCGGGTGAAAATCGTGTACAGTAGACTACATTAAGTTGATATGAAAGTATAATATATACATAACAAAAGTCAAAATATTTATAAAACTTTTCGCCAAGCTGAGTGCACCGAATTATCTAAAACATTAACACGTGATTACGGAGGCTCTAAGAAATGACGCGCTGCTAATGAAATTTCTTTTTTCGACAAATATTGTATACTTATCTCGAACAAGAACCAAAAAAAGATTTTTTTTTCGAAAAATATAATTTCACGGGCAGCGCGTTCTTCCTTAGGGCCTCCATAATCACTTGTTAAAGTTTTAGATAATTCAGTGCACCCAGTTTGGCGAAAAGTTATATAAATATTTTCACTTTTTGGTATGTATATATCACTCTTTCATTTGACCTTAATATTGCGAAATATCGCTACGCAATTTGGGACGGCTTTAATTCGAAACGACGAAAGGAAGGAGGGGCCTTTTAACATAATTTACGAGGGCACATGGTGATGTTAGACTTTTTAATCATCCACATCCAAATCCAAGTGACGTCACGGGGATTCGTCTAGTCTTTGTGCACGAATTGCGGAATAATTTCGTCGGGCTTGGATTTGCCGGTCTCCGGTTTCTTGACGATATGATTTAACGACAGGACGGAAAGGAACGTTTTTTATCGCCCTTGCGTCACTTAATGCAAATAGGAATTTTTCTCCCAACATACAATCATATCACGTGATCCTTCTTACCCGTGGATTTTTTTAACCCGCAATTCCGTCTCTTCCTATCTCTTGCGTTAAGGCGATGCTTGACTCACTGGACAAATATTTTCATTTCGCGAGAATTCCAATTTTTCCGACGACCTCGGATTTCGTCAAGTTTTAATCATTCCCACGATTGCGCGAAGAATGTCAAGAAATTTTATAAAAATTATGACATTTGTGCAAGAGTTTGCCCTAATTTTTCTAATTTTACAGTAATTTCATTCAAGGAACATCGACGAGATGTAAGCATTTTATGAAACATCGATAATTCTAAAGGGTTTCAAAATAATGTCGAGAAATTTTATAAAATTATAACATTAGTGCAAGAGTTTGCTCTAATTTTTGTAATTTTATGATAATCTTATTCAAGGAATATCGACGAGATGTAAGCATTTTATGAAACATCGATAATTCTAAAGGGTTTAAAAAAAATATCAATGAGTTGAGGTTACTTGAATTTGCACTAATTTTTGTAATCTTACGATAATAATCCCATTCAAGAAGTACCGGCGAGTTGTAAGCTTTTTACAAAAAATCAATAATTTTAAAGGGTTTGAGAAAAACGCCAACAACTTGGTTATTTCGTTGAATTTGTATGTTTTTGATGATCTTTAGCAACAGCGGATTCGTCTTCATCTAGCATTGGTTTCGCCTAATTTGGCGAATGCTGATTATTTATTAATTCGTGAATATCTCTGAATATGAAAAATATGCGAGAGTTCAGTCAAAAAATATAAAATTGCGAATTTAGTTTATTTAACAAGTTAGCTGTTTCCGACGAATATATTCGTCATTAAAATACGCTATTCGAAGAGGTCGCAACAGCTAACTGATCGAAAACATATAAAAAATTCAATTTCGTTTAAAAATTAATTAATAACTCTGAATTCTAGTGAAAAATACAAAATGCGATACACTCTCGAACGCGAATTCTCTCGTCGGATATATTGGGTTGGCAACTAAGTGATTGCGGATTTTTTAATCAGGAAACTCGGTAGAGTTTCGCGCCAAATACATTTAAACGCATGCGCGAACTGCAGTGAATACTTCACGCCATCTATCGGCAAAATCCGCAATCATTTAGTTGCCAACCCAAAACAGTTAGGCCGTGGTTTTTGCAGTTTTTGCAGTTTTTGTTCCCCGCCGATTCCGGTGACACATAACCTGAAAGAAAGCAGAAGTGAATGAAATCGATGACTTTGTCAAGTAATCCGTCAATTCGGTTAATGGATCGAAGGTGACGAACGGTCCCCTCCATTCGCCATTTTGGACTTTGGCATTCGCGCGTGAGGACCGTTACGATTACGTCGAATGCAACAATCATCGCCGTAATTGCTGCAAAATGCGGCAATTGCCAACTCACGGTGCAAAGTTGTCGGCGATTACTCGGGTCAGAAATTTTAAGAGGGCCGGAAGCTTACGAGTAAGTATAGAGAAGAAGAAGAGAAAAGACGACGTATATTTAATTATCGAATAAACAGACGCCTACACATATATAGCAACCCAGGCAACGCTGAACGTCGAATATCCGTAAAGTAATCGTATATAAATGTTTATTGAACGTATGTAAGATATATATATGAACTCTATTTTAGATGCACTCAAAGGCTAGATGTCCGGATATGGTACGTAATATATACATATAGTAGATATCTACAATAGATGGTCTGTAGATATTCATGCGTATTTGTAAAAAAAATTAAATTCATAACACTTTTTGAGGACTTGTTCGGTACAGCTGTGCAGACAAATCAAGAAATAAATAGATATTTGCAGATCAATAGTGAAAAATAATCTTCATCTACAAGAGACATAGATATTTATATATATATCCTTTAGATATTTTTTTAGGTGGATAATAGACGATATACATTTGCTATACCTATAGACCTAATTTAGACTATTAATTCACGTATATTCCACTTCATGGGTTGCCTGGGAAGGTTGAGTAAAAAATATTGGAAATAAAAGCTACTACATATAAGCTTTAGAAATACGTAATTTCAAATAGCTTAAGAAAAAAAAAATAATGACGTTACAAAACCGCGTAAATTGTGTTATAATTTGCCGGTTAAAAAAAATGACTCGCGTAAAAAATCTGCCGCATAAATTGAGGACGGATGTACTAGAATAATAATACGGTTAGAGTTCTAAACGCGGTAAGTTACGTCAGGAACGATGAGAAATTCCCCGTAACTCATAGATAATTTCTCCGAAGTTTTTTTTTATCAAGAAATGTTGCGAATTGAAATTTTTACGACAGAGCGCACGAGAGGTTCCGATTAGCTATAGTCATAGTATATATAATATAATAAAAATCATAAAGTAAATAATGTATTTATGTTACATGTTTATAAATGATTAGAAGTAAATATACCATTGAGATTTCCAATACATATTGTAGATATCGTCAAATGAAATCTACGGGACATCTTAAAAAATCTGTCGCTTGAGATATTTAGCAAAGATTACAAAGAAATATTTATAAATTATTCTATGCTACTAGGGAACGTTCTCATAAATTCTCGATATTCTCGGTAACTCACGGTACGTCTCCCAGGTACTTTCCCTAATTTTACGTTACCGAGAATTTTCGAACTCCAAGTACGGGTGGCGATATCGTTCGAGCCCGACTCGAAACTCCCGCTTCTCCCGGCTCCGCGTCGCGCGATCGTTCCGGCTCCCGATTGGCCGAGCGCCAGCCAATGGGGAGCGCGGAGTCTCCCCCACCATCTTACCGCGGCGCGCGCCGCCCGCCTCGCCGTCCTCGTCGCACTCCCCGCTCGCGCCTTGCGGCGTCTCTCTCGCCGCCGCGCGGAGGTCGCGTGCACTCGGGACGGCGCACGCGCGCCGGCTCGGTTTCGAAGTTCGTCGCCGGCCGAGGGAAACGGGAGTCGGCCGAGCTCGCGCGAGCTGCTGCGCGGTCGCGCGCGATTTACCGGAGATCTCCGCCGAGGGGTCGCGAGTGCGCGAGTCAGCGGGTCGGGCCATGAGCGCCGGCCGGGCCAACGGGGAGAACCGCGCGAGGAATGGCCACGTGCTGGTGTGGGAGCAGCCCGGCCTCGACGAGCCGGACCGGCCGCGCCAGGAACGCAAGGGTGAGTCTCTCGATGGCTTCCGCTTCATTTTCCGATCCTCGACTCGAGGCTTCCGTTCCATTTTCCGAAACCCGACTCGGGATTCCGGAGAAACCAGGGTCCCGCGTCGGCGTCTCGACGCCGCTCGAGCGGGAGACCGAGAGGCCGCACGTGTTAAGGCTCGTGCACATTATAGCCGGGCATCGGAACATTCCGTCTGTAATATGCGATGGTCCATATAAAACCCATGAAATCCATCCCATGCGGATTTTTTAAATGCGATGCGTCTCGGCATAACGCGTGCGAGCCTGTACGCCTCGTTTCCATGCGCGGAATAACTGCGTCTACATCGCACTCTTAAATCGGGGATTTATCGAGTCCGGACCCGGTAAATCCGAATTTAAGGGTCGATCAAAACACCCCGGATCGAATTTGCGTATTTTCAAGCGCTAGGCGCGTTTTCACCTCGTACGAGTTTTCAATGTATTTGGCTCGAAACTCTACCGAGTTTTTTTTATACGATGGAGAGGTGCGATTTAATGGATGCTGGATTTAGAACGATGGAAACGTAGTTATAGTCTTGGAGGTAGCTTATTCCGCGTGCTTTCTGAATGAATGGAAATGAGGCATTATCCAACCACATGGCGCGGCTAGGGGAAGAGAGACGAGGTTGGAACGCCGGCTATCGGGAAGAAGATAAGGGCGATCGCAGCGCCACTCGCCGCCGGATGGCGTACCAATGGAGATTCGAACGTGCAGGGTTGGCTAATTCCCCATTTTTGAGGTTTTTCACGTACGTTACGTAAACCATGCAGTTTACCAGAGAAAATCGTAGGAAAGCTGTAAATTACGTTTCCAATATGAAGAATGCCGCAGATGGACGCTATACGGCTTCTGCTAGGTTATAAACGTCTTTTAGTACATATGTAAACACGGAAATATTTTAAGGAAGAATTAATTAGTTTGACGCTTGCATTAAAAATTGTTTAGAATTTTACGTTTTCAATATGGCGGATTCCACGGATGCACGATATATGTATTCGCGAGGTTAACGTCTTTTAGCACTCATATAAACACGTAAAAATTGTTAAGAAATAATCAATTTGGAGTTTATGTTTAAATTCTTTCGACATAACCCTGTTTAGTATGAAATTTCTAATTGAATTTGCTATTTTCTATTTAAAAAGAGAAGGGCGCTAAATTATGACGTTCTCACCGACAAATGAGCTGGCATCCTACTCAAGCATTAGTACAATTGTAATAATGCTGTACGAAATCAATCTACAACATAATTCTGTAATAATTGAATAATTTCTAAAAGAAACATGACGCTAAGAAGCGTCTAATGACAAATGTCCGCACGATTAAGGTCTTTCGGGTCCCGACATGAAGAAATTAATCTTCCCACGTCGTACGTAATGATGGGTAATCTAATTTAATTCCATTCACCAATTGACCTTGCCCTCTCCATTAGACTTGACTTTTCGCGCCGCAAGTAGAGATCTACCTTCCGGGTGCTGCAACGCGCGAAATTCAAATTTCGAACGCTCGAGCGGAACCGCTTAACTCTTTGAGGCACGGTGGTATTAAAAGTGCCCCACCCTTTTAATTATTTTAATTAATTAATTAAGTATACACGGTGGAACTATTTGAGTCCCACCCTATAACAACAAACTTAATTGAATTATTTTTTTTTACGTTTTTATATCATGTTCCTTTATTAATAAAAATAAACCAACTTTCTTCAATTTAAAAAGAAATAAAATTTCTGTGTAACATGGGCCTTTTTATTTTTTAAATTCCATGCCTCAAAGGGTTAAGGGGGTGCGAAAGTGCCGTGAAAAGATCTGGTTAATGAAACATTTCTACGAACTGAGTGTACCGAATTGTTTCAAACTTTACAATGTGAATATGGAGGGTATAAAGAAGGTCCTGACACCCATGAAATTTGATTTTTAATAAAATATTTTTATAATACCTATAAACAAATTTTTTAACAAGTCAAATTCCATGAGTGTCGGGATCTTTCTTATAGCCTCCATATTCACGTTGTAAACTTTTAAATGATTCGGTACACCCAGTTCGGAGAAAAATTTCATAAACGGGTTTTCTGACGCCACTTTCACATCGCCTTAAGGTGAAGTGAAACCTCCCTCAAATCAGTGGCTCGAATAAGACACTTATTTAAGGGTATTGGACCAAACTGTTCGAAACTTTGACACATGACTCCTGATCATCTAAGAATTGTTCTGACACTTTCAAAATTTGGATTTTTAAAAAACTTTTTAACTTTACCCAGGCGAGAACCAAAATGGCATCGAGCTCGCACATTTCCATCGATATACAAATATTGAAGGCTCCAATGTGAGAAACGAAAGTGTCAGGACAATTGTACAACGATTTATAACATTCTAGTAATCGGAAAACTCGCATTTGAACAGGATAAAGGCAAAAAAAGTGTCTTATGCGCTTCTGTGCTAGAACGATGGGAATACGAGGTCTCGGAGTGAAACTTTAGTTGACACGGAAATCACAGATGGCGCAAGGGGTCCCTCCACAGTCAATTAGGACTTCAGAAACCATGAATTTAGAGGATTTCTGGAGTTTTGCTTCGATCTGTCTATAATTACTGCACGGAAACGACATATGGAATACGCCATTTAGTACAATACCCTATACAATTCGACACAGCTGTTAATATAAATACGAACGTCGGTAACGTAGGTATTTAGAAGAATCTTTTTTACCGATGTCGATCAAATTCCTCGACGTGTTTCACTTGACCTTAATCTGTATTTAAACGTTGCTTTTAGTTTCTTTCCTGCCATACTTTGACAAATGGGCAGTCGTTTCACCGCCAATACCTATAAACTCCCTGAAAAAATGAAAAGAAATAATTATTTACATGTCCTTTATACTCGTGTATCGAGGTCCCGTTGATAAAAGTTCCACGTAGTTTCCTCCCTTTTCTTTTCCTTCGTAAAACTTGAACGAAATCGCAATAATGTTCGGACACTCGTGTCATTTTTGCTATTCGATTCGCAAACTCGACCTGCTGGTCGGTCTGGAATCGCCACGCGGAAAAGCAAACAGCTTTTGCGAGGGGGGAGCGGTGTAGGGGAGGGGAGGGGAGGGGCGACGGCCAATGACGTCACTCCGTCGCGAGGCGGTCACGTGCGCGGCCATTTTCGTGGCCGCCTTCGGCCGGGAATTCCACGCGAGCCTATCTTCGAATTGGTGTATAGTCTGCGGCATTAATGTATCTCAGGGTTGAGTAATTTCGCACTTTCCGAGGTTTTTCACGTATATTACGTAAACCAAATAGTCGTGGAAAATGGTAGAAAATCGCAGATAATGGTAAAAATCGTTGACAATCGTTGAAAGGCGTTACAAATCGTTGAAAATCGTTTAAAATCATTACAAATTGTTACACATCGTTACACATCGTTACACATCGTTAAAATCGTTACTAATCGTTACAAATCGTTACACATCGTTGAAAATCGTTGATAATCAATTAATTACGTTTCCAACATGGAGGCTGCCGCAGATGTACGATATATGGCATCCGTTTGGTTATAAACGTTTCTTTAGCACATATGCAAGCACGTAAATATTTGTAAGGAATACTAAATTAATTTGGCGATTGTATTCAAAATTGTTTAGAAATTTACGTTTCCAATATGGAGGATGCCGCAGATTGGCGATATACCGTTAGGTTATAAACGTCTTTTAGCCCACGTGTAAACGTAAATGTTTTTAAGGAATAATTAATTTGGCGCTTGCGTTCAAAATACTTTCGATGTAGCACCGCTTAATATCGATTTTTCAACTGAATTTGTTTTCTATTTAGAAATAGAAGGACTTAATATATTTCGCGCTGGTATGAAAAACTAGAGACGTATTATACGTTTTATTATACATGTAGAGATCTAGGTGCGTTACATGAAGTATTATACGTTGTAATATACATGTAGAGAACCATGTGTATTATTGGGTTGGCTCATAATTTTTTGCGGTTTTTTATGTTTAAAACAAAAATTAACATAACAATTAGTCAATGATATTGGCGCAATTATGAATCTAAAAAAAAAACGCACGAAATTATGAGACAACCCAACACATGACATCTCGTACTCGTACATACTCAACCCTGCCAGCGACTGAGTCAGAGTTCGAGGCCGGTCGGCGGCGCTCGGTCGAGGTCGGCCAATGTCGGCCGTGCTCGGCTGTTTCCGCCGACTGCCAGTCGTCGAGCACGTGCGCGACTCGGAAATAATTGGTCGTCGCTGCGGGAATCGGCTTCGGGCTGGTGACGTTTGATTCGTCGAAAGGAATCGAGCTAAACTCGGATTGACCGGGATCGATTCCGGGAAAAGTCGATCAGAAGATAATCGACCTTTTCAAGAGCGATCCGAAACCGATTCACCTTCCGCTTCCTCTATATTTGATTGGTGCTCGAACTTTGAATCGACTCTCGGAAGCTGATTCACATATCGAGTACTCGCTCGGACTTTGAGTCGCTACTCGAGCACTTCGTCAGTAATCGAGTACTCGACCAATACTCTTCCATATTCACGTTGTCAATTTTGGAACGATTCGGTGCACCCAGTTCGGAAAAACGTTTCACGAACGATTGACTCCTCGGATGCTGCTTTCACATCCCCTTAAGGTGAAGTGAAACATCCTTCAAATCAGTCGATTCGAATACAACACTTTTTTTTAAGGGTATTAGACCAAACTGTCCGAACGACACTTTTTTTTTAAGGGTATTAGACCAAACTGTTCGGTCCAGGATCTTCACCGAGAAATGAGACGTAGGTCCAGCGTCTGCGTGGAAACTTTTACGTAGGAAATCGCATTAAGAAACTCGGTAGAGTTTCGCGCCAAATATATATATAGAGGCGCGAAACTTAGACCTAGTCATTATCTGCGATGTTCAGCCTGGCGTGTCAAATTGGACAATGAACGTTGTCTTTTGAACCTCTTGAATGAGTAAAGTCAACTTTAACGAGGCCACCCAGAGTGGACGATTTTTCAGCATTTTTAAAGCTATAAACGAAACCGATTGGTCCATTTAATATAGAGATGTGCATTTTTTAATATTTCACTTCGCTTGGGTCGCTTGATAACAATATACAGAATGACCCTTTCACATCACCTTAAGATTGCGAGGGCCGCGTCAGGATGGGTCCTATGCTTGACCGGGTTTGGAATCTTGATTATCGTTCGAATATTCGATCAACTCTCGGAAACTGAGTCACGCTGAAAAATGCGATTGTCGCTCGAGTACTCGAACGTTGTACCTGCTCTCGGGTACTTGACCATGGCTCCGACAACGGACGGCGCTCTCGAACTCGACCGTCCGCTCCGGCCGGCGGTCGGCGCTCGAATGCGCCCGAACGCGCTCCGCCGCTCGGTCGTCGCCTAGCCGGTCGACTTCGACCAATCGGAGCGCGGTTGCCAAACCGACTCACGTTCGCCGATGCATCGTCATTGCATTTAGCGATGCGCTCACTGCGACTGGACCTCGGCCAATAAACTTGAGGCGCGACCTTCCTCGCCATTATCCCTCCTCCCTCCATGTCGCTCGTAAACTCGACTCGTTGCTTCGATAACGTCCGATCGATCGACTCGATAGACCCGATCAATTTTTAGCCCTGCGCCTCTCTGCGGTTTCCACTTTAATTTAACGTTAACCTTGCGAACTCTGCCTTGGACTTCCCTTCGTCACGAGACGTTTGTTAACGCACTATTTTTTTTATATAATAAATTCCCAGATCGAACGATTGGACGATGAGTTGATTTTAAATCGATACTATTTACGGGATGCATTTTTGTGGTTAATTGGTGAATTCTGCTGTAATAGCGTTTCCTTTAGATATTAATCTCCTAGAATGAATAAATTATTTTCATGATATTTGCGTAATATTTAGTTGGGTAAAAGTGAATGTTTATATTCACGTGTCATTGTAATAAAAAAGTCGTCTCTCTAGGAAAATAATTCCCATGGGTGCACATATTTCTGTTCCGAAGTCATTTTTTTTAATTATCAATATTTACTTTTAATGGAAACGTTATTTTTTGTTTAATACAGTTGAAATATTTATCATGATGAATTCAATGATGTATGGCATTGGCATTTACTGTGTGAATTTTCAAAAATAATATTAAAAAAGTTTGAAATTTTCAAGCATTTGTAAAACAGTGCATGCAACATATTTTTAGGCAAGCCTTCGCTTAAAAAAGATGGCGGCCATCTTGGAAAGTTGTATTTCGACTGAATTTTAATCCCCAAAGGCGCGTCGAATTTTTATTTCTTTGCTTTTTTTTACTTTTGGCAGTCGACCAAAAGATATTCCGACGAGAATTCCGAAATTTTCGGATCACTTCGAGATTTGTTGAAGCTCTTTTCACTCCCACTCGGAATTCTATTATTGGCGCCTCGAAAGAGGAAAAGCCGCTTTGTCTTTTTGTATTCTTAGTTTTTCGAAATTCTATTTATGTCCCTACCTCGGAAGTCCTAATTTTGCAAGGGGCTAAAATGAAAATAAAACGAGAAGGGCAGTTTTCACTTTAAAGATATGTATATAAGGGTAATGTGAAATAAGAACTGCTAAAAAGAGATATATTATTATTTTATAATATTTTTGTTGGGAGTATTATTTGGACATGGTGTACTAATTTTATAAAATGTGTTATAAATTTACGATATTTTCTCGCGTAATTTCACAAAATTATAACTATCAAATTATAAGCTTGTTTAGAAAATTCTAATACATATATAGTACTTCATTTTTAGGACTTTAAATTTAGATTTCAACTACAACCTTAAGTACTAAAACTACATAAATTGGTTGAATATTTCTGACAGGGTAGTTTTTAATTTTTTCGACTCGAAACGAAAATGTCGGTGCAAGAAATGTTATTTTGAGGTTAATTCATTCTTATGTATAATTAATTCATTCTTTCCACGCCCTTGCGGTTGCGTAATTTCCTCTAATGCGAACGAGCACATCCGATTCCACAATTGTGGAAATTCACGTCATTCGATTCCTGATAATAATGATTAACCGGAAATCGGAAATTGACTCTTAAGGAAGTTATGCAAGGGCCTGGATGTTCTACAATGCACGTCCATTTCGCTAATTATGACCATTAATTCCATTACTTCGTTGAATCTGTCATGATTAGACGTAAAAATGATTTTCAAATTGATTTTGTACCCTAAGAAAAAACAATTCATTGAACCAAAGAAATATTTTGTTAATTCAAAGAATAAGCGTTTAACTGAAATAAATTGCCATAATTCCAAAGAAAATTTGCATCCAATTTATTCGAGCTCATGTGAGTCAGATAATAATTATTATTAATTTCATTAGTTTTGGAAATTTTCAATGTTTATACATCATGATCAATTTTAAATCGACTATTTCAGATAACTGAAAAAGCAGACGTATATAAGGCTGAATTGCCACTTTCAATTTCATTAGTTTAGGAAATTTTCAATGTTCATACATCATGATCAATTTTAAATCGACTATTTCAGATAACTGAAAAAGCAGACGTATATAAGGCTGAATTGCCACTTTAGCACAATTCAATAAAATTTGTTGCAAAGTTTATTGCTAATTTATTGCTATTTTATTGCATAAGGAAAAATTTTTTTACAAATTTTATTGAATTGTGCTAAAGTGGCAATTCCAGTCTTATGTACATAAAAAGGAGGGTATGCGAAAGTGGCATTTGAAAGGTAAACTGTTCATGAACCTCCTTAAAAAAAAATGTATTTTAATCGAGGGATTGAGGGGGGTTTCACTTAACCTTAACGCGGTCCACTGTACAATTCCAGTTTTATATACATAAAAAGGAGGGTATGCGAAATTGGCATTTGAAAGGTAAATCGTTCATGAAACTCCTTAAAAAAAAAATGTATTCAAATCAAGGGATTGAGGGGGGTTTCACTTCACCTTAACGCGGTCCACTGTACCGGGCGCTCGGCCCAGAAGACGTGTCTCGATCTTGAAGATCTCGGTCTTCAAGACCGAGGACTCGGGCACGTAAATAAACGGCGCGTCGATTCGCACCGGCCAAATTTCTTCGGCACGCTTGTCGGACAATAGTGAGTTAATTACCTCGAGGACTAAGAGACAACTTGGCCCGGGATGCTTGATTTCGGAACCCGCGGAAGTATTACGTTTCGGCGGCCATATTGTTTTCCGACTCGCGATGCTCTGGTAACCTCAAACCCCGAAGTGCTATAAGGAGATGCAACGCCATCTATCGAGATCGTCCTCACTTTAGGGGTCCAAGATCTTCAGATCTTTTCCGATCTAGAGCCGAGAGCGCCTCTTCGATGAAATTTCAAATTGAAAATTCAAAATCATCATCCGCTAGTCTTTGTCGCGTTAAAAATTTCACATTCTGTATATCATGCGCGGGTTGTAGTTTCGCTTTGGGCACCTTAACCCTTTTAGTGCCAGAGCCGATATATCGGCCCGCACCTTGTAGCGCTTTACTATTCGCTTTGCGAGAGATCTCTATCTCAAAATAAATTTATAATACGTTATAAATAGTCTAATTTCAATACGAGAGAATTAAAATAACAATACAACAACCTATAACCTATAACAATTACTTGTTTCGGATGAGATAATCCGTCCGGCGCCTACCATGTGCCTTGGAGTTATTTTTTATGTTTCTTGTGCAATATTACTTATTTTGTTAAAAAATATATTGGAAATTTAAAGTATATACTTTGCAATAAACGGTCTATATAAATTTATGATAAAAAGATGACTTTTCCTATGTGCAATTACGTTTTGAAACGGAGAACTCAATTTTTCTTTTTTTTTTTTTATCACTTATACCTTTGTTATTTATGTAATTTTCAATGAATATAGAAAAATTAGCGTCACTGTTTTATTCTCTATTTTGTCCTTAATACCCTGCTTTTTGAATTATGTAAATATTGCTTTTCGTTTGGTTTTTATGAGCCTTTTTCCAAATCCTAGTAAAATCGTAAAATTCGGCCGGTTATCTTCGCATAAGCACCTCTTTTTCGCCCGGCACTAAAAGGGTTAATTAAAAAATGAAAATCATTTTAGGTAGTTTACGTCGATAGGAATTATTTCGGTCCGAATTGAAGTTCCCTCATTTTCCGCAAGCAGCGCTCGCGTCAATGGATCAACGAAAATCTGAGATCCTGGGTCCCGATTCTTTAAATCTATTCTGTATCTCGTAACGACAGATATCGTTATAGTTAGCCCATTGGAATAACACGAGCTAACTATAACGATAGCTGTCGTTACGATTTACGGAATAGGTCTACTGGGGTGGTTCCATCTTCCGTGGAACCGACTATAGGCGTTGTGTCTCCTTATCCTACTTGATGGAACGATTCTACGAGGTCTCTTTTCCTAGCCCGCGATCTGTCGGTCGATGAGCACCTTTTCGTCATTTTCAGGTTTTTCCGAGGTGGAAAACGCCATTTGGCCGAGCCGGAGTCGACCGGCGATCGCGCGAAGGTCGATTCGTTCTCTCGAAAATAGCAGAACGCCCGCCGAGGGGCGTCGATAAGGAAGGACACTGCCGCGAGCTATTTTTCCGCTCGTCGTTTTTCGTCGACCTTTTGTGTCGCCGCCTTCGTCGTTCCTTTCCGGATTCCACGTGACGAGTTTTTTCTCTCATTTGTTTTTGTTAACTTTTACTTCTGAAATGAGAAAACGTCGTGCATAAAGTTCTTTCTTATAGCTCCATGTTGGTCGGTCATTCTTCAGGGAAATCCTGATGAATTTTAACCCTTTGAGCGCCGTCGACGCATATGTGCGTCCGACGTTTGGCCCAATATCGCGCGCACGGTCTAAGGAAATTCGCCCGTATGTCGAAAGTGCTTAGCGCTCAAAGGGTTAAAAAATTCCTCATTTTTAGCTTGGTTTTTATATATCAAAACGTGAAAATATTTATGAAACTTTTCTCCAAACTAGGTGCACCGAATTATCTAAAACTTTAACACGTGATTATGGAGGCTCTAAGGAAGAACCTGCTGCCCGTGAAATTTCATTTTTCGAAAAAAAAAAAAAAGATCTTTTTTTGCTTCTTATCCGAAATAAGTATACATTTTTTTTCGAAAAAGGAAATTTCATAAGCAGCGCGTTATTCCTCCATAATCACGTGTTAAAGTTTCAGATAATTCGAAGCACCTACTTTGGAGAAAAGTTTTATAAATATTTGAACTTTTTGTTATGTGCATGTCATCTTAAGTATTCAGTGCCGTTCTCGCAGGCTTTTAAATATATTTGGCGCGAAACTCTACCGAGTTTCCTGATTATATTCTCCGCTTAAAAAGAGGGAAACGTGAGAAGTGCATTTCCGGCTATCCTGCCGATAGCGTTTTTTTTCTCTCTCTCTTTTCATGAGAGAAAAGGCCGATAAATGACTCGGCAGAGACGTTTGCGATTTGCACACGAGCAAGAGATTGGATTGACGAAAGGATACGTAACTCTTCCACGGTTAATATGAAATCGCAATGGTCAGCATGACTCGTCATCTAATTCGTCCTTCGAAGCTCTGCCGTTCTCATGGACTTTCGAGGAAAGGGAACAATCATTGCGAATCCTTTAAATCATTCTCATGACACCTTGTCTCGCGAGAAGGGAGTTATTAAAAAACAGTATTCGAAATAAATGTTGACACAAAGAATTGTATCGCGTGCGATATTATTATTTATCATCATCATCGTCATCATCATCATCGTCACTATTATTATTGTTGTTGTTATAAGTATTACTTTTTATTGCATTAGATTGTAGAGGTGTCGATCGTTGATTCACGTTGTAAAGTTTGAAGCGATTCGGTACACCCTGTTCAAAGAAAAGTTTTACAAAGAACTCTTCCACCTTACTTTCGTATCGCCTTAAGGTGAAGTGAAACCCCTCTCACTCGATTCGAATACAACACTTTTTTTTAAGGGTATTGGACCAAACTGTCCGAAACTTTGACACATGACTCGTGATTATCTAAGAATTGTCCTGACACATTCCAAATTTGGATTTTTTTAACAAAACTTTTTAACTCAGCCCAGACCAGAACGAAAATGGCTTCGAACTCTCATATTTCGATCAACATACAATTATGGCAGACTCTGATATGAGAATCGAAAGGGTCAGGACAATTTTACGCGAATTTGGAACACTCTGGTAATCGATAAACTCGCATTTGAACGGGATAAAGGCAAAAAAAGAGTTGTATGCGCTTGTATGCCAAAACGATAGGAATACGAGGTCTCGGAGGGAAAATTTAATTGACCTGGAAATCACAGATGGCGCAGGGGGTCCCTCTGTAGTCAATTAGGGTCCCAGAAAGCACGAATCCAGAGGATTTCTGGAGTTTTACTTCGATTTCTTTACAATTATTGTACGAAAACGACAGGTGGAGTATGCCATTTGGTACAATACCCAATATAATTTGACCCAGCTGTCGATATAAAAACGAACATGGGCAACGTAGGCGTTTAGAAAAATCTTCTTTATCGACGTCGATCAAGTTCCTCGGCGTATTTCGCTTCACCTTCACATATTAACGTTATATCATTTATTTTCCGGAACGTTATGCTCGTTATGTCACTTTATCGAGAAAATATTAACGTTGTCACTCTATTTAATCAACGGAATGTGTAGTGTTTTGATAAACGCTTTGCTTGCAAACGTTGCAGGTCTGGTGGGGGCACGTCACGTAGTGACGTTCATGCTGTTCCTCGGGATGGCGAACGCGTACGTGATGAGGACCAACATGTCGGTGGCGATCGTGGCGATGGTCAACCACACGGCCGTCACCTCCGAGGACGCCTACACGAACGAGTGCGGCGTCGACGAGCCCAACGGCACCAACCACTTCGTCGACGTAAGTTCGAGGTCCGAGAAGACTGTCGCTAACAAGGAAACATTCCCAAGTGTCTTTCTGAAAATCTTACCGATTTTCATATATGTTAAGAACACAAAAATCTAAGAGACCCGTGTTTTTTTTTTATCTGCAATGGTCCATATTTAAGGGGTGAAATAACCCCCCAAATTTTGGCGAAAATTCTATTTTTATATTCATTTTCGTAGGAACAGGGGAGGGATTTCGACGAAACTTGGCATAAACGTATTCTGTATAAGAATGGTGAAAACGCAATATTGTCCAGGAATGCTACGCCACCTCAAGGGGGTGAACTACCCTTAGGGCGAAATTTTTTTGTAATATCTATTAATCGAGCACTCCTACTTAAGTGCGAGGTCCGAGAAGACTGTCGCTAACAAGGAAACATTCCCAAGTGTCTTTCTGAAAATCTTACCGATTTTCATATATGTTGAAGAACGCAAAAATCTAAGAGACCCATGTTTTTTTTTCTTATCTGCAATGGTTCATATTTAAAGGGTGAAACAGCCCCCCAAAGTTTGGCGAAAATTCCATTTTTATATTCATTTTCGTAGAAGCAGGGAAGGGATTTCGACGATACTTGGCATAAACGTATTCTGTATAAGGATGGTGAAAACGCAATATTGTCCAAGAATGCTACTCCACCTCAAGGGGGTGAACTACCCTTCGGGCGAAATTTTTTTGTAATATCTATTAAACGAGCATTCCTACTTAAGTTCCACTTACGCCATGTGATTGCTCACGAAAAATGGGGAAAGGCGTGTTTTTTGCTTTTTGCCAATAAACATTTGTACATCGGTTAGAAGAATGCACGTAGATGGTATATGAGTATATCTTTATTGGGTTATATCGTCATCGAATCTGTTGCGAAACAATTTCAGTCATAAACTATTTAATTTATTTATAAATAATTGGATGTTATGAGAACCAACGACATTTTGAGGAATTAGCACGTTTACAAGATTTATGTACAATGACTTGGTCACGATATAACCCAATAAAAATATACTCATATACCATCTACCTCCATTCTTCTAACCGATGTATAAATGTTTATTGGCAAAAAGCAAAAAACACGTATTTCCTCATTTTTCGTGAGCAACCACATGGCGTAAGTGGAACTTAAGTAGGAGTGCTCGTTTAATAGATATTACAAAAAAATGTCGTCCGAAGGTGGTGCAGCATTCCTGGACAATATTGCGTTTTCACCATCTTTATACAGAATACGTTTATGCCAAGTTTCGTCGAAATCCCTCCCCTGCTTCTACGAAAATGAATATAAAAATGGAATTTTCACTAAACTTTGGGGGGTTGTTTCACCTCTTAAACGTGGACCATTGCGGATTAAACAAAAACACGTGTCTCTTAGATTGTGTCTAGCCCTCTTTAGTTATCTAAGGTCGATATTTGGAGCGGGAAGGTTAAAAAGTCCTTTGATTTCCAGCCGAGCAGCGATGGCGAGTTCCCGTGGGACTCCACACAGCAGGGATATCTCCTTAGCTCGTTCTTTTACGGATACGTGATAACGCAGATCCCCTTCGGGATCCTGGCGAAGCGATACGGCTCCAAGTACTTCTTGGGCGTGGGGATGCTCATTAACTCCGTCTTCGGCCTCCTGGTGCCGCTCTCGGCGCGCTGGGGCTTCCTCTGGCTCCTCCTCGTGCGCTTCATCCAAGGATTGGGAGAGGTAAGCGGGAGGTTGCACCTCCTCGACGTCATTGGAATCCTGGAGAGAATTGACCTCGCCTGCATGTGTATTTGGTGCGAAACTCTACGGAGTTCCTTGACACGTTGGCTTGGTTTACCCCGATCACTTGGTACGCGGACTAAAGGCGCGGTTTTATTAAACTCATGTTGTAAACGGTCGCGTGTTACCCTGGCAGGGTTGGTATTTTTGCGTTCGATAAGACTCCTGGTGTATATTACGTAAACCATGTGGTTTACCGTGGGATATCGTAGAATGTGCGATATACAACATCCTATATGCTATAAACGTCCTTTAGCGCACATGTAAACACGTAAACATTTTTAAGGATTAATTAATTTGGCGCTTGTGTTCGACATACATACCCAACCTTGCATCTTGGAATATCATTGCTTACACCGAGAGTTTTATAAAACCAGGCCTTTGGTAGGTGTATCAAGTGATCGATGTAAACTAAGCCTTAGATCTGGAAACTCCGAGACATTTATTGTGGGTCCGGCGAGCAGTTTTCGTAGACATTTTCTTTCCCGAAGCTGCCACTGGGAGGCGCGGCGATTCATAAGGTTCGGACCAGGGTTGGGTAATTTCGCGATTCTCCGCCGGTACACGAAGGTATTGACTAATTAATTGTTTAATTTCACTCGGTTAAAATGGTGGTACTGGACTGGGAAACAATGAGAACCTATTGTAACTTTAAGAAGGGTGGTTTTAGTTTACCGAGGGTTGTCCTCTAGTGCCGTGAATGGAGCAATAAATTTTCCGTCAGTTTAGGAAGGTACTGTCTAATTATTCTATTCATTTGATTCCGTAAAAGGAGAGGTAAGGTAAGCAAGATCAGCAGGATGTTTGAAGGGGATGAGTTTGGTGCCCGAGGGGGTGGAGCAATAAAATTCTAAACTGAGCAATAAATAAGCAATAAATTTTTACTACATTTTACGCTACTTATTTTTTAATTTTGAGCAAATTATTAAATGGCTCCGCCAGCTTTGATGAAAAGCTGGCAGAGCCCTCGATTTTTCGAAAACGGCGGGAGTAATAAAATTGAAATTAGTATAACAAAAAAGCAATAAAAAAGCAATAAATTTTTATGTATAATTTATGTGGCTCTGCTAGCTTTGGAGACGTCAAACGGTAACCGATGGAACTATTCCCTTCCTATTTTTCCACTCCATACAACAACTGTTATCAATCAAGGTTTATGTATAGAAATCTGTGCCTTATCCTATCTTAGCAACTCTGGTGGACAGAGGTTTCATTAAACTTGTCTACGAAAATTGTTCGGCTCTCACTATAAGAGTTTCTAACCTGTATGGACGACTATGGTCACATCTCTTGCTATAGTTCCTGTAGCATTGAATCCATGAGATTGATCTTGCTCTAAAAAGTTATTATTGATAAAAACTGTACCTGAAATCGCCTGAAGTCGGATCTGATATCGACTTGAGGCCAATTTCACCTGTTAGAATCTGAACGCATGCGCATGTATGAGAAGTGTATCATGTGAAAAGCTGCGAGGATTTATTTTTTCGTAACTTTTCCGGCTATCCTCGAATTCCTTATTGTCGTCTGAAAATTCGTTTCGCGTCCGTTGAAATTGATGAGTTACGGTCTTGTATAATAAACTTGTAGTAATTCCCGAAACTGGGAAGGGTTGACGAAACTTCATATTTCAATTTTCTCGGGAGATTATTTATCGAGTCGTTAACGATTAAAATTGTTGCTTCGCTCTGCCCAAATCCTGAGGTGGTTTTATTTCCGATTTTCCATGCGAGTTTCCTGGTCAAAAAATTAAATGTACACATTGCCAACATTAAGGTGATATGAAAGTGGCGGTGTAGAGGTTTCGTTTATGAAACTTTTCTTCACTCTGGCTGCACCGAATTATTTAAAACTTTAACATGTAATTATAGAGGCTCTAAGGAAGAACGCGATGCTCGTGAAATTTCATTTTTCATACAAAATTGTATTTATTTAGCCTAGATCAGAATCAAAATCACATTTTGTTGTAAAAAATGAAATTTCATGAGCATCGCGTCCTTCCTTAGAACCTCCATAATTATTGAAAGTTTTAATTCGTTGAACCCAGTTTGGAGAAAAGTTTTCTAAATATTTTGACGTTTTGTATATATACAATCACTCTTTCATGTCACTTTAAAGCGATATGAAAGTGTGATATATACGTACCCATAAGTGAAAATATTTATACAATTTTTCTCCAATCTAGGTGCATTGAATTATCTGAAACTTTAACACGTGATTATGGAGGTTCTAAGGAAGAACGCTATGCTCATGAAATTTAATTTTTCATACAAAATTGTATTTATTTATCCTAGATCAGAATCAAAATCACATTTTGTCGTGAAAGATGAAATTTCACGAGCATCGTGTTATTCCTTGTCGCCCCATAATCACGTGTGAAAGTTTCAATTCGGTGCACCCAGTTTGGAGAAAAGTGTTATAAATATGTGGACGTTTCATATATATACAATGACCCTTTCATGTCATCTTAATGTGATACGAGGCACGATAAGGTGAACGAGGCACGTAAGGTGAAGTAGGATCCCGAAGCAGTAACGAGTTCGAGGAGAGCCCCCGAGTCTCTAAACCAGAGGACACCCAGAGTGTCTGCCAAGTGTGAACGCCTTTTGATCGTTCGGGTGTATTTCCTCCCCCTAGGAATGGATTATCCCTATTGCAGGGTCCCATCGTGCCTTGCACGCACGCCATGTTGGCCAAGTGGATCCCGCCGAACGAGCGCAGCAGGATGGGCGCCTTCGTCTATGCCGGTAAGCCCTCGATAAGCCGATAAGAACCTCCTAGTTAAGGGAAGAGGCTTCCTCTTCGGGATCGTCTTCGAGATCGCCTCCGAGAACGGCTCCGGGTCGCGTCGTCTTGGTACCCCTGGCGTCCCGACGTCGCATCTCGCGGTTGGACCACCTCGACGAGAACTCTCGAGGTCCTCTCCGGGCCCCAGGTCGGCGAGTTCTCATCTCTGGTCCCGTTTTTTAGGGGCCCAGTTCGGGACCGTCATCTCCATGCCGCTGAGCGGCCTCCTCTCGGAGTACGGATTCTCGGGCGGCTGGCCGTCCATCTTCTACGTCTTCGGGGCTGTCGGCAGCGTCTGGTGCGTCGCCTTCCTCTTCATGGTCCATGAGGACCCGGAGCAGCATCCCAGGATCGCCGAGGACGAGAAGAAGTATATCCTGAGTTCCTTGTGGGGCTCCGCTGGTGCCTCGGTAGGTTCACGGGGTGACTTCACCTCGGCCTTCGGATACTCTCCGAAGGAGAGATTCCTTTTGTCGAGGAGGACCTGGTGGAACGTCTCCTGTCGATAAACAAGAAACTGTAAATGAATCGTTGTATTTCGGTGGCGCGGATTCAATTTCCATTCTGTTAAGGTGATGCGAAAGTGGCATCGAAGAGGTTTTGTTTATAAAACTTTTCTCCCAACTCGATTTACCGAATTGTTTGAAACTTTACAACGTGAATGGGAAGACTATAAGGAGGGTCCTGAAACTCATGAAATTTCAATTCTTTTCAAATTTGTTTAGAGGTATTTTAAAAATAGTTTGTACAAAATGAAATTTTGCGAGTTTCAGAACCTACCTTAGGGTCTCCATATGCATGTTTTAAAGTATGAAATGATGTGAGTTCGTAGTTCGTTCCCAGTTCGTAGAAAAGTTATATGAACGATTGAGCTTTCAGATGCCACTTTCACATCCCCTTAAGGTGATGTGAAAATGGCATCGAAGAGGTTTCGTTTATAAATCTTTTCTCCCATTTCGGTTTACCAAATATTTTGAAACTACAACGTGAACGGGGAGACTAAGAAAGGTCCTGAAACTCATGAAATTTCAATTTTTTTCAAATTTGTTTATAGATATTTTAAAAATTATTTATATAAAATGAAATTTTGCGAGTTTCAGGACCTACCTTAGTCTCCATATGCATGTTTTAAAGTATGAAATGATGAGACCCCCAGTTCGTAGAAAAGTTTTATGAACGATTGAGCTTTCGGATGCCACTTTCACATCCCCTTAACGTTATGTGAAAGTGGCGTCGACGAGGTTTCGTTTATAAAACTTTTCTCCCAACTCGATTTACCGAATAGTTTGAAACTTTAGAACATAATTAGGGAGACTATAAGGAAGATCCTGAAACTCATGAAATTTCAATTCTTTTCAAATTTGTTTATACGTATTTTAAAAATAGTTTATAAAAAATGAAATTTCGCGAGTTTCAGGACCTACCTTAGTGTCTCCATGTTCACGTTTTAAAGTATGAATTGATGTGAGACCCCCAGTTCGTAGAGAAGTTTTATGAACGATTGAGCTTTCGGATGCCGCTTTCACATCCCCTTAACGTTATGTGAAAGTGGCATTGAAGAGGTTTTGTTTATAAATGCGAAATTCTGAGATCCTAGGTCCCGATTCTAGGGTGGTTCCACTTTCTGTGGTTCTGTGGTGGCGTTATATCTCCTTATACGATACTACTTCATGATCCTGTGTATGAAATTGACGCGCCTCCATAGGCTGAATTCAGTGGTATCACTAAGAAGTAGCACGAATTAAGTTTATACACGAAACGGAAATTTAATTAATTAATTTTTCCTGGTTTCAGTCCCCTCCGGTGCCATGGAAGTCCATCGTGACGTCGTTACCATTTTGGGCGATTCTCATAGCGCATATGGGACAGAATTACGGCTATGAGACTCTGATGACCGAGCTGCCGACGTTCATGAAGCAAGTCCTTCACTTCAACATCAAGTCGGTGAGTCAACGTGAACGAAGCTCTGCAAACAAAAGATATGGAGTTCGACTTTATACCGCGAAATCTCTTAAGACGACGCGAAAGTCGCTGAGAAATTTAATTAACGAGTGAATAACCCCTCGACTTCGTCCAATAAATCTTGCAGAACGGCACCGTCTCGGCGCTGCCGTACCTCGCCATGTGGATCTTCTCGATGCTGATCTCGCACGTGGCGGACTGGATGATCTCCAGCGGGAAGTTTAACCACACCATCACCAGGAAGATCATCAACAGCATCGGCCAGTACGGGCCGGCGATCGCCCTGGTGGCGGCCTCGTACACGGGCTGCGACCCCTGGTTGACGATCACCCTGCTGACCATCGGCGTGGGCCTCAACGGGGGGATCTACTCCGGCTTCAAGGTCAACCACCTGGACGTCTCCCCCAGGTTCGCCGGAGTCCTCATGTCCCTAACCAACTGCCTGGCCAACCTGGCCGGCTTGCTGGCGCCGATCACCGCGGGCCACATTATCAATGATAAGGTAACCGGTCCATCCCGATGTCAGAAATTTACGCAGGAACCCGGAAGGTAAATCCATGGGAACGAGAGGGCGCTCTGAACGCGAGACCAAGATGGAGCCACTATGATAAAAGCGATAGCCGTCAGGAGAAAGTCACTATAGTGACACCGTTTAGAGGGAGCTGCTTTTCTTTTGATTAACCCTTTAACCCTTTCGTTACCTTGGACGAGATATCTCGCGACCCAATACTGGCCGATTAACGCTTTTGACGAGATATCTCGCGACCCGATACTGGCCGATCAACGCTTTTGACGAGATATCTCGCGACCCGGTAGTAGCTGTATTTATTTCTTCCTTTTAGCTATACGAATAGAATTAATTATAAAATATNCTTGGACGAGATATCTCGCGACCCAATACTGGCTGATCAACGCTTTTGACGAGATATCTCGCGACCCGGTAGTAGCCGATCAACGCTTTTGACGAGATATCTCGCGATCCGGTAGTAGCTGTATTTATTTCTTCCTTTTAGCTATACGAATAGAATTAATTATAAAATATATTCATCTAGAATGTCAAAATATTGGTGCTAGAAAGCTAGATTATCGTCAAAAGCGTTAATCGGCCAGTATTGGGTCGCGAGATATCTCGTCCAAGGTAAGGAAAGGGGTAATTACGGAACGCCATTATAGTGGCTTCCGCGTGACCGACGTTTTTTACGAAGCGCCACTATACTGGCCCCCTTCAGTCCCATGTATTCAAAGTGACAAATGAATATCGTAGTCACATAAAATATTAACACTCTATAAACGAACTGTCCGTACAGGTGGTACATCTCCACGTCCGACTTCGCCGCAGTAAAAGGATTAAAAAACCTCGCTCGAGTTAAGGCATTCTAGTGTCCTTTCATTAAAAAAAAAAAAAAAAACGTCCCCGAGGAAAGCCAGAATAGTGGCACTTTCATTTTTAAAAATCGTCACTTAGAGGGAGCTATATTACGTTTAAGTATTTCCATGACGAAAAAAGTCGCAATGCCCATTTGAGGTGTCTTCCTGGTATGACGAAAAATTTCGCCATACCCGGTTAACAGGTTAAAAAACGTTCCTCGAAGAGAAGTTCGACAACCCCTTTTCGACATTTCAGCCGACGCAGGCGCGATGGAGGATCGTCTTCGTCATCTCGGCGGCGGTCTACGTCTTCTGCGCGACCTTCTACATCATCTTCGGGACGGGCGAGAGGCAGGCGTGGGACAACCCGGACAAGGACGAGGAGCAGAAGGAGAAGAGGGACCTCGAGAGGGCGAAGACGGTCGTCGAGACGCAGCACTGACGAATCGGGCCACTCGTCGATCGCCCGGAAGCCAGGCGAACGCTTCGCGCACATTCATTCCCTCCAAACTGCCCGAAGAGATCACGAAGACGAGCCACTTCCGGTCCGGATCGACTCGTTTGGGGTTTTGCAGGATGCAGAAGCACAATTTAGACGCTACGCGTAACTGGATGAAGCATTTTCCCTGCGCAGGCGCACCGTCGAACCTCCACTTAACCCTGAAGACCTCTCGCTAACCTGTAATGCTCCAATATTGCTCATATTGGTAAATTAGAGTAGGACCGATTTTCAAACGGTCGATTATCTTCAAGGAATCGATTCGCGCCAACGAAATCGATCGTTTTGGTGGAAGCAAACGTTCCTAGCTTCGTGGAATGGCGCATAGCCTGGTCGCCTTCTGCGCATGCGCCAAAATCAAGTCACTACGCTGAAGTGTATCACTTCACGCTGTCTGAAACCCACGAAGTAGTATAAGGAGATTCAACGTCATATATTGAAATCGTTTTCATTTTAGGGGTCCGGGATCTTCAGAGCCGAGAGCGCCTCTTTGTTAAAATGTCGCAATTAACAATTATAGTCGGCTAGCGGGTCCGCTAGTCTTTATCGCGTTAAAAACATCACATTCTGTATGTCATACGTGGATTATTGTTTCACTTTGCGCACCAAAATTGCAAAATTAAAAGCATTTTGGGTCATTTACGTCGATAGGAAATGTTTTAGTTAGGTATGATTGGAGTTTTCTCAATTTCCGCAAGGAGCGCTCGCATCGTTTGATCAGCGAAAATCAGATTCTGGCATGGTTCCACTTTTTGTAGAACCGACCATAGGCGTTATGTCTCCTTATACTACTTCATGCTAAAACCAATTTAATTATTAAGTTGGCAGTATTCACGGCCCATCAAGAGAAGAATTGAGTCTACAACAGTGATATACGATAATACGTTATCAAACTCGTAAATGATTGAGGTATAACTTTTATATCAATGATTGAACGAAACTCCACTCTTCTACTTTCTATCGTGGCCAGATTTCCTTTGTTTTCAAGTAACATTGGCAATATGGGAGCATTATACAAGCGATAATGAACAAAATAAAATGGGCTTCAGTTTTATCCCCAATGTCTGGAAAATTGGGAGACATTGTATGTTACATTTATGTGAGTTTATGTTCATAAACATTCATCAGCAGAAGTAAGGAGGAAAAGCGATGTCCATTTTGTTCATAACTGTGCAAAGATATTAGGTCACGTTTTGGCCGCGTGATTTTCGTTCGTAGAACTAGCAGTCACGTTTCTATTTTCGATAGTTGAGCAATTATCGCGTCAACTAAATTTGGATCCCCTCCGCTATCGTATACATAGATTTGGAAACTCCTTTAAATTTTCGGGATAGTGGTTATTGACTTCTTGATATTTTTACTTCTTAAAAATGCCACCGCGAGGCGCTGTGGTAGGGCAAGAGTCTGTCAAACATAACCTTAAAAGATCATCTTCTGTACATGAAAACTATGAATCGCCTTTTGCTCTTGACATTTTTAAACCTGTATATAATTACAATTGTAATTTGGTACAGGTTTTGAAACTTTCTCTTGTGAAGGTTAGTTTATCGATATAATTTTTACTTCCTAAAGCTGCCACCTTTCGGTGATGCGATAAAGTAAGACGATATCAAATATAACCTCGAAGCAGTGCTGCCAACTTCAGTTTTGTTTACTTTAGTACAGTCAGATTAAAATAATAATACAAAATAAAAACTGCAAATATTCAAATATGTAAATAAAAAATTTTTGTTGGCTTTGAGAGCGTTTCCACCACCTAGTTCGGTTGGCGCACTGCCTCGAAGGAACATCTTCTCGGTATAAATGCAAAAGAGACGGAGAACGGCAATGTATTCCTATCTTTATTTCACGTACCTTGCCCTACTCTGTTCACTCTAGTAGTAAGAAATTATGTGAAACTCGAAAAAAAAAAAATTGAATCGCCCCTCACCGTAGAAGTTTCCACATCTGTGTGTACGACTGTGTGTAATGGATTCTTTAAGACACTCCAGCGCCATCTGGCCATTGGCTCTATATTATAATTATAATTTACAGGTTACAATGCTTCATCCGTGTATACGTAGAGGTTAAGACTCTTCTTCGTCGACGAGTGCGCGCTTTTCTCGCCCACGTAGTCCTTCATTCCCCGATGCCCTCTGCCAAGGTCGCCACACAAGTTACGATAAATCGTAGCGATTTGTATTCCGTGCAAAATGAACTCTCTAACCCAGTTTATTGTCCAGGCTAAGACAAACTGATATCCCGTGAAATTCTCAAATGCTCTCACCTTCTGATATTAACGGTTTGTTTGTGGATTTACAATTTACAATAATACATTATTAGATTGTAAATTTGTAAAGAAGTACATTAAGTTCTGCCGCAAGAGTGGAATAAGGTTTAAGAGATATACGGGGAAGGGGTTCCAAGGTCGAGTAGGGTTATTGAGAATTAAATCGAGTTCTTTTGTTTGCACATATTTATCGCAGCGATTTATCGTTACGCGTGTGGCCACCTTTAGTCGCTCCCGTATTTATATGTCACGTGATGATTCGCTGCGACACGGTGGACGATGCCAGCTGTGCCTTCTTTCGCCAGTTGCTTCGACCCTCTGTTTTACCGACCGGTTTCCATTAACTGCAGTTGCAAATATTCAATAATCTTATAGAAACACTTAATCGTGGGGTTGTTCGACCATGATTACGTTCTGGAAAGTAATTCCGAGGTTTCCATAAAAGTCCAGATTGGCACGCGATGCTTACTAAGTACGATAAAGGTCGATTTACCTTAACAAACCAAGATGGAGTATAAAAAAGAGATCGCTATTATCCAACGTCATCTCACGTTATGGAGTAAGACGAATATGTGCCGAAATTCGGGTACTGTGGAATAAACAACGCGCGCAATCCACTCTACAACTCCATAAGAGTAGAAAAGATAGAGGGATGATCACAGCGCCGCCACCGGGCGAGTATCGTAATTATTCGCCATTAATCCTCCACACTCTTCTGGGCTTTCATGTCGACCTCTGAATTCTTCGTCAAGCCTGAGTCGAGCCTCGTGGCAAGTTTCCGAATTAAAAAGCCTCTATTTTTAATACTTTTCTACATAATGATAATGGTGTGAGCATATTATGTAAAAAATGTACAGATATTAACGGTAAGCGACGAGAACGGTTCCTAATTGGCTTGTAGGAGAAAATGTGCCAAAGATACTGACAATTTTGAACGTCGATTAAAAATATTGGTCAATTGCAGTTTGCGTTTACAGTCGATAAAACAGGGCGTTGGAAACCACCCCCGGCCTACTTCACAGTTGTTTTCTACGTATCCGTATCAGTATACGTGAACACTTTACGAAACGTTTGTATCAGCGATGAGCCATTTAATTTGTAACTAGAGGCGCTGTTTTACCGACCGAATTCCAGGGATTTCACCAAATTCTTGTATATTTGATAACCTGTGTACAAAACCCGTGTAAATAATATTTCGATGCATTCGATGACTTATTCAAGTCACTTCAGCGAAAAGAAAGAGCAATGAGTTCGGAGCCCTTTCTGCGCATGCGCGTGTCGAGTCCTCAAGACGCCATTTTTGTTAAATATTTAATATACATATTGAGATAGTATATCTTGCCTGTATAAAATGCCGAAAGCACATTATACTAGTTTTTTGTTTACTTGTGGGCTCATTTACTATCTAATTTATTTATCAATTTATTTACTAAATTATTGAAAACCTTCCAATCGTTTGCCAGGATAATTTCTTTCGCTGATTCAATCCTTATCGAATTTAGGAATTGTAGTAAGTATTACAAAAAATATATTAAGAGTTTTGTACATATTGTTAAAAACTACTTAAAATTTCCATTTTTTCTTACCTACGTTCAAGCTAACTTGCAGCGCATTTTTGCTGATAAAAATTATTTGTAAATGGGTAAATTAACTATTTACTCATAAAACATTAATCGCGGTTTACATTATTATACGTCAGTGTTATTTATTCTGCTTTTTGCGGGTTTTTCATGATTATCAAATAGTAATGAATTTGCAATCACGAAGTTCGGTCGGTAAAACAGAGCATTTGCGTCGCCTTATTGTTAGGAATTCCCCGATTTTGGCATGCGAGCGTATAGAACTTTTTACACAAACCCATGGGAAATTGTTTATAGATGTTTATAAGAGTTTATACACGCAGGTTTTTGACTTTGTTACTGAGTTATCGGAATCGAACCATATTTTGTATTGTCGTGTTCGCTAATGACGCGCCATCTTGTTCGAAACGCGTAAGAGGACCAATTTTTGCATGCAACTCGTACCATGAAAGAATTTATTCGAAACCGATCAATGTACTGCTCATTGTTCGCCTATGGATGAATACAGACGTCTTGTTTATTTAAAATTTAATGATTACATCCATGAGCTAAATGTTTCATCGGTGCGATGCATGTTAATTCAGTTTAGGGCTTCGGCTTGTTACTTTTCAAACTAAACAAAGACATTTAAACGTCAGATTTAAGGTGAAGTGAAATACGTCGAGAAACTTGATCGTCGTCGGTAAAAATGATTCTTCTAGATACCTACGTTACCGATATTCGTATCTATATCGACAGCGAGTTGAATTATATTGGGTATTGTACTAAATGACATACTCCATATGTCGTTTCTGTACAATAATTATAAAGAAATTGGATATTGTACTAAATGGCATACTCCATATGTCTTTCCCGTACAATAATTATAAAAAAATCCAAGAAAAAGTCCAGAAATCTCTTGAATTCGTGGTTTTTGATGCCCTAATTGACTGCGGAGTGCCACCCTGCGCCATCTGTGATTTTAGTGTCAACTAAATTTCCCTTGAGACCTTATATTACCATCATAGAAGCGCATAAGACACTGTTTTGCCTTTATCTCGTTGAAATGCGAGTTTCTCGATTACCAAAGTGTTCTAAATTGTCGTACAATTGTCCTGATACTTTCATTTCTAATATTAGAGCGTTCGATAATTGAATATCGGTCGAAATACGAGAACTTAATGCCATTTTGGTTCTTATCTAGGCTAAGTTGAAAAAATTTTCTTTCGAAAATCCAATTTTGGAAAGTGTCAGGACAATTTTTAGGTGATCACAAGTCATGTGTCAAAGTTTCTAACAGTTCGATCCAATACTTAAAAAAGAAAGTGTCTTATTCGAGTCGACTGATTTGAGGCGGGTTTCACTTCACCTTAAGTTTCATTAATAGAAGAGATGAAAACGAAGCGATGCTTTATTGAAGCCGAAAAACGAACCAATGTCGTCACGATAAAATAACCAGAAAAGTTGGTAATATTCTGTTGACACGCAACATTTGACAAATTCATTAAATGCATCGCCACCATTTCATGCGAAATATGGCAAACAAGAAATGAGCCATCTTTTTGTGAAATATTGCGAGTAAGAAATGAGCGTTAAAAGTCAATAACGCAACATTTGACAAATTCATTAAATGCATCGCCACCATTTCATGCGAAATATGGCAAACAAGAAATGAGCCATCTTTTTGTGAAATATTGCGAGTAAGAAATGAGCGTTAAAAGTCAATAACAAAGTCCAGGGTTGTCAACCTTTCTGCTGTTTCGATCAAACTGTCATATGATTGGTCTCTTTTTAATACTTCCCCCCTTAAGGTGATATGAAGTGTGATATATACATATCAAAAAGTAAAAATATTGATGAAACTTTTCTCCAAAGTGGGTGCATCAAATTATTAAAACTAACACGTGATTATGGAAGCGACAAGGAAGAACGCGCTGCCCGTGAAGTTTCATTCTTTTTTTTTTTAAGAAATATCTTTTTTTTTGGTTCTTGTCCGAGATAAGTAGAAAATTTTGTTCGAAAAAAGAAATTCCATGAGCAGCGCGTTATTCCTTAGGGCTTCCATAATCATGTGTTAAAGTTTGAAATAATTCGGTGCACCAAGTTTGGATAAAAGTTTCATGAACAATTGGTGGCATCCGAAAGGTCAATCGTTCATGAAACTTTTCTACGAACTGGGTGCCCCGAATCGTTTCAAACTTTACAACGTGAATGTAGAGGCCCTAAAGTAGGTTCTGAAACTCATGAAATGTCATTTTTTATGAAAAATGTTGAAGGCACATAAAGAAATTATAAAATAACTGAAATTTTATGGGCGTCAGGATCTTCTTTACAGTTTCCATATTCACATTGTCAAGTTTGAAACGATTCGGTACCCTCAGTTCAGAGAAAAATTTCATTAACCAGCTTCACGGCACTTTCACATCACCTTAAGGAGATGTTAAATGTCATCTGAAGAGTCAATCGTTTATGAAACTTTTGTCCGAACTGAGAGTACCGAGTTGCTTCAAACTTTACAACGTGAATGTGTATGCTATAAGGAAGGTTCTGACGCCCATGAAATTTCATTTATTATACAACATTTTGAAATTATATATAAACATTTTTTTTTTTAATTAAAACTTTATGGGCGTCAGGACCTTCTTCACAGCTTCCATATTCACATTGTCAAGTTTGAAACGATTCGGGGCAGTCTGGAGAAAAGTTTCATAAACGAAGACTCTTCACTCCACTTCCACATCACCTTAATGGTGCTTTCCTCGAGAAGTTGAAAAATGAGTCAATCCCGGTAAAAGAAAAGAATTAATCGAAAAGTTGACAACGCCTCTTGCAGTCCGGCAAACGACAAATCGAAATAAGTTATCATTAGAGATTTTTAAGGATTTTTACGGATTTTTACGGATGCTTATGCGGCAATTGTGAAACGGGCAGTTTACTTCGTAAAAGTTTCGAGTGTAATGCGCGAGTGAGAAAGGAAGGGAGAAAGAGCGTGTGTGAGAGACAAGTATATAAATATATAAATATAAATATAAATATAAATATTATACATATCGCGTGTCCTCGAAGGACGCGCGCGTATCGATAGTCGAGATACTCGATTAGCGTTCGTGCTGTGCGGCCCACTGTATAAATTGTCAATTGACTTTGTAACAAGACGAGGCGAGCCTGGACGTCGAAGTCGGTTCCTCTCTCTCGCTCCTTTTTTTTAAATTCACTTTCGCTTCCTTTTCTTTTTTTTTTTTAATTTTCTTACGTTCGCCGGACAATCTCCATACATCACGGTCGATGGTAATTGGAAAAATTCTCGCCTATTAACACATTCGCGACCGCTGACGTGAATTCACGTCTTCTCAAGTTCAATTCCTGGTTGCTGATGACGTGGATTCACGTCATTTTAAATTCTATTCCTGATTGCCGCTGACGTGAATCACGTCTATAACGATACGCGATACCAGTTTCAGAATTTCATGATTTTCGCCGGTACTCAGTATTTGAAACGGAAAAAATTTGCCGGTCGCGAATGTGTTAAGGGGATGTGAAAGTGGCATCGGAAAAATCGATCGTTTATGAAGCTTTTTGACGAACTGGGTGTACCGAATCGTTTCAAACGTTATAACGTGAATGTAGAGGCCCTAAGGTAGGTCCTGAAACTCGTGCAATTTCATTTATTATACAAAATTTTGAAATTATCTATAAAGATATTTTTTTAAATTGAAATTGTATGGGTGTCAGGACCTTCCTTGTAGCCTCCATATTCACATCGTGAAGTTTGAAACGATTTCGTACATTCAGTTCGGAGAAAAGCTTCATAAACGAGACCTCTGGGTCGCCACTTTCATATCACCTTAAGGTGAAAAAAAATCTATCCTTGGTTCTGGTCTGGGATATTCCAGACGAAGGATGTCTCGAAAACTCGAGCGACATTTCTGGCAGCAGTATTAGAGTCCTAGGGAGGGTCGCTTCTCGTCCAGGTTCCTCTTCGCATGCCCGTTCTTCACTTTTGTTACCAACTCTTACTGCCATTTTGTATTGTCCGAGTCCTCGCGATTCTCCAATTCTTCCGGGAGTGCCTGAACAAAGAAGGCAGTAGTCAGGAAATAGTATAAGAAGACAGCGCCATCTATCGAAATCGTCCCCACTTTACAGTCTTAATATTTATCCAATCTAGGGCTGAGGGCGCCACCTCGATGGAATTTCAAATTTTGCAATTCAAAATTATCGTCCGTTACTCTCTCTCGCGTTAAAAATCACATTCTGTATATCATGCGCGGATTAACCTATCGTTTTGCGCACCTTAATTGCAAAATTAAAGCATTTTTAGGTAATTTACGTCGGTCAGAAATGTTTTGGTCACGCAGGATTGGAGTTTCCTCAAATTCCGCAAGTGGCGCTCGCATCGTTAGATCAGCGAAAATCTGAAATCATCGCTTTTTGTGGAAATGGGCATTGGGGTTATGTCTCTTTATACTATTTCATGGTAGTAGCCCTTCTTCGCCAGAAAATCCACAAAAAGAGGGGGCGGGCCCCTCCACGATCGCCTGCACAATACAAACATGGTTTATACATAGTGTAGATACTTACTGCATAGGATCCTAATAAGTTATTAGAACTTTACTTGATAGGTCAATTTGTTAACGCATAGTTATTTATGTATATAAACGGGACGAGGCGACCGAAGCCTCGACCGTTCCGTCGAGTTCCGCAGAAGGACTTGTGTACAATAAAGATGATGCGAGATGCGTTTTATCTTACTATCGTCTTCATTTCTTATATTTCATATTCAAACTAGTTGTCAAGGTGATATGAAAGGGGCTGAGATATTTAATCGACGTCTATAAAAATTAAACTCATCTATACCCTTTTTAGTGGTATCACCATTTTGAATACTCAAGTGGTTACGTAAGCTAGCGCGTCACGTTACCGACATTTATATTTAAGTTGAAGTCTTTTACAGTCTACCTCAATGGCGGCGCAATTCATCTCTGTTAGAAATGAGTTACCCCTGGCCGCGATTCGGTTCCCGGATTGGGCGTGGCTGCGCCAATTTTTTTTTTTTTTTTTCAAGACATGAGTAGTTCATCGCCGCAGATCTTGCTGGACTTGTTGGTAAGAGATGTTAAAAGATGTTAAATGATGTTTGTTATCAGAGAGATGAGTTGGGAGCAGAGCATTGGGGGGTGTATCAGGTGGCAAGTGCGTCAGCCGTCCACATCCTCCGCCAGGGAGCAGCACAGGACGCTATCGCGCGACCCTGCCCGTGAGCAATCTCCCAACTCACCTGTTGCATTATTAAATACGGGCGTTTATTACGTATTTTTGACGAGCGCGCTCACTTCTCGCACTTCCATCTCACGTGGGTTTATTCGCCGAATTACGTATTCCCTATATGGAAGATGAGATCACTAGCACTTCCGGTCTAGTAATATTGCAAGTAAAGTTGCAAAATATTGCAAGTAATATTGCAAATAAAAAAAATACCTTGTAAATCGAACATTGTTGAGAGGTGTGGGTTATAGACAGGAAAGGCGGGAAGATGGAAAGACGTTAAAAGTAAATAAGAGGACTCGAGTCTATTAATATTTTTTAAATATGTATTACATTCATATTTACATGTACTATAATTAGAAGTTCAACGATATAATTTTCTTATGGTGTCATGTAAGCATGAATTATTTAACAGTTTTCAATGTTTAATAATGTAATATAACCTCGCAATAACAAACACCAACCTGTACGTCCTAGTAAATTCTCTTTCTTCTCACGAAAATGGGTCTGAGGCATCACGTAATTCCTTTTTTCTTTTAATAAGGTTATTATTACGTATCCGAATATGATGGTTGCCAAAAATCAAAACACCCCAGGAGGTTTTCCATTTTGAATTTCGGTGTCACAATCCGTGGAAGATGGCGTTCACGATGCTTATTTTTGTATCTTTTCTTGTATGATTCACCATTTTGCTTAAAAATTTGTGCCGAGCCAGTTCACGCGAATGGTCTCGCATTTTCACCACCAAAAATGTTCCGTAATACCGTCACCAATCATTTTTCACATTTTCGCTCAATATGCTTTACGTAATAGACTCCCTGGTTCCGCAACTCAGGTGAACCAAATTGATCTTGTTTACACATGGTTTAACCTGCAATCAATTAAACTTCGATTAACTTTAGTTATTTAACCGGGTCTTAAAACTGCTGTAAACCAATTAAAGTCCAGTTAACTTGAGTTGCGGAACCGGGCCTAAATTCTTTGCCCAAGCAACTGCAAGCAACAGGTGGTTTTTATTTACCACGTCCGTTTAATTTGATTTCTCACAAAATTTCTCGTTTTTCTTTAAATGTGTACATTTTACAGAATCATTTCCAGGTAAACATGAATTTCAAGAACACCAACATGGATTAAACGAAAATTAATTATATGTTATAAGAAATAATATCCATAGTTTTGTATGTGAAATTCAATGCCTCTTTCGTTTGCCTAATATAATTTCTTCAACGAAATTAGGCTTGCTATTCTAACCTCGCTAACTAGGTTTTTGCAATTAGATTTAAGATTAACGAAGGTTAAGTGGTAGAACCGAACGTATGATTCATGAATTAATCTTGAAAAACTTTTTCAGCAACGAAGCTTGAGGCATTTGCTGGTCAATCATGAGGAGAGGAAAGAAGACCGTTTTAATTATACCATAAAATGTGGACTATCTCTGTGCGATCCAAAGCGAAATCAGGCTTCTTAACTGGCTTTGTGCTCGGTGCCACCTTAGCATTGCTTGTCGCCAAGATCGGCTACTTCACCGGTGCAAGATCATGCGAGAAAAACTGTGCAGTGTCTCCTGAGAACAAACATCGGATTGCCAAACATCTTACGAAGTCCGTTGGTCTCTTTGAGGATGATTCCACAAATAAATTGAGCTATCAAGAATGGCTGAAAAATCAGAATGTGGAAACGTTTCGACTGGACATGGACTATCGAGTGTATGGTCCAGAGAAATCGAGAGATCTTTTACAGGCAGAGTCCGAGTGGCTCAAGTCGAAAGTGCATGTCACGTGCGTAGTGTTTGTGGAGCGACTGAAACTCGCTCGAACGATCAAAAGTACTTGGGGGAAGCGTTGCGATAAATTGCACTACTTTGGTCATACTTTAAGTGATGCGGAGGTCCCAGTGATAAAGTTCCCTGTGAATCTAACGTCCACCTGGCAGTTATTATGCGAGGCGATGAATTATGTATGGAATTCTGCAAAGTCTGAGAAAATCAATCAGGGGAAGTCCCAGTGGGTAATCTTTGTGAAGGATGACACGATGGTGATTCCCGAAAACCTGCGGTTCATGGTCGCCCCTCTCGATGATAGCAAAGGGCATTATTTGGGTCATGCCGTTGTTTTGTGGGGTCAGGTGTACAATATCGCTCAAGCTGGCTATGCTCTCAGCCGGGGAGCTTTACAGAATATGGTCGATATGTTTAATACCAGTGAAAAGTGCGCATCCAGTGGAAAGTATTGGAAAAAGGAGGATTACTATCTAGGTAACTCTCCCATTTGCTCATTTCAGTTCTCAGAAAGGAGAATTTAAAAACACCACTCAATTTGCGGAAGTTTAGTTTACTTCCACTAAAATTTCAGTGAAAAATTAATTTCATATAATTTCGTAATGTATCGTTCTATTCCTTTTGTTCATTAACAGCAAATTCTGTGAGATTGAACTGATAGAAAAATAAGGAATAGATAATTATAACGAAAAGGACACAAAAATTCAGTGAAAATGCGGCGTACTTTGTGTGGAAATGAATTCATTTCTTATCCTGAAAATGTTAGCGTCAGATCCAGCAGCTAAGAAAAATAGAATAATATCCAAATGTTGAGGTTATTTTAAGTGAACGTCTCACTGAATTTTTATTAAGTCGAGTAACTGAAATGAGCTTTCGATTATGAGTGATGTTACTGAATTCTCCTCATCAAAATGCGTTGGTTCATGTATATTTTGTTGGGTTTTTGACTTTTCTGCTGTCTTACCTCCCATAGTAATGGCTTATTTTTTTAACGTAACATTCAAAATATTCAAAGGTAGAAAAGACACGATTCATTAAAGTTAATCTTGAGTAAGCGCGCGATCACTTCTATTGTCAATTTCACATTGTCTTAGTGCAATTATCATCCAGGCAAACACTTATCTTCTCTTGGCATCTATCCTACCGACACAAGGGATGAATATCTTCGAGGGACGTTCCATGGTTATTCTCTGCAAACTCTTTTATGGGGAGTTGCGAGGCCTGGCAGCTATTGGACTCGAGCTCTGTATCCACCTGGACCAGAATGCTGCTCACCGAAGTCCATCACTTTCGGTATCGGAGAGTCTGACAAAATGTACACGCTGAATTATCTATTGTATCATTTACATGTATACGTCGGACCAGGAATTTATGGAAATAAACCTGCTCCAACGAGTAAAACGGAAGAAGAGGTAATTATCTTGATACTAACAAGTTTTAATAGTTTCCCCAAATTTTTGAATGAAAAAGTGTCTAACGTTTATCTAATTTCATTGCTTTTAGATCTGGAGATCAGTATTAAGAGATGAGTTCAACATCACCGAAACAGGGGATATATCGAGTGAGAGATATTATAATATCTGGAAGGAAAGATGCTCCGAGCCAGAACAATTCATAATGAAAAATTACAAGAACATGCCGGACGTTCTGGACTCGCTTTTAACAGCTTATGAATCGGGAAAACACATGACAGAGAAGAATCTCTTGAATTGAAATGCTGCGGAGGGAGCCATAACCTATGCAACGGTCAGTATAAATTGCTTTGAAGCAATTATTTTAAGAAAATCATGTATATACCTGGGGCCTGAACAATTCCTTGTGATGAATTACAAGAACATGTCAGATATTCTGGGCTCTATTTTAAGAGAATGTGAACCGGACCTTGACTTAAAACCCTTGGGAAGCAGCATTAACCTATGCGAGTGCAAAAATGATAAAAGAACGACTCATTACGAAAAATTACAAGAACATGGCAGATGTCCTGGAAATTGTTAACGGCATATGAATCTAAGAAACACGACGCAGAAGAATCTTAAATTAAATCTCTTCGAAGGGAGCCATAACCTGTGCAGTTGACGGTGTAAACAACATCGGAGCAATTATTTTAAGAAAATCATAATAAATAGTTACTATCAAATAACACGAGAATTGAGGTTTGTACACTGTTTATGTCAAGTTTTGTACATTTGGAAGGCTTTAATAAAATTTTGGAGATATTTTTTGTTACGCAATTGTTCGATTTTACTTTTGCATAGATTTTATTTAGAGCGTGGAAACAATCAGGAAAATTTCTCTCTACGAGCTGAAATGGGAGTGGGATTAAACATTCGATAAGAACTTCCTTCGGACTTATATATGGCTTTATCGTGCCAATTAGAACGACCCATTAACGCTCGTTAGGTGAACACTATCTAATCACAGCCGGTAGTTAGGAAGTTCGTATGGGAAAGTGCTTATCACTTTTGGGTTATTTCACGTAAACAATGTCAATAACGTCTTTCCTTCTGAGAACGGACGATTGAAAACGAACAATATTTGTTGACGAGTAGTATCAATGATACGTTAACAATGAAATTATCTAATTTAAGAATTATCCTTATTTCGAAATTTTTAATTAAACGCTGCCACGAGAAATATAGAAACTTCATTATAAATACTTCATTACAATTATAAAAATTTAAATATTGCATTGTGAAAATTTCTGGAAAATGAGATTTAGACAATTGTTGATTATAAATAATTAATGAAATGTGACATTTAGAAACTTAAGTATAAATACTTAATTACAATTATAAAAATGTAAACGTATTATGAAAATTCCTGCAAAATGGAATATTATACATATCGCGTGTCCTCGAAGGACGCGCGCGTATCGATAGTCGAGATACTCGATTAGCGTTCGTGCTGTGCGGCCCACTGTATAAATTGTCAATTGACTTTGTAACAAGACGAGGCGAGCCTGGACGTCGAAGTCGGTTCCTCTCTCTCGCTCCTTTTTTTTAAATTCACTTTCGCTTCCTTTTCTTTTTTTTTTTTAATTTTCTTACGTTCGCCGGACAATCTCCATACATCACGGTCGATGGTAATTGGAAAAATTCTCGCCTATTAACACATTCGCGACCGCTGACGTGAATTCACGTCTTCTCAAGTTCAATTCCTGGTTGCTGATGACGTGGATTCACGTCATTTTAAATTCTATTCCTGATTGCCGCTGACGTGAATCACGTCTATAACGATACGCGATACCAGTTTCAGAATTTCATGATTTTCGCCGGTACTCAGTATTTGAAACGGAAAAAATTTGCCGGTCGCGAATGTGTTAAGGGGATGTGAAAGTGGCATCGGAAAAATCGATCGTTTATGAAGCTTTTTGACGAACTGGGTGTACCGAATCGTTTCAAACGTTATAACGTGAATGTAGAGGCCCTAAGGTAGGTCCTGNTAAATACTTAATTACAATTATAAAAATGTAAACGTATTATGAAAATTCCTGCAAAATGGAATTTAGACAATTATTGATTATAAACAATTAGTTAGAATCTTGAGGGCTACTATATAAAGTTCCTGTTTTACATAAGATTCTCACTCGCTTCTATCTTATCAACATTTTTCAGAACACGTGTTCTATTTTAGCTTTTTCAAGTGTGGTAACGTCAAAGAAAGTAGAAATTCATTATTTAAACCTGAAGTTGCATTTTCTGCTCTCTAAAAAATAGAAATTATACATCTATAAGGTCACATCTTACATATATTATTTATATTATATATTGTTACCACATTTTCAAATACATTAAATCAGAGATATTTGTATTTTATTCTAGTCCTAAATTTATTTTCTAACTTAAAAGTTATTTATGGGTCGAATTATACATTGTGAGAAATGCTTCGTAGAATTACAATTAATGTTTAGGGGTATAATATTTGGAACGATGATCATAATTTCTTTTTATTCCCCTTTAGCCGTGTAATAACTTGTAATTCATGTGATCGGCATTAAGATTCAAAAAGATTTGAAATATAACCAAGAAACTCGACAGAGTTTAGAGCCAAATACATTTGAGCGAGAAATTTGTTTTATAGTACCTATGCAAGTATGTATGTATTTGGTGTGAAACTCTAGCGACTAAGAAATTAATGTACCTTTAATAATTACTAACAATTACCTGATTTTAGGTTAGAATTGCAATTAAGGGAGGAAATAAGCAGAATAGGAATCCTGGTTAGCGTATTTAAAAAAAAACATATTTTAAAACGTGAATATGGAGACCCTAAGGTAGGTCCTGAAATTCGCGAAATTTCATTTTTTGTAAACTATTTTTAAATTACCTATAAACAAATTTCAAAAGAATTGAAATTTCACGAGTTTCAGGACTTTCCTTATAGTCTCCCTATTCACGTTGTAAAGTTTCAAACTATTCGGAAAACCGAATTGAGAGAAAAGTTTAATAAACAAAACTTCATCGACGCCACTTTCACGTCACCTTAACCAGCGATTAACTTAGACGTTAACTTTAACCCGCGGTTAGGCAACCAATGATTTAATCGAGGTTGGTGGAACCGGGCATTAGATATTGTCACGAAAAACCGCAGTCCGATTACTCGGTAACTTATGAATGATATACCTCATACATGGAATGCAATCGCTCCAAGTTTCCCAGGAAGTTTCAAGAACGTTTGTATAATTAGGTCGCGTACGCTTGGTCACTCCCGATGTGTGACCTCCTTTTTTAAACGCTTTACCACAATTATCAAAGCGGTCCAGATTTATCAGTTATCCGTTTCCTCTCTCGGAGGTAGACTATATAAAAGAACAAAGTCACCCGTGGCACGATTTCAATTCATTAAGTCGTAAGAAAGTGTCCAACATCAAGCGATGTGTATTTTTTCAACATCTACGTAGAATTATTTATCCAAGTTAACACATAAGTGTATAGATGTAGACCTTTCGATTTTTTGTATTGTTTCGTTTACCTGTCGGTCGATTTTAATTTAAACTATGACCTCCTGGAGGTTGTGGTCTTTCGCAATTGCTCTAATTGTTTTCACGGTAACTACGTTTGCCCAGGATGGAGGAGAAGATGTTAATGTCTTCGCCGAGAACAAGTCAGTGTACCTGAGAATAAATAAGTGTTACTTAAGGGGATGTGAAAGTGACGTCGAAGAGGTTTCGTTTATGAAACTTTTCTCCCAACTGAGGGTACCGAATAGTTTCAAACTTGACAATGTGAATATGAAGGATATAAGGAAGGTTCTGACACTCGTGAAATTTCAATTCTTTAACAATTTGTTTATAGGTATTTCCAAAATTTTTTATAAAAAATGAAATTTTATTGGTAACAAGACCTTCCTTTTAGTCTCCATATTCATGTTGTAAATTTTGAAACAATTCGGTACACGCAGTTTGAAGAAAAGTTTCATGAACGCCACGTCGAAGAGGTTTCGTCTATGAAACTTTTTTCAGAACTGAGGGTACCGAATAGTTTCAAACTTGACAATGTGAATATGAAGGATATAAGGAAGGTCCTGACACTCGTGAAATTTCAATTCTCTAACAATTTGTTTATAGGTATTTCCAAAATTTATTAATAAAAATGAAATTTTATTTGTGACAAGACCTTCCTTTTAGTCTCCATATTTATGTTGTAAATTTTGAAACAATTCGGTACACGCAGTTCGCAGAAAAGTTTCATAAACGCCACTTTCACATCCCCTTAAGAGGATGTTGTGTTGAAGAGAATGCGTTTATGAAACTTTTCTCCGAACTGAGGGTACTGAATAGTTTCAAACTTGACAATGTGAATATGAAGGATATAAGGAAGGTCCTGACACTCGTGAAATTTCAATTCTTTAACAATTTGTTTATAGGTATTTTCACAATTTTTAATAAAAAATGAAATTTTATGCGTGTCAAGACCTTCCTTATAGCCTCTACATTCATGTTGTAAATTTTGAAACAATTCGGTACACGCAGTTCGCAGAAAAGTTTCATAAATGCCACTTTCACATCCCCTTAAGAGGATGTGGTGTTGAAGAGAATGCGTTTATGAAACTTTTCTTCGAACTGAGGGTTTCTTTCGAAACTAGACGTACCAAATCATCTCAAATTTTGCAACGTGAATATTGAGACTATAAAGAAGGTTTTGACACCCATAAAATTTTATTTTTTTAGCAATTTTATTATAGGTATTTCCAAAATTTTTTATAAAAAATGAAATTTTATTGGGGTCAAGACCTTCCTTATAGCCTCCACATTCACATTATAAAATTTGAAATGATTTCATACACTCTGTTAGGAAAAATTTCATAAACGACAGACCCCTCAGCTGCCACTTTCATATCACCTTAAGACTGTAGATTTCAGAATTGATTTAATTATATACTAATTAATAGGAGAAAAGTTGAAGATGAAGAGGGAATGCTCAGCGATGCTCCAGTGAAGGGAAGATCTAAAACCCGTAGCAGTCAATGTCTTCGAGAACCTCCGGTGCCAATTAATGGGGAAATTAAGTGTTCCGGACACAGGTATGTGATTAGTCCTCTTTTTATAAACATTTATATCAAATATAATAAACTGAATGTAAAAATATTGAATGAAATCCATTTTGGAAGATTTAATAAGAATCGTTGCTTGGTAGATCGAGAGATTCAACTTGTGATTTATCTTCGATGCAAATTAAGCACATTCTGTTTCTTTAATTAACAATACGAGAAATATTGCTGTATCAATTATATTAACAATACGATAAATACGAAATTCGTTGACAGAATTTTAATTCCGAGATATTGCAACATAACCTAAATTATTTTTATTACGAGCATGAATATGTTGTAATTCTAACCTAACTTATTTGTCTTACGAGCCGATGAAATAGAGTGTTGAAAATAAAGTAAATATTGTTCTTAACCAAACTTATTTATGTTACGATCTAATAAAATAGACTCGAGTGTCGCAAATAAAGTAAATATTGTTCTTAACCAAACTTATTTATGTTACAACTCAATGAAATACACTCGAGTGTTGCAAATAAATTAAATATTGTTTTTATTGTTTTAACAGTTGTGTTTAGAATTCAGTTACTGATGCATCGTTACATTTTCAGCTTCTGTCAAGCTACTTGCAAACCGGATTATCAATTTCCTAACGGAGAGACTCAAATTCTGATTAAGTGTATTGAAAGAAGGTGGAAAGTCCAGGGAATCGATTGGACCCATGAGATACCTCAGTGCTTACGTAGGTTATGTTCTACATATAAATATCCTTCATTTCTTAGTGATTCATGTTAAAGATACATTACTTTTGTATTTTCTAGCCATTTGTTTGCCAGAATGTCAGAACAATGGCATATGCATCGGTCCAAACCAATGCAAGTGCTCGGAGATGTTCTCCGGACCGCAGTGTCAATTTCTTGCGAAGCCTTGCTTAAATTTTGCGCAAAGGGTGGCCAATGCTCACAAGATGTGCAATTCGAAGTAAATTTTAATATCCTTTTCATAGATAAAGAACTCGCACTATGCTAAATATTTTATTTTATATAATATTTAGATTTTGTGGAAGGTGAAGGTTATGATATTAAACGTTTCATTTTATGTAATTTAATGATTCTACGGTAGGCTTTGCATTGTTTAAGAAATTCACTCAGTAGTTAAAAACTTATCTTAATGCTTGTTTATAGGTTTTGCAGGGTAGAATGTTTAAAAAACTTTGCATTCCCTGATGGCTCTTCCATTGCAATGTTACTTTGTAAAGATGGAGAACTAAAACCGGATAGATCGGATTGGAGTTCTATTCCTGATTGCCAGCGTAAGTTTTAGAAAAAGAATAATTTTTGTTTTCTTAACTTATCTTTATAATAGTACCGAAGACATGCTTGCAAAAAATATTGACAGAAACGTGTAGAAATGAATATACTCCGTTGTGCATTTCTGAACGTTTAAAAAACAGAAATGAACACAAGCAAATACATGTAATGTACTTTCACTGTTTTCCGATACCTTGTTTATTACCTTTCGTAACAGTTCAGAAGTGTACAAAAGTTGATCAACTCGTCTGCTGTCTGAATATTCAACCATTTCTGTCCAAAATTAACGATAAATAATTATATTATTCGTTAGATTAATAAAAATTCACAAGTATATAGTGGAATATTAAGAATGTTCACATTAATATGGGTTGTATTTGCTTCGATTAGTTTCTTCGAAAAGATAGGTTATATTTCTTTAATTCAATTTTAGCCGTTTGTAAACCACCTTGCCATAATGGAGGCAATTGCTTACCAGGCAATATGTGTCAATGTCCACAGTTGTATCGTGGCCCCCAATGTCAATACTGTAAGTATATATAAACAAATAATAATTGACTCTTAACCTCACTAGTTCATCGATGATCCAGTTTTAAGTAAAAATACATTTTCTACAGCTGCCGATGTCTGCAAACCAGAGAACATGGGCTTTAATGGAATGTATCGATGCAGTTCAAATCATGAAGCTGTATCTTGTGTTTTGAATTGCCCATCCGGAGTTGAATTTGACAGTCCATCTGCTTCGGTTTACACATGTCAGTATGCGAAAGGGATTTTTGAACCTCAACCTGTTCCTCGGTGTCAGATCTCGCAAGAACCAATGAATGTTGTATCAACATTTTTCGATCTCTTGCCGGCGTTAAATAATACCAGTGATATTTTCGGATCGGCTTTTCAAGAGAGTCACCAAGGAAGCGAATATGTCATTACGAAGACTTACAATAGCTACGATTCCAGTATTATGAAGAATTATGTAAGTAATTATTTTTCTTTTCTTAAGGTGATATGAAAGGGTCATTCTATGTATATAAAACGTTAAAATATTTATACAACTTTTCTCCAAGCTGGGTGCACCGAATTATTTGAAAAAAAATTTTTCTTTTATTTAATCTGGACTAGAACCAAGATCACATGTTTTTGTGAAAAATGAAATTTCACGAGCATCGCGTTCTTCCTTAGGGCCTCCGTTATGATGTGCTGAAGTTTCAAATAATCCTAGTTTGGGGAAAAGTTTGATAAATATTTTAATGTTTTATGGATATAGAATAACCCTTTCATATCGCCTTAAGGAGTTGGTTGTGCTCTTGCTTATTCCATCTCATGGTCAATAATAATTACATTTCATTTAAATCTTCATATTGAGCTTAAGGGAAATTGAAAGCCAATCATTCATGAAACTTTTTTCTGAACTGGGTATACCGAACCGTTCCAAGCTTTCCAAAATTAATGTGGAGATTATAAGGGAGGTCCTGAACACTCATAAAATTTTTATTTTGTTTAAATATGTTTATAGATATTTTAAACGTTTTTTTTTTTATAAAAAATGAAATTTCGTGGGTGTCAGGACCTTCCTTATAGCCTTTACATTTACATAATAAAGTTTGAAACGATTCGGTGCACCGAATTCAGAGAAAAGTTTCATGAACGTGTCGATACTCTTCAGATGCCACTTTTAGACCCCCTTAAGCCAAGTTTGTGCGTAGTAAACTTGTATTTTATATCGATTAATGTTTTTGTCCAGGAAAACCTGAGCCAATCGTACTTCCACCAGTCACAGAACGAAATGGACCAGCACCGCGCTTTTTTAACGGACAACAAAATAGCAGTGATCGAGAGTATGCAACCCGAGGCGAAGACCTGCTTCACTTGGGGCGGAGCTCATTATAAGACCTTCGATGGGCAGATCTTCAGTTTTGAGAGCGACTGTGCCCATACCCTGGTACAGGAAACGCAGGACGGCGCCTTCACGATAGCAATTAGAAATAGTCCTGGATGCAAAGAGGAGGCGCAGGGACCCTGCTTCAGGTTGGGATGAATTGATGCCACCAAAGTATCGATACCTTTAATTATTATTTGCATTAAAAACAGTATCGATACATACTCAATAGTTAAAAGGAGGTATCGATACTGTTACTTATTACCTGCATCGAAGGAAAATATTGATACACACTCAGTATTGGATAGAAAGTATCAATATTCTTACTTATTACTATCATCGAAGAGAAGTATCAATACATATTTAGCATTAAAAAAAAAGTGTCGATATTTTAAGTTGTTATTTGCATCGAAGGACAGCATCGATACATACTCAGCATTAAAAAAAAGTGTCGATACTTTAAGATATTACTTGTATTGAAGAAGAGTATCGATACATTCCCAGGATAAAAAAGAAAGTATCCACATTTTTACTTATTACTTGTATTGAACACATGTATCGATAGCTACTCATATCTGATAATGGTAATGCACATAGCGTCCAAACCTTTCTCCCATAGTAGGCAATGCATTAAGTTGTATAGAAGAAGTTTTGTTGCCGATCGATTTAATATTCGAGAAGGAATACAGATCAAAGTTTATTAAGAAACTCGTAGCGTTAAGTAAGAGTTATATACAGTAAGGATCAGGATTTCAGGAGTGGGGGAAATGGAAATATAATTTCTTCGTTGTAAAAGAGTACGGAACAAAGTTTATATAAAAAAAAATATCTCCTTACCGTGTCTACTACGTACGATTCGATGCGAATATTTTTCACCAAATGAATATCGATGCAAGTAGATATTTATTTGTATCGGTTTGTTCCTTGTTCCAGGACGCTTCGAATATTTATCCAAGGGAAGGAATACACCCTCGGATTGGATGACCGTGGAGTGGTCGAATTTCATCGGGGAACGAAAAAGCTCCCCGTTCCGGTGCAGCTCCCGAGTCTTCGGGTCGAGACTTCGGCTCACTTCGTCGTCGCTCGGCTCGAGTCGGCCGACGTTCGGGTCACGTGGGATGGCGCCTTGTTTCTTCAAGTCGAGGCTTCGGAACTCCTCTGGAACAAGACCGCCGGCTTATGTGGGGTTATGAACGGAGATCCGAGCGACGATTTAACCGCCAGGGATGGAAGTCATCCAAGGAACGTCGCCAACTTGGCGAACAGCTGGAAGATACAAAACATAGGCGGTAATTATGTTTTTGAATCTGGCGGTTAAGGTGAAGTTGTCGGACGCTTGCATCGCCGACCCTCGTCGGATTTTCCTGACCCCCATAAAAATTCCTTTCCCTTTGGACCCGGGGACCGCGATTGGCCCGAAGGCAACGTCCGCTGCATTTTGACCCAACGGGTACAGCCGTGGTGCTCATTCAAGGGTGTCAAGGGTACAGTCGCCAGGCCCGACCCTCGCTCCCATGGCCGAGTCCCATTCGATCGCCCTCACGCTCGGGGTCTACCCGTCCCCCGGGTTGAGCACCCTGGCGCACGTGTCCCTCTCGACCCGTCCGCACGTGCGTCGACGCGCCGGGCCTGCTCGCCTGGCGCCCACCCCGTGCAAGGAAGTAAAGCAAAAAAACTGCAAGTAAAAATTCCCCGATCTTGGAATTCGTGCTCGCACGCCCTTAACCCTTTCGTTACCTTGGACGAGACATTTCGCAATGCAATACTGGCCGATTAACGCTTTTGACGAGATATGTCGCGCCCCGATACTGGCCGATCAACGCTTTTGACGAGATATCTCGCGACCCGGTAGTAGCTGTATTTATTTCTTCCTTTTAGCTATACGAATAGAATTAGTTATAAAATATATTCATCTAGAATGTCAAAATATTGGTGCTAGAAAGCTAGATTATCGTCAAAAGCATTAATACGCTACTACCGGATCGCGAGATATCTCGTCAAAAGCGTTGATCGGCCAGTATTGGGTCGCGAGATATCTCGTCCAAGGTAACGAAAGGGTTAATCGGCCAGTACTGGGTCGCGAGATATCTCGTCCAAGGTAACGAAAGGGTTAATCCCGCGATCAGGCGCAGGTGACCTCGCTCCCTCGATACCTCCCCCGGCTGCCCCACGTCGCGACCTGGAAGGAGGTCACCCTAAGACTTGGATCGGGCTTCGATCTTATCCCTTTACCTATCCCTTTTTCGTAAACACCTCCTTCCGCGAGGGCCAGGCAACCGCAGGATTAATCAAAGGTTGGATAAAGCTGGCACTCCAGAAAAATCCTGTGGAGGGCGCCACTTGAGCGAGAAAACCCGGCGTAGCCTCGCCAAAAACTGTTTAGAGTGAGACGCTCCTCTCAAGGGACGCAGTTAGAACGAGACAGGGATAAGGTCTCGTTAGTATAAATACGGGTCCTCTGGGACCCGTCGACAGTCCATTTTCCCGGCCCGTCGCGAACGGCCGGAGGCCCTGCCATCGAGAAAGCACCATACTCTCCTTGAAACCGAGGTCACAGTTTTCTCGTGAACCCCAACTTCCGAGTCAACGTCGCGATCTCGCGCCACGGAACGCCCGCACCCGGTACCCTTGCCGCCTTCGGGCGCCGCGACGCGCGACACCCCGGGGTAACTCCGTCAGCTGGCGCCGCGACTCGCCTCGCAGCGGGACGCGCTCCAGGACAACGCTCCACGAGCCTGGACACCGCGGGACGTGGGAGAACGGCACCCCCGTTTGTCCTCGCGAGAGGAAGGGAGCGAGGAAAAAGTGAGAAGCACGGAGATAGGAAAACCGCGACCGTCGATGGCTCGGAACCCCGCTCGTAAGCGCGGGGGCCGTCAGACCCGGCGGGCCCGCGCCCGGAGACGCGCCGCCGCGGAAATCGGGGAGGTCGAGCCGCCCTTCGTTCACGCTGCCGTCGCGGCCCCGGCTGCTGCTCCTCCGACCGACAGGGACTGCCGTCGCCTCATCGACCGGGCCGAGGCCAACGGGTGGTTTTCCTCGGCGGCCGCCGCGGTTTTCGCCAACCCCGAGGCCCGCCGTCGAGCCCTCTACCCATTGCTCGTCCAGATTTTGCGGAACGTCGGCAACCCGGCCTCCCGGGAACCTCAGCCGCCCCGGCCGCAGACTCCACCGCAGTTACCTACGCCGCCACCGTCGCCGGGACCCGGCTTCCCCCAACGCCACGTCGAAGACAGGCGAGCACCTAACGTTCCTGGTGCAAGGGTCCGGGATCGCAGCCCCCTTGTTCCACCAGAGTCCGCGGAACTGGGGGGACGTAACGTCCCTGACCATCCCCCACCCCCGGGAGAGGGCTCTGGGAGATAGCGCAAAGGACCATCGTCCTCGCGGGGGTGTCGCCCTGCACCCTACCGGGCCAGCGGACCGCGAAGCTCCTCCGAGGAATTGCCTTCGCTGGCACCCGGGACACTAGGCTGCTCGATTTCTCAGACGACTAAAAAGCCTAACGGGCCCTGTGGGTGGACTACAAACGCCTTGTGGATGCAGAACCCGCGCAAAGACCTCCGGACCCTCCGAGAGGTGCGACAAACTTTAAACCTCCGGACGCTTCGCGTCGCGAGGGCGCGACAAACTTTAAACCTCCGGACGCTTCGCACCGCGAAGGTGCGACAAACATTAAATGTGCGAAATCACAGATGGCGCACGGGGTCCCTCTGCAGCCAATTAGGGAATAAAAAAAGGATGAATCCAGAGGATTTCTGAAGTTTTACTTCGATTTCTTCACAATTATTGCACAAAAACCACAGATGGAGCATGGCATTTAGTACAATACCCAATATAATTTAATGAATATTTGAAAAAGCTGTCGATATAAAAACGAACGTCGGCAATATAGGTATTTCACAATTTAGAACACTCTGGTATTCGATAAACTCGCATTTGAACGGGATAAAGGCAAAAAAAGTGTTGTATGCGCTTCTATGCTAAAACGATGGTAATACGAGGTCTCGGAGTGAAAATTTAATTGACCTGGAAAAATCACAGATGGCGCAGGATGACACTCTGCAGTCAATTAGGGCGTCAAAAACCATAAATCCAGGGGGGGTTTTATGTTTTACTTCGATCTCTTTATAATTATCGTACGCGCGCGCGAAAACGACAGATGGAGTGTGCCATAATTCGAAAAAACTGTCGATACAAATACGAACATCGGTAACATAGCGATCTAGAAGAATTCTTTTTACCGACGTCGATGAAATTTCTCGACTTAACCTTAAGACTTCCGGATACCTTGAGTCACCCTAATCTAGCAAAATTGTATTTTCAGAATCCTGCCAGGAGTACCCCAACGTTCAACACTCTTGTCTGTCGAATACTGACCTCGGTCAAGAGGCTTCCCGTTTCTGCTCCAGTTTACTTTCGGACAGAAAATTTCAGAGCTGTTCGAGGATCGTCGATATGAGGTTCTTGGAAAACACTTGCATGTGGGATTACTGTGCATGCGAGCAAGAGGATAGAAGAATATGTGCCTGCGACACCATGCACGTCTACGTCAGACAATGTGCTCACAGTGGAATCGTTTCACGCTCTGGCTGGAGAAACAACGAAACGTGTCGTTAGTATTCTCTCTAATCCACCTTAAGGTGAAGTGAAACCCTCTTCAAATCAGTCGATTCAAAGACACTTTTTTTTTAAGGGTATAGGACCAAACTGTCCGAAACTTTGATACGTCACTCGTGATCATCTAAGAATTGTCCTGACACATTCAAAAGTTGGATTTTTGGAAAAATTTGTTTAACTTAGCCCAGACCAGAACCAAAATGGCGTCGAGCTCCCATATTTCGATCAATATACAATTATCGAAGGCTCTGATATGAGAAACGAAAGGGTCAGGACAATTTTACGACAATTTAGAACACTCTGGTAATCGATAAACTCGCATTTGAACGGGATAAAGGCAAAAAAGTGTTATATGCGCATCTATGCCAAAACGATGGTAATACGAGGTCTCGGAGTGAAAATTTAATTAACCTGGAAATCACAGATGGCGCAGGGGGTCCCTCTGCAGTCAATTAGGGCCCCAGAAAGCACGAATCCAGAGGATTTCTGGAGTTTCACTTCGATTTCTTTATAATTATTGTACGGAAACGACAGGTGGAGTATGCCATTTGGTGCAATACCCAATATAATTCGACCCAGCTGTCAATATAAAAACGAACGTCGGCAACGTAGGCATTTAGAAAAATCTTCTTTATCGACGTCGATCAAGTTCCTCGACGTGTTTCACTTCACCTTAAGTATTCGATGTCGTTCGTCCATGCTTTCCAATGCATTTGGCGCGAAGCTCTGCCGAGTTTCCTGATATAAATTTGTTTGATAACAATTGCAGCGATGAAGTGCACGGGAGGCCGCGTTTACATGGCGTGCGGCCCCAGGTCGCAGCCATCCTGCGGAGTGGACCTGAAGACGAAGAGCAACCCCGAAGAGGAGTGCGAAGAGGGCTGCTTCTGCCCCGAGGGCAAGATGCTGCACGAGGGGAAGTGCATCCTCCCCGAAGAGTGTCCCTGCCGACTGCGAGGGAAGTCGTTCTCCCCTGGAAAGAGCATCCCTAAGGGCTGCAACACCTGCACATGCACCTCCGGGAAGTGGATCTGCACGCAGGAGAAATGCGGCTCCAGGTGCGCCGCCGTCGGGGATCCTCACTACGTGACCTTCGACGGGAAGCGCTTCGACTTCATGGGGAAATGTAGCTACCACTTGGTCAAGGGGGAGNAATGAACAAAATCGGAGGGGGACACCTCAGGTACCTTCCTTGTTAGTCTAGACTAAAACCAAAATGGCGCCGAGCTCTCATGTTTCGATCGATATATAATTATGAAGGCCTTTGATATGAGAAACGAAAGTGTCGGGACAATTGTACAACGATTTAGAACACTCTAGTAATCGACAAACTCGTATTTGAACGGGATAAAGGCAAAAAAGTGTCTTATACGCTTCTACGCTAAAGTGAAGGTAACATGAGATCTCGGAGAGAACATTTAGTTAACACTAAAATCACAGATGGCGCAGGGTGGCACTCCGCAGTCAATTAGGGCATAAAAAAATCACCAATTTAAGATTTCTGAAATTTTACTTCGATCTCTTTATAAATATTGTATGTAAACGACATACGGAGTACGCCATTAAGTACAGTACCCAATACAATTCGACACAGCTGTCGATATAAATACGAACGTCGGCAACGTAGGTATTTAGAAGATTCTTTTTTATCGACGTCGGTCAAATTTCTCGACGGGTTTCATTTCACCTTAATTTGTCTTTGTTCTATACTACTAATATATAAACAATTGATCGTTTTTCAGGCCATGAATCTCGATCCATCGAGGACGTCCGATTCACCTGCTTGCACGAAGAGTGTTACGATTAGGTTGAAAGATGTGTCGATCAAGCTGAAACAGAACCAACAGGTTTTGGTTAATGGAGAAGATGTCACTACTTTGCCATTGTTTGCTGGAGGTGCCAGAATTCGAATTGCCAGTAGCATATTTTTAGTCGTTGAATTGCCAAATGGTTTGGACGTTTGGTGGGATGGATTTTCTCGCGTGTATGTGAACGCACCTGCTGAGTTTCATGGTAAGGTTATGTATAAAAGGACATAAAAATAGTTTCAAAGACTAATTTAAATTATTTCTAGCTCCTATTAATAATAAATAAGGCGATATTTAACCATGATTTGTGGGCAATCAACCATTAGGGGAAAGTAGCTATTGTTTTTGCAATGTATCGAAGGTGGAAAATAATGATATGAACGAATTTAGGTTAAAAGTTTGATCGATGATGTATCATTAATGGGCATCAACAATCAGATGTTTGTAATGTAATTTAGTTATTGATGAAACGAATGACGAATATTTATTGATGAAACAAATGATAAATATTGGTTGATACTATTTTAATAGAGTATATTAGTTGTTGTATTTCGCGATTTAAAACATTTTCATGTTCCCATTATTCATTGTTAAAGAAGATTGGTTATTGAAAAGATAACATTTTTTAATCTGACGATAAAACAAACACTTCACACCAATGAAGTGTTATTAAAATTAAGTATCATAGAATAGATAACACGATTATGAACATTTGTTGGTTATGTTTTCAGGCAAGACCAAAGGATTGTGTGGCACCTTCACCGAAAACCAAAAGGATGATTTTCTAACACCAGATGGAGATGTGGAACAAGCAGTTGTGCCTTTCGCAAACAAATGGAAGACCAGCGAGCACTGCGAAGATGCTCCGAAGAAAATATCAAATCATCCCTGCGATACCGATCCCCAGAAACGAACCACAGCGGAGAAGTATTGCTCCAAACTGTTCAGCGATCTGTTCTCAGGTTGATTTTACTTTGAAATTGTATGCGATAAGAATCTTTAATATACATGTCCTATAGGAAAGAAATGAAGATATAAAATATTCATCTCGAAGGATCTAAAAATGAATTATTGAATGAACATTATCTATTATAATACGCAGTAACTTGGCAATCTCTCGAAGCATTAATTTAACAACTTGATAATTCATTCATAATTTATTTCTCTTTATAATAATTGCTGTTTAATTTTTTAAAAAGTCAAAATGAATTTCATACGATAAAATAATGAAATAAAATTGTGTGTTTAGGTTGTCACTGGCACGTCGACCCAGAACCTTATTTCAAGGATTGTTTGTACGACATGTGCGCCTGCGAAAGCGACATTTCGTTATGTCTATGCCCGATTCTCTCTTCTTATGCGAAGGACTGCGCCCATCTTGGAGTGAAGCTGAATTGGCGTCAGCAAGTTGACAAATGCCAGGTCCATTGTCCTGCAGGACAGGAGTACCAAATTTGCGGTAACAGTTGTACAAGGTAAAGATCGCGCAAGTAGACGAGACCTAGGTGAATTGTAACAACTTTTACATACACTTTTTTTAATTCCGTTACGACAGTAACAATACAGACAGCACAAATACATAGCACAGAGGTTCATAGGATATTCTTTGAACATATTTCAATATCAATAGGATATGGATTTATGTACCATGTACATTTTTTTTAAACATAGGATGAATGTAGTTTTGGTCAGTTTTTTATATTCGAAATATATTTAACGAAATGGAAATGGAGACTGGCCACAAAATTCTATTGGAAAACATATAGAGGCAATAAAAATAAAAAAAAACCGACCACGTGAATCGCGATAGAGGATATCAAGTGAATCCCATTTGGAACACTCTTCTCCCGATTTTTTTTTTAATTTGATTGGCCAATCAAATTTCTCAAAATCGGATTGGTCGACCCCCCACCACCAAGCAATCCGAACCGGCCAATCAGGACGCACGTCGACCCTATAAGAGGGGACATTTCATCAGGGTCTGCCCTTATGAAATGTGTTACGAAACGTCCGACAATGAACGCGGGTCCCTCCCGACAGCCCTAATCCATTTAAGGTGAAGTGAAACCCCCTTCAAATCCCAAAGTCCCCAGAGGACTTATGGAGTTTTACTTCGATTTCTTTATAATTATTGTAGGAAAACGACAGGTGGAGTATGCCGTTTGGTACAATACCCAATATAATTTGACCCAGCTGTCGATATAAAAACGAACGTCGGCAACGTAGGCATTTAGAAAAATCTTCTTTATCGACGTCGACCAAGTTCCTCAACGTGTTTCACTTCACCTTAAGGAACAACTCTGATCGCGGAAGCTTAAAATCTTTAATTAAAAAATGGTATTTGTAGATCCTGCGGGGACATATCCTTCCTCGAAAACTGCAGACAGGAGTGCGTGGAAGGCTGCAATTGTCCCGAGGGACAAACACTGGATGTCCATGGAGAGTGTATTCTTGTTGGACAGTGTCCTTGCGTCTACGGGGGCTTGGAATTCCTCGCGGGATATCGGGAAGTCAGACCTGGAATCAAGAGTCAGGAATTGTGCACCTGCGCTGGTATTATTTCATTTTAATACTTCTGACGTCAGAGAGGTATCGTTTATGAAACTTTTTCCCAAGTTGGGTGTATCGAATCGTTTCAAACTCGACAACGAGAATATGGAATATTACTTTTGTTCACTGCCAAGGACTACTCCTGTCCGTCCTAAAAAATTCTGAGCATAAGTACTTCTCGCGATTTAATTGCGTAAATTTATGCAAGCCACTGCGAGAAGGCTAAGCCGTGGGAAAAAATCTTGACAATGGTCATTTTAACGCTTTCGAGGTTCTAGGAGGTTCTGAATCTTCCTAACGTCAAAGAACCCATTAAAGTCAAAAAATCCAAATTTCCACGATTTCGGAATTTGTTTATCTTTTTGAACAGCTTTGGTTTATGAAAAAAAAAATGTTAGAAACAAAATTTAACGTAACACATACGTCTTCATCACAGAAACGTTCCAATAAGTCTGTTAATTTTGTTTATGTCTTACCCTGGATTCCAGGTTGGCACAGTCAGAAAAGTAATAAATTTGTTAACGTTTCATATATATAGAATGACCCTTTCATATCACTTTAACAGTAAAAAATCCAAATTTACACGATTTTGGAATTTGTTTATCTTTTTGAACAGCTCTGGTTTTTGTAAAAAAAAATGTCACAAACAAAATTCAACGTAACACATACGTCTACTTCACGGAAACGTTCCAATAAGCCTGTTAATTTTGTTTGTGCCTTACCCTGGATTCCAATCTGGAGATTGACACTGTCAGAAGAGTTTAATAAATTTGACGTTAATTCTGACGTTTTATATATATAGAATGACACTTTCATATCACCTTAACTGCAAATAGGAGGAAGATGGAGCTGCCGAGCGGCGACGCCAGAAGAAGTCCGAGAGTATCCTCCGATGTCCGACCTAAAATCGACGTGCAGCGCGAAAAAAAGGCAGCAATTAACGAACTGTCTGCCGACAGAGCCTAGGACCTGTCGGAATATGCACGAGATTACGAAAAGGGAGTCCCCGGCGGTCTGCAAGGCCGGCTGCGTCTGCAAACCCGGCTTCGTGCTGGACGCCCCTAGCGGCGAGTGCGTCAACGAGAAGGACTGTCCCTGCTATCACGGAGGCCGCAGCTACAAAGAGGGCTCCTCCATGCAGGAGGACTGCAACACCTGCGAGTGCAGGGATGGAAGGTGGAAGTGCACCGACAGGACATGCGCAGGTAACGTGTCCTTCCTGAAATGAGTTGACGAGCAGGGAAATATTAGGTTTGTTCGTTTTGCCTACACTTTTAAGAAAAAGGTACACTTTGGCGTTCGTTTTGACGGAAGTGACGCAGACGTCGCTGTTCCTTTTGCGAGGGCAAGACGTTATAAAAGCGTAGGCCGGGAATTCGGCGGCAAATTTAAAAATTTAAAAGACCAACAAACAGGAAAATACAAAGTTTATCCCAAGATCTCAACGTAATATAAATATAAACAATTATTAATACATTTTCTTCATGTATATAACGATTTAGCGTTTTAATATTTTACGTAATCTTTGAAAAATTGTCCAATCATTATTTATTACAAATTATGTATTGATTTGCAATTTATTTATTCACAATTATTATGCATTTCTGCATCATATATTATCACTATCGTCATTTGCTAGAAGATGTAATGGAGGAAGCATTACATCTTCACACCTTAATACAGGTAAATTTCTTTCTTTCTTCAGGTGTTTGCTCCGCGTGGGGAGACTCTCACTACAAAACCTTCGACGGAAAGATGTACGAGTTCCAGGGGGTCTGCGATTACGTCCTCGCGAAAGGCAGCTTGAGCAAGGACGAATCCTTCGAGGTTTCCACGCAGAACGTGCCCTGCGGATCGACTGGAGTTTCCTGCTCCAAGTCGATAACTCTGAACGTTGGAAGCGGATCCACCCAGGAGACCATCACCCTGACCAGGGGGAAGGAACTTCCGAAGACCAACTCGAAGAGGATCGTTACTCGCAGGGCGGGACTGTTCGTCTTCCTGGACGTCCCCGATCTGGGTTTGGTCCTACAGTGGGACGAAGGTATTGCACCGCGAATGTTTTACTCTTTTAAGGGGATGTGAAACCCCCTTCAAATCAGTCGATTCGAATACAACACTTTTTTTTAAGGGTATTGGACCAAACTGTCCAAAACTTTGACACGTCACTCCTGATCATCTAAGAATTGTCCTGACACATTCAAAAGTTGGATTTTTTAGAAAAATGTTTTAACTTAGCCCAGACCAGAACCAAAATGGCGTCGAGCTCTCATATTTCGATCAATATATAATTATCGAAGGCTCCGATATGAGAATCGAAAGGGTCAGGACAATTTTACGACAATTTAGAACACTCTGGTAGTCGGTAAACTCGCATTTGAACGGGATAAAGGCAAAAAAAGTGTTGTATGCACTTCTATGCCAAAACGATGGTAACGCGAGGTCTGCGCGAGAAAATTTAGTTGACCTGGAAATCACAGATGGCGCAGGGGGTCCCTCTGCAGTCAATTATGGCCCCAGAAAGCATGAATCTAGAGGATTTCTAGTTTTACTTCGATTTCTTTATAATTATTGTACGAAAGCGACAGGTGGAGTATGCCATTTGGTACAATACCCAATATAATTCGACACAGCTGTCAATATAAAAACGAGCGTCGGCAACGTAGGCATTTAGAAAGATCTTTACCAACGTTGATGAAGTTCCTCGACGTGTTTCATTTCACCTTAAGGGGGTGTGAAACTGACATCCGAGGTTCGTTCATAAAACTTTTCGCTGAACTGGGTGTACCGAATCGTTTCAAATTTTATAACGTGAATGTAAACTCTACAAAGAAGGTCCTGACACTCATGACAAGTCATTTCTTACACAAAATATTGAAAATACTTATACACAAATTAAAAAAAAAATTGAAATGTTATGGGGGTCAAGACCTTCCTTATAGCCGCTACATTCACATTTTAAAGTTTTAAACGATTCGGTACACCCAATTTGGGGAAAAGTTTCATAAACAAGACCTATTTGACGCCACTTTCACATCACCTTAATGTCTCGTGGTCTTTTTCAGGTACCCGAGTCTACATTAGGCTCCACCCTAAGTGGAAAACCCGAACCGCTGGTCTCTGTGGCGACTACAACGACAACAGCGAGGACGACTTCAAGACGCCCTCCGGGGGAGTCTCCGAGGCCTCCGCGAGCCTCTTCGGGGACTCCTGGAAGAAGGAGAGCCAGTGTCCCGACTCCAGGATCGTCGAGGACACTTGTGCTCTCCATCCCGAGAGGAGACTCTGGGCGGTCAGAGAGTGCGGGCTCCTGAAGACGTCGCTCTTCCAGGCCTGCCATTCCGAGGTCGAAGTGGGGCCGTTCCTGCAGAGATGCGTCTTCGACACCTGTGGATGCGATCAGGGTATGCATGGAGTTCCTGAAACATGAGACGTAAACGATTAATGCTTTTCATGCCCATGGACCACCCCGTAACAATAACATAACGTTTGTAACATGTAACGTAACATACATACAAAGATGAGCGGGGAGATGTTTCACGCCATTGTTTGAAAGGGAGGCACTGCCCCCTGGCGCCCTCCACGTCCTTTATACCTCTGTAAAAATTGGAACTACTTTCAAAGGGGCGAAATCTTCGTGATCGGTAAAACAGGGTATACGTGGGTGCCGCGTCGTAATCTCAATCATCCACGCATAACGACTTTATTTGGTATTCGTGGTCTTCTTTTCCAACCTACGTTGACCCTGATGTTAAAAACAAAAGGCGATAATTTCATTCTATTGATACTGTGCCGTATTTGAAATCTGCACACGGGTTTTTCTTTACCGATAGAGAAGATTTAGCCACTTTGAAAGCAGTTCCACGGCGCTAGGGAGCCGTGCCTTCCTTTCGACAATGGGGTGAAACATCTCCCTGCTCATCTCTGATACGTATTATATATATAAGTAAGATTTGTATTACTGTTACTTACGCAACTATACAGGATGTCCCATAATAGATCATTACGGCGATATTTTTAGAGCAAAAATTTAGTTACAGCTAAACGTCACAGATGGCGCGGTTGGTCTATTAGAGTATTAAAAATCATGAATTCACGGGATTTCGACAGTTTTACTTCGATTTCTTTATCATTATTTTATTGAAAATGACATATGGAACGCTTCATTTCGTATGCTTCTCAACGTAGACTGTAAAAGGCTTCAACATAAATATAAATGTCGGTAATGGGACGCGACAATTTATGTTCCCACTTGAGTATTCAAAACGGCATTACCACGAAAAATAGTATGGATGAATTTTATTTTATCAACGTCGATTAAACTTCTTAGCGCCTTTCATATCCTCTTAAATGTATTTGGGGCGAAACTGTACAGAGATTCCTGATACGATGACCCTTTCATATCATATCGGCGAGTTTGTGCATTCGAGTGAGAAGCTGAGCTCTTTCTGTTTACAAATTTGATGGTTGTTTTCCCTCAGGAGGAGACTGCGAGTGTTTCTGCACGGCTTTGGCGGCTTACGCTCAAGAATGCAACTCCAGAGGTGTTCCGATCAAGTGGAGGTCCCAGAAACTCTGCCCGATGCAGTGTGACGAAGCATGCAGCACCTACTCACCCTGCATCTCGACCTGTCCTCGAGAAACGTGTGATAATCTTTTGACCCTGAAGCACAGCTCCCATTTGTGCTCCGAAGACTCCTGTGTCGAAGGATGTCTACCCAAGCCATGTCCTGACGGAGAGGTTTACTTCAGTGGAAACTACTCCGAATGTGTTCCGAAGGCCATTTGCAAACCATCCTGTGCAGAAATCAATGGAGTAAGTGATTTTCTTAATACTCATTTTGTGACGATGAATATGTCACATCTCGAATGTGATCGATGAAAGTTTACGATACAACTTCTATGGTTTAAATGACTATTAATTAGTAAATTATTAACTGATATATTTTAATATATCTATGTTGAGGTGATATGAAAGGCGCTGAGAAATTTAATCAAAATGGTAAAATTTGAAATGAATCAGTACATCCATTTCGGAGATTCTTTTCACGAACGATTTAACCTCTCAGATATATACAGACTGACCTTTTCATATCACATTAAAAGTATGAAATCAACGATGTAATTGGTACAAATGTTTTTATAGCTTATGTATTACGAAGGCGATAAAGTAAACAGTGATAATTGTCAAGAGTGCTTCTGCAGCAGAGGGAAAATAATGTGCAGCGGTGAACCATGTGCTAACGAAACGATAACTGTCACCATGTCGATGGAAGAGTCTTTGAAGTGTATCGATGGGTGGACTTCATGGGTAAATCAGGACCGATTGGTAAAGGGAAGGAAATTACACGATATCGAGCCATTGCCCACATCATTAGTTTTGGTAATTATTTTAATACAAAGCCTTGAAAGAGATAACCTTAGTTTGAGGCAATTCGAATCATTGGAAATGAAATTTTATTGTTGCATATACAGAATGTACTTGAATGGGAATATTCCATTTTCAGAGCAGTTTCAGAGGATCCGCTGTGTGCAATCAAAGCCAGATGGTCGATATCAAATGTAGAACCGTAGAGGACCACTTAGCATCCAAAGAAACAGGACTCGACGTTGAATGCAGCTTGGAAAGAGGACTTTATTGCCAGCCGGCAACTAAAGGAGGTTCCTGTCCAGACTTTGAGATCAGCGTTCTTTGCCAATGTGAAAAGGAAATTACTACTCGTAAGTCTATCAGATTTTAAATTCCAATTCCCTAGATTTCTCCGGAGTGTCGATTGAAAGGCGATACTTAATTATTAAATTGAACATAATTTTACTTTATTTTAAATCAAACCATTCTTATAAGAATTTGATGCACATGTGAATCATTCTCTAGTGTTCAAACGAAAGTGGAATTACGAATCATCGTAAATTTATGTTCTTCGATTTACATTTTATAAAAATGAATCATTGTAAACATTTGTTCTTCGATTTGTAATTTCTATTTAGACTTTGAGATTAAGGTTCAATTATTCCATTTTTTTAATCCGCTTTGAATGGAGATGATTTAAACTAATTTTAATTAGCATACTAACTTTTAAGAAATATTCTTCGATATAGTGTTTCAATAAATATAGTTAAAATGAATTAGATTATTGAAAGTATATTAAGTTTATTAGTAAGGTAGATCATTGAATGGAGTTAATCTCTAATATTCTGCAGCTCATTTACTTTATTATTATCTATTCAGTGTATTATTATTATTTTTGTGTTAATATTTAATTTTCTACAGCTTATTCAGAACCAACAAGCACTGCGAGACCTGTATTCTGCGATGTAGACCATCCCAACCAAGCAGATTCCACAGACTGCCACTCTTTTTACCAGTGCGTCCCAGGATTAACCGGTGCAGAATGGATTAAAAAGTCCTGCGAAGAGAACCTGATGTACAATTCTATCCTGCAAATTTGTGATTGGCCTCAGAATGTCATTTCTCAGCGACCAGAGTGCTCGAAGAAGGAGACCACGCAGTCTCCTACAGCAGTTGAAGCTACAACCAAGAAAACAGGTAAGAAAGATAATGCTGTAATTTTTAAATTCTCTATAAGGTGAAGTGAAACACGTCGAGAAATTTTATCAACGTCGGTAAACATTATTCTTTTAAATACCTACATTGCCGATGTACGTATTTATTATACCTTATTCGAACCGACTGATTTGAAGAGGGTTTCACGTCACCTTAAACTATGGTACGAAAATAATTCTTCTTTTTAACTGTATTTATGAAATTCTGATGTTTTATTTACTTTTTGATAGACAAGTGCAGGATTGGCGAGGAATGGAACGAATGTGTCATTCAATGTAGCAGAACATGCAGTTATTATCAGCATGAATTACAACTCCGGGGTCATTGTAACGGAGGCAGTGATTGCATTCCAGGTGAGTTTGCATCGTTCAGTTCTCAATTTATTACAAATAACTGTTATTTTACTCCTGGTTGAAAACCTTTGTTTTCCAATTTATGAAACTTTAGCTGTATTTAAGGTGATATGAAAGTGGCGTCAAGAAGGTCTCGTTTATGAAACTTTTCTTCGAATGGGATGTACCGAATCGTTTCAAACATTACAATGGGAACATAGAGGCTTTAAGGAAGGTCCTGACATCCATTAAATTAAAAAATTTTTTGAATTTTTTTATAGACATTCTAAGCATTTGTTATAAAAAATGATATTTTATCTGTGTCACGACCTTCCGTAGTCTCCATATTCACGTTATAAAGTTTGAAACGATTCGGTACACCCAGTTAGGAGAAAAGTTTCATGGACGATAAACCTCTCGGATGCCACTGTTACATCGCTTTAATTTATTTGATAACTTAAGTTTTATTTCTTCCTGTTGTCTAAAGCAATTTTTATGTCATTTGTTTACTTTTTCCAGGATGTGTTTTGCCTGGCAAGCCTTCATGTCCAGCTGGGAAGTTTTGGAGAGATCTGCAGACTTGTGTCGATGCTTCGGACTGCATTTGCAAATCTCACAATGGAAAGTTAGTAAAACCTGGGGTCGTCATAAAGGAATCCGAATGCGAGACCTGTCAATGTCTGAACAACCATTACACGTGTGATAAATCGTCTTGTTTCACTACAAGTCACACTGAATCTACGAAAATAAAAATGTTCACCACCGAAGCAAGTACAGTCCAGAACCCTACGGAGTCTCAGAAAATAGAAACTACAAGGTAACAATTTTTACACATTGCATCGTAAATCATTTATACATATACACCCCGCACACGTCTTATATCGTAGATCATATATTGATATTCAAATTTTACACATCTTGCATTGCATTTAATTTCTATACATTTAAATTTTAAATATTTAGCATCGTAGTCGGTTTATGTTATTCAAGATTTTGAAGATTTTTTTACTATGGCTTAGGGTTTTGGTAGTAGCTTCAATTAATTTGTGCACGTATACTGTGGGTAGTACTTATGTTCAGAATTTTTCTTAACCGATAGGAATAGTCCTTGACAGTGAAAAAAATTCAAAGCCTCCCACAACCTCAAAAACATGATACATTTTCATTTTATCAACACATCCCGCATTTGTATTCCTATTTTATTGTATTTTACTTTTTATAGCGAACCATCGAAACCTTTGGAATATGAAACACAGCCCACAGTGCCTAGCCCAATCACTGATTACACAATAGTCGTCTCAACTTCTGTTTCGCCTGCTGAAGAATGTGATCGAAAGGACTTTGTACGTCTTATGGATCAAATAGGCTTCGAAGAGATTTCTTTCAATGCCAGCAGCATAAAAGGTCCTCTTTTCGACGCCAAAGAAGCAATTTTAAACAACAAAGCTTCGGAATGGTCTGGCGGCAGTTGGGAGCCAAAAGATATGGACGCAGAACAATGGTAACCTATATCAGCTTCTAACCCCCAAAGTGAATTGAACTTTGTCTAATGGTGATTGTCTTTATTGTAGGTTAGAAATCCAGTTTCCAAGACCTGAGCCGATTTATGGAATCATTCTACAAGGCAGTCCATGGGAAGACAAATTTATAACAAGCTATAAAGTACTATTTTCTGAGGATGGTCATGCGTTTTCATTTATTCCGAATGAAAAAGGAGAACCTGCTGTATTTCAAGGCTCGATAGATAGATCGACTCCAATTGAGCAGATCTTCTATAAACCCATCGAAGCGAGAGTTATCAGAATCAATCCACAAACTTGGCACAAGGAAATCGCTGTTAGATTGGATTTGATTGGATGTCGACAGGTTACGACAATATCTACCGAAGCTACTCATGGTCCCGTAGTCACAGAACATCCAGAATACTTCACTACAAGTGTTCCAATATTCACAGAAGAAACTGTGACTCCAGGTAATGACATTTAGCAACATATCGAGGGAGTATTTCCTCTTTTTTTAAATAATACTTCTTTAGTTGTGACAAATTAATTTCAATTAGTGTCGAAAAGAATACGTTACGTGGAATTTTTATTACGAAAAGAAACGCCGTCGGTGATAAGTAGGACTTATATTTTTAAGTAACGAATTCCAGTTCAATACTACATTTAACTTAACAATTAATAATGATCAAACCGTATTAATCACAAATCAGGAACAACAACCGTTGTAGTATTTGTAAGATATTTAGATGGATTACGGTGAAGATATTTTTAATCATATTTTTGTTATCACAAGTCTATAATTTCATTTTTAGAGTGCAAAGAAATGAACATGTTCAAATAAAGCAATATTTTTGTTTATTGACCTTTTATTAACGTCTTGCATCGAGGTAGTGATAACCTTTTTATAATCTGACACTGTGAAGTTTCACTTTGATAATACATAAGTGCTGTACACTATCAATATTTATTAATAATAATTGAAATGCTTTTCAGTCTGTGATGATTTGATGGGAGTGGATGATGGAATAATGTCCGATGAGCAAATAACAGCATCATCGACTTTGGAACATTTGCTTCCGGGTGTTCGAATAACCTCTCCAGGAATTTGGCAACCAAAACTGGACAGTCCCGGTCAATTCATTCAATTCGACTTTTTGGATCTTCGTAATTTAACTGGAATTGAAACAAGAGGTCATAATAATATTTGGACGACCGTTTACAAAGTGTTTTACAGCAACGATGGTCACCAGTGGAGTCCAGTAGTATCGCAAGATGGAACGGAGAAGGAATTTCTGGGAAATTATGACGATGTCAATTCAAAAGTCAACTACTTTGAGAGACCATTGCATGCCAGATTCCTGAAAGTTCAACCTACAAAGTGGCACGAGCATATTGGACTTAAAGTTGAAGTCCGAGGCTGCTTCTTGCCATATCGTAAGATACATTCTTTCATTCTAACCTATTCAGGATTTTTAATACTTCATTATTCGATCTTAATTTGATTATATATATTTTTAGCTAAACTGAAGACTATTTACGAAGAAATTAAAATTACGACACCGACGTCGCTTTCTAAATGCAATGTTTGTGAAGGAATTTCTAGTATCGAAGAAAATTGCAAGTGCGAAGGTTTGAAATGGTGGGATGGAGAAAACTGTGTTGATAAGCAGGAATGCCCCTGCATGGTTGGACATATGCCGTAAGTGTTTTGTTTTCTCAAAAATTGGGAGCATTTCTGAATCATTTTTCAGGTTAGGTTACAAATACATGTGAACTTTCAAGATCTGCATAACTAGACAAAGAGGAAGATATATTTATTATAGAGTTTTCAATTTAACGAAACTTGATAATGAATGAGTGTAACTCAGTATCAAACGACTCGTTTATTACTCAGTAAATAGTATCATATTTCTCACTATTTTACTTGTCAAGACTTCAGACATTTTGCATCCTAGCCTGAAAAAATAGCAGATAATTGGAACATCAATGAATTCACGTGTTAACACATTATGAGGTAGTACTTGTTAATAAAAAAAAGTGCTTTCAAATGTTTCGTCAACCAGAGAAGTCATTAATATAATAAATTTACGATAAAATATGACTAATCGAACAGTGGTTCATACGGTCAATACTAACCTGCAAAGGATTCACAATACTTTGAATTTCTCTCTATTGTACATTTTATTTTTGATCGTGTTTTCTTACAATGTGAATACAATAATTATTGTACTAATTTGTACTGCCTTTTTATTTTAAGGGCATTGTGAAAGTGGCATCCGAAGAGTTGATAGTTCATGCAACATTTCTCTGAACGGAGTGCACCGAATCATTTCAAACTTTACAAAGTGAATATAGAGGTTATAAGGAAGGTCCTGACTCCCATGAAATTTCATTTTTAATAACAAATTTAAAGAATACCTATAAAAACGATCCGATACACCCAGTTCAAAGAAAAGTTTCATAAACGAGACCTCTTCGATGCCACTTTCACATCGCCTCAAGAAAAATGAAAATCAGATATTGAAATAATTTTTTTAGATATCCAGTTGGTGCGACATATGAGACAGAGGACTGCCAGGAGTGCAAGTGTGCCATCGGAGGGACTCCTCTTTGCCATCCGAAGAAATGTGAACCCTGCGAAGAAGGTCTGCAGTCCGTAGCGAATGAACTCTGCAGTTGCATCTGCAAAGCCTGCCCTGAAAATACGAAGCTCTGCCCGACTAGCAATGTTTGTATCGACGAAGCTCTGTGGTGCAACGGAGTACAGGATTGCCCCGATGATGAGAGAAATTGCCCTCCGGAGGTCACAGCGACTGAAAAGGAAATCACCAAAACTGTTGTGACGACGACCACTGTAACAGAAAGTAATTACTTACTTTTCAATTCTTAATGCTCTTTTTCGTACATTTTGTGCTTGTTTTGATGACAATGGAATTTTTTAAGTCTTTAAGGTGATATGAAAGTATGATATAAACATACCAAGAAGTCAAATTATTTATAAAACTTTTCTCCAAACTGGGTCCACCAAATTATCTAAAACTTTAACACGTAATTATGGAGGCTCTAAGGAAGAACGCGCTGCTCGTGAAATTTCATTTTTCGAAAAAAATATCTTTTTTTGGTTCTTGTCCGAGAGAGTACAAAATTTTTGTCGAAAAAAGATATTTCATGAGCAGCGCGTTATTCTTTAGAGCCTCCATAATCACATGTTCAAGTTTCGAATAATTCGATACACCCAGTTTGAAGAAGTTTTATAAATATTTTGACTTTTTGTTATGTATATATCACACGAGAGTTAGGCTATATATTAAACTACGTAGCAAAAATTTAGTTGCAGCTAAACGTCACAGATGGCGCGGTTGGTCTATTAGAGTATTAAAAATCATGAATTCACGGGATTTCGAAAGTTTTACTTCGATTTCTTTATCATTATTTTATTAAAAAGGACATATGGAACGCTTCATTTCGTATAATTCTCAACGTAAACTGTAAAAGACTTTAACATAAGTATAAATGTCGGTAACGTGACGTGCCAGCTTATGTTACCACTTGAGTATTTAAAATGGCGTTCCCACCTAAAAGGGTATAGATGAATTTTATTTCATCGACGTCGATTAAATTTCTCAACACGTTTCATATCACCTTAAAAGGAATTCATGACGTGCTCGAATTTTATTTAATGAAGCGAAGTAATGCTTTTGGATCGGAAGAAATTATTCTAAGCGAACTTCCTTTTTGTTTCCGAAGAGCGTCGTACGCGTTGCGTGAAGCCCGAGTGTCCTCCGGGATATAGGGTCGTGAAGAAACGTTCATTTTGGAGTTCCAAGGGAGGAAACTACAGGAAAAGCTACGCTAACCACGTAAAGGGAGGTACAAAGGGCGGCAATGTCAAAAGCATGCCGGCTAGGAAAGGACAAAGTCAAAAGTAAGTATATTAATTCTTTAATAACAAAACACCACTATAATGGCTTCTTTTCGAAAGACGGTTTCGTTAATAACTTTTTAATAATAAAACACCATTATAATGGGTTCTTTCCGAGAGATGGTATTTTTTTTTTTTTAACAAACGATATTATTCAGGTTTTCGTCTGTGTTTTACTTAAGGTGAAGTGAAATTCCCTACAAATCTCAGATCAAATTATCCGAAACTTTGACACAGGTCTCGTGATCACCTAAAAATTGTCTTGACACTTTTCCATATTTGAATTTTCGAAACGAAATGTTTTTACTTAACCTAGACCAGAACCAAAATGGGGTCGGACTCTCATATTTCGATCGATATATAATTATTAAAGCCTTTCATATGAGAAACGAAAGTGTCAGGACAATTGTACAATGATTTAAAACACTCTAGTAATCGACAAACTCGCATTTGAACGGGATAAAGGCAAAAAAAGTGTCTCATGCGCTTCTATACTAAAGTGAAGGTAACATGAGATCTCGGAGAGAAAATTTAGTTGACAATAAAATCACAGATGGCGCAGGGGGTTCCCCTGCAGTCAATTAGGACCTCAGAAACCATGAATCCAGAGAATTTCTGGAGTTTTACTTCGATTCCTTTATAATTATTGTACGAAAAAGAGAGGTGGAGTATTCCATTTGATAAAATTTAGTTGACATTATAATCACAGATGGCGCAGGGGGATCTCCTGCAGTCAATTAGGACCTCAGAAACCATGAATCCAGAGAATATCTGGAGTTTTACTTCGATTCCTTTATAATTATTGTACGAAAACGAGAGGTGGAGTATTCCATTTGATACAATACCCGACCTAATTCGACACGACGGTCAATATAAAAACGAACGTCGGCAACGTAGGTATTTAGAAAGATTTTCTTTACCGACGTCGGTCAAGTTCCTCGACGTGTTTCACTTCACCTTAAAGCTTAAGAACGAAAGGGTTAATGAAGACAGAAAATGAATCTGAAACGATTCTTTTCAGATTGGAGGTCTTCGATCGTCCCGATAGAGTCGAGGAGGTTTCCTCGGAGGTTTCCTCGGAGGTGGAGTGTCCCGAATTCACCTGCCAGACCACCAAACCTCCTCCGAAATTCGAATGGGAGAAGGAGAAGACGAAATGCCCGGATGTAGTATGTCCGCCGAGCTACAGGGTGGTCTTCCAGAAGATGAGCATCTACAAATTGGAACCTTGCCCGAGGTACACCTGCAAGCCCGAGGATCCCGTCGAGGCCGTCTGCAACGTCACCGGGAGAACCTTCAACACCTTCGACAACTTGGAATATAAATACGACATCTGCAATCACATCCTGGCTCGCGACATGGACGACAACAAGTGGTTTATCACGAGTAAGACAAGTTCCGCGAATCTCGAGTTTAGATATGAGAAATTCGCCATCTTTTCAGCCAACAATTTAAGTTCAGATAATAACTTATCAAAACTTCCTTTATGATTTTTCTCTCGGATAATTATTTACCGAATTATTCATTAATAGAGTCAACCCATTCATAACCCGATGCCAGCGCCATCATTCCTCGTCGTTTCTTTTCGATACTATCAGTGACTCTATAATCACTCATCATCGTATTTTCAGGGTCCCACAAATGATTATTGTTACCCGTCAGAATTTTGCATCGTTTCATAACTTTAGTCTAATTTCTGTGTTTTGCATTTTTAGACTTTTACATTTTTTGTCTACGGTGAACATTTGTCGTGACTGGTCTGTATTTCAGATTCGAGCTTTTACATGGCCGTATCGAATGTATTGTTTTGTTTTGGATTTCGGCCCTTTTATTACTAAGGGCCAAGTAGCATTGTTTTTTTTTTTTTTTTCGTCAACGCTACGCGACGATCCCCCATCCAAGGATCGGCCGCGCCCGACGTCGTTTAACTTCGGTGATATTACGAATATCGAATATGTTAACATATTCGCGACCGGCAAATTTATTCCGTTTAAAACATAGAGTACCGGCGAAAATAATGAAATTCTGAAACTGGTTGCCGCAAACTTGTATCGTGTATCGTCATGGACGTGAATTCACGTCAGCGGCAACCAGGGATAGAATTTAAAATGACGTGAATTCACGTCAGCGGGCGCGAATGTGTTAACACTATTTCTACCACGATTTTGTGTATACCTATTTCGACCAAAAGGTTTTGACGAGCTGGAGGAAAATGATACCGCTAAATAAATTTAACAATTATTACACGAAAAGTCAAAACATTAATTGAGAAAAAATGATGAAGCTTTGAAAATAATTTCAAGTTAAAATTTTAAAAGGTGTCTTGACATATTTGGTAGAAATAGTGTTAATAATTTGGTGAATCCGTTTCCAGTGGAGAAGCGATGCGAGAGATTGGACACGCCGTGCCAGAAGGTGCTGGTGATAACGATCGGGGACCACGTGATCGTCCTGTACCCGGACATGCACGCGGATATCGACGAACACACGTTCACCAGGAGTCAAGTGAAGCGCATCGGGGACAAGAACGACCTCTTCGGCATCTCGTGTCTGGGCGACGCTCTGCGCTTCGCCTCGCCTCGGTTTGGATTCTGGATCATCTGGGACGAGAACGCCAACGCCAAGATCGGCGTCAGCAGGAAGCTCGCGGGCCACGTCGACGGACTTTGCGGATATTTCGATGGGTACTCTTCGAACGACCGGCAGATGGCGGATGGGTCTCGGGCGAGGAGCACCGTCGATTTTGGGAACAGCTGGGCGATGGATGGCGCACCTGAGTGCGAGTCGCAGGTGAATTGGGAAAATGTTGCCAACGAAAAGGGTCATCCACTTCCGATTTCGTTCGGTTTCAAATCTCCCTAGTACCATAAAATAATTTATAAATATTTTTTTTTGTCATTTCTGCTACATATGTCAAGCGATAGATTATTTAAGATGCAAATTGCAGGTGATTTGGATTTCATTCGGTTTCAAATATCTCTAGTACCACAAAATAATTTATAAATATTTTTTTTCTCATTTCTGCTACATGTCTCAAGCGGTAGATTATTTAAGATGCAAAATTGCAGGTGAATTGGGCAGGTTTTGATAACAAGGGTCATCCATTTCCGATTTCGTTCGGTTTCAAATCTCCCTAGTACCATAAAATAATTTATAAATATTTTTTTTTGTCATTTCTGCTACATATCTCAAGCGATAGATTATTTAAGATGCAAATTGCAGGTGAATTGGATTTCATTCGGTTTCAAATATCTCTAGTATCACAAAATAATTTATAAATATTTTTTTTTGTCATTTCTGCTACATATCTCAAGAGATAGATTATTTAAGATGCAAATTGCAGGTGAATTGGGCAGGTTTTGATAACAAGCGTCATTTACTTCCGATTTCATTCGGTTTCAAATATCTCTAGTAGCACGGAATAATTTATAAATATCTTTTTTTCTCATTTCTGCTACATATCTCAAGCGGTAGATTATTTAAGATGCAAAAACCAGAGTGTTCTAAATTGTCGTACATTTGTCGTAACCCTTTCGTTTCTCATATCAGAGCCTTCAATAATTGCATATCAATTGAAATATGAGAGCTCGACGCCATTTTGGTTCTGGTCTGGGCTAAGTTAAAAAATTTGTTTAAAAAATTCAAATTTCGAACGTGTCAGGATAATTCCTAGTCGCTCACCAGTCATGTGTCAAAGTTTCAGACGGTTCTATTCAATACCCTTAAAAAAAAAGTCTTATTCTAATCGGCTGATTTGAGGAAACCTTAATTTGAAATGTTTTTTTTTTTTTTTTCTAGGAATTAGACATTCAATATAGATCTTTGTAATAAATTCTTGAAGTAATTTCTTAGCAACTTGCTATGCAACAATAGTATTTGTAATGTATTATTTTTTTGTCTAACTTAGGTCTGTCCTCGTCATACTCAAGAAATGGCGTGGGAGATCTGCAACGCCGTGAAAGAAAGATCCTTGGCGGTCTGCGATGGCATCGTGGACGTTAAGAAATTCGTCTCCCGTTGCTTGGAAAACGCGTGCACCTGTTTGCAGTCTAATTCTTCGACCACGGATTGTAGATGTCGCACCTTGACTTCTTTCGTCACCGAGTGCCAAGCTGCGGATCAAAACGTGGATCTGACTTCTTGGCGAAGCGTTCACGATTGTCCTGCTCGATGTCCTTCGCCTTTCGTGCACAAGGATTGCTTCAGGTAGAGCAATGGAAAAGGGAAATTATTCTTCTTGAAGAGTTTAACGGCGTTCACCACCAAAGTGGGGACGATGACTTCCACCACTAGATGGCATTAGCATCGAATTCGGTGGGAGGTAACCAAAACGTACTTTCTCGCTCGGATGAGGGAGACGCACAACATAATGGGCGGTGTTTAGCAACGGGCAAAAACTGTGTGAGTCCTATACGTGCAAAATATGCACACAATTTTTGCCTGTTGCTAAACACCGCCCATTGTGCGTCGCGTCTCCCTCATCCGAGCGAGAAAGTACGTTTCGGTTACCTCCCACCGAATTCGATGCTAACGCCATCTAGCGGTGGAACTCATCGTCCCCACATTGGTGGTGAACGCCGCTAAGTTCTTCTTCACGTGGTAAAATATGGAACGAGTCGGTACATCTAACTTGAAAAAACCTTTGATGAACGGATTGACCAGTTTCAAGTAACCGTTACGTTTCATTTAATTTAGGAACAAGTGTGAGATCAGCTGCGACAACTTGAGAGAAGCCGAGCCGTGTCCCTTGACGAGGGGAGTCTGCTTTTCTGGTTGTTTCTGTCCCGATGGAACCGTCAGAAATGGCGAGGAGTGCGTCAGACCTGCCGAATGCAGAGATTGCACCTGCAACGGCCTCGGAAACTCGAGATTCGTCAACTTCGACGGTGGTAACTTTACTTTCCATGGGAATTGTACTTACGTGTTGTCAAGAGACATCGTTCAAGATGTCAAGGGAACACCGGCGAAGCACGCTTACGAGGTAAGGAACGATATTCAAAGAATTTTTTATATCCCAGATAGCGTTAAGGTGAAGTGAAACACGTCGAGGAACTTGATCGACGTCGATAAAGAAGATTTATCTAAATGCCTACGTTGCCGACGTTCGTTCTTATATCGACAGCTGTGTCGAATTATATTGGATATTGCACCAAATGGCATACTCCACCTGTCGTTTTCGTACAATAAATATGAAGAAATCGAAGTAAAACTCCAGAAATCCTCTGGATTCGTGCTTTCTGGCGCCCTAATTGAATGCAGAGGGACCCCCTGCGCCATCTGTGATTTCCTGGTCAATTAAATTTTCACTCCGAGACCTCGTATTACCATCGTTTTGGCATAGAAGCGCACACAACACTTTTTTTGCCTTTATCCCGTTCAAATGCGAGTTTATCGATTACTGGAGTGTTCTAAATTGTCGTAAAATTGTCCTGACCCTTTCGATTCTCATATCAGGGTCTTTAATAATTGTATATCGATCGAAATATGAGAGCTCGACGCCATTTTGGTTCTGGTCTGGGCTGAGTTAAAAAATTTATATAAAAAATCCAAATTTTGAATGTGTCAGGACAATTCTTAGATGATCAGGAGTGATGTGTCAAAGTTGCGGACAATTTGGTCCAATGCCCTTAAAAAAAAAGTGTTGTATTCAAATCGACTGATCTGAAGGGGGTTTCACTTCACCTTAAAGCGATAAGGTTCAAATGCGCAGGCGCGTTTCGCTAATCATTCCACACTACGAGTTTCTTGATATGAACTCAAATAACACTCCTGGAACTTATCAATGTTTTACAAATATTCACGTCGAATATTTCGTTGTTCCCAGAATAGCATGCAAATATTTAAGATATACAGGGAATATTCATGGAACGCAAAATGTGCGCCCGGTGGACAATAATCATATAATATCCACAGGAATTTTTGTTCAGATATTAAAAAAATATTGTCATCCTTTTAATAAAAATATTCCATATATATTACTGTAAAATGATCGGGTTACGAATAACCTTTAGTTTAATTATCAAACTTTTACATGGATTTATTGAAGTGAAGAATATTAATTGACAATTGCATATAAAAAGTTAAAAAAAAAAGAAGCACGGTAACATTCTTCGATAAATACTGAACATTACCAACATTTATATTGTTTTTATTATGATTATTTTTATATGGATTTTAAAAGATAAAAAATTAATTATAACAATTAAATATGAATTGCACCTATTAGTACGTGTAAAAATATTTACGGAGCACATCTTTCTAGATTTTGGTGAGCAGCGTCCCTTGTGAAAAAGGAATATGCACCGAAGCTGTGACTGTTTTGTTTCGATCACAATTTGTTCAAGTCAGAAGGGGAACAGGAGAGCACATTAAGGACGTAAGTTTCTTCTTTGATTTATAACAATCGTTTCAAGGATTAATACAAAAATATACTAATCTTTTAGAGATATTTTATAATTTTACAATTTCATCGAAGCGCAGCAGAAATATATTTTGCACCGTAGTCAACTCATTATTAGTGTTATATATTAGTATTAAAATACTTCATATCAACATTGAGCGTTATATATAACGCTCGTTGCAAGGATACTTTATAATGTTACAATTGCATCGAAGCGCAGCAGAAATATATTTTGCACCGTAGTCAATTCGTTATTAATATTAAATATTATTATTAAAACGTTGCATATCAACATTAAGCGTTATGAATAATTAACTTATTATGAGTATTAAGTGCAATGGAAAGCTGTAGTAAATATTTCTTTCGTGTCTTAGTTGGTGGTGATCGTAGATGGTTCATCGATCGAAGAACTTCCCTGGAGAGCTCCTTGGTTGGCCATCGATGAGACTCCTGGAAAAGACATTACGTTGCTTTTACCAGGCGTGCAATTGCAAATCATTTGTTTCCGGCATAATTTCGCATTTACAGTGAGACTTCCTTCGCACACTTTTGGAGGTGCAATGGAGGGACTCTGCGGTGACTGCAATGGAAGTCCCACCAATGACTTCAGGAAAGTGGACGGAGAGGTACTTTATTAGTTTCTTAACAAAGTGAAGTTTCTTAAGGAATTGGAAGGTAAATTCTTAAGGTGATATGAAAGATGTTGAGAAATGTAATTGAGGTCGATAAACTAAAACTCATGTATACCCTTTTCGGTGGTAACGTCATTTTGAATACTCAACCGGGAACAAACTGGCGCGTCCCGTTACCGATATTTATATTCATGTAGCTGTCTTTTACAGTCTACGTTGAGAATTATATGAACTGAAGCGTTCCATATGTCATTTCGGTAAAGGAATGATGAAGAAATCGATGTAAAACTGTCGAAATCCCGTGAATTCATTATTCTAACGACTGTTTAAGACCAACGTCGCCATCTGTGACATTTAGCTGCAACTAAATTTTTGTTCTAGAAACACGCGTTAGCTCCGAGACAAGCCAGCATTCTCTTGCAATTATTGGTGAAAGTATTTTCGATATTTTCCCATCTGATTCTGTAATATTCCATTCCCACGGCATTCTAAATTATTCGAGCTAGGTCTTGAAACTCTTGATTTTTTATTCTAAGTCTCCAAGAAGCGTCAAACATCGAAAACGTGCACGGACCCCGCGATGTTGGTTCTAGTCCATGATAAATAAATTAATTCTTTTATGAAAAATGAAATTTCATAAGTTTCAGGACCTACTTTAGGGCCTCCATATTCACGTGGTAAAATTTGAAACGAATCGGTACATCCTATTCGGGGAATACCTTTCCCAACGATTTGACTTCTCAGATATATAGACTGACTCTTTCATATCACTTTAACGAGATGCACTCATTGATATAGCAATTGTTTCGAAAGAAGAGAAAGCAATCTAGTGGATGTGAATTCCTTTCTCTTGTGCATTGGCAACGCCATCTACAGGGAAGGCCGAATTCATGTCCGCCAGGGTAGATAGTAGTTTTTTGTGCAGTATAGAATTTTTAGTGCTGTCGTCAGATCACTACTAGGAAAGATGAGCAGGGAGATGTCGAAAGGGAGGCACGGCTTCCTAATACAGTGGAACTGCTTTCAAAGGGGCGAGATGTTCTCTATCGGTAAAGAAAATCGCGTCTGCAGATTTCAAATACAGCACAGTATCGATAGAATGAAGTTACCGCCTTTTCGTTTTTAGTATCAGAGTCAACGTAGGTTGGGAAAGAAGACCACGAATACCAAATAAAGTTGTCATGCGTGGATGATTGAGATTACGACGCGACACCCACGTATACCCTGTTTTACCGATCGCGTAGATTTTGCTCCTTTGAAAGTAGTTCCGATTTTTCCAGAGGGGCAAAGGGCGTAGAGGGCGTCAGGGGGCCGTGCCTTTCTTCCTAACAATGGCGTGAAACATCTCTCCGCTCATCTCTGCTACTAGATATTTGCTAGATTTTTGGAAAAACTGTTATGTATCTTCCATACTTTGCAAGAAATACTATGTAGCTTCTGTGATTATTAACGGTACGAGTTTCTTGACAAATTGCAGGTTACAAGCGACGTCAACGAATTTGGATCGAGTTGGATGGCGACGGAGATACCGCCCGCCTTAAATTTGAACCAAACGCAGTGCGGAAGTGCACCGGAGGAAAAATGTAAACCACTGCAAGAAGGTCAGGACGGATGCGAAAGACTGCTGGACCCGTCGATATTCGGAAAATGCCACCAATTAGTGGACCCCACGCCCTTCCTGGCAACTTGCAGAGGTACTCTGTGCACCGGAGGCGACCTCTGCGACGACCTTGACGCGTATGCGAGAAGTTGCAGGCAAGCCGGACTCTGTCCCGATTGGAGAACCTCGGACTTGTGTCCTTACAATTGTCCTACACGTAAGTGGACATATCTATTTGCTTTCTGTTACCAGAGACGAGCGAGGAGATGTTTCACGCCGTTGTTAGAAAGGGAGGCACGGCCTCCTGGCGCCCTCTGCGTTCTTTACCCCTCTGTAAAAATTGGAACTACTTTCAAAGGGCGAAATCTTCGTGGTCGATAAAACAGGGTTTCGTGGGTGCCGTGACGTAATCTCAATCATCCACGCATAACAACTTTATTTGGTATTCGTGGTCTTCTTTTCCAACCTACGTTGACCCTGATTCTAAAAAGGAAAAGGCGGTAACTTCATTCTATCAATTCTGTGCTGCATTTGAAATCTCCAGGAGAAAACGTATCAAATATGGCGCATGGTGACATTCTGCAGTCAATTAGGGCTTCAAAGATCACGAATCTAAGGGTATTTCTGAAGTCTTACTTCGATTTCTTTATAATTATTGCACAGAAACGATATATGGAATACGCCATTTGGTACAATACCCAGTATGGTTCAAAAAAGCTATTAATACAATTTCGAACGTTGGCAACGTAGGTATTTAGGAAAACCTTTTTTTACCGACGTCGATCAAGTTCCTCGACGTGTTTCACTTCACCTTAATTAACATGAATTGATGTAATCTTCATTATTATACATTTAATCATTGTTTGCAGACTTGCAGTATCATTATTGTCGACCCAGCTGCAAGGAGACTTGCAGTAACGTTGAAGAACAGAAACCGTGTCCCTTGGACCTCACCGAAGGATGTTTCTGCCCCGAAGGAGAGGTTGTGCACAATGGAACATGCTTGTCGAAGAAGAAATGCCTAGCCTGCGATGATGAAGGCCATGTGGAAGGCGACGTCTGGCACCCTGACAAGTGCACTAGTTGCAGCTGCAAAAGGAAATCAGTGATCTGCGAGAAAATTGAGTGTCCAGCTAAAGAAACGATCTGCAATGAACGCTCCACGCCTGTGCTTGCTCCAGGATCTGACGAACAGTGCTGTGCCAGTTACATTTGTGGTAAACTTTATCATGTTTTAACATTAAATATGATTGAGACTGAAGAAATCAACCCCGTTAAAAAGTAAAAAGAATATATATGTGAGTCAATGCGTCTTGACGAGCTGAACGTAGTGCTGTGAGATGTATTGAAGTTAGTGGTGTAAATAGGTTAGGTTAGGTTAGATTAGGAACTCAGCATAGAAATGAATTTCTCGATAAAATTGATTTGATTTTATGAAATGGATTCCTTTTGAATAAGTTTCTTTTTCTGAAAATCATTTCATTTAACTTATCGAGGGAAGTCGAACGATATCCACATTTTGGGGATTCTTCGAAACAAACCTTCTAAATTTTTAGAAAATTCAACGGCTAAACTGAACTCGTGTTACTTGTGAATTCTATTCTTGATTTCATCTTATCAAAATGAATTGATTTATATCCATTCGTTTTTATTTTGGACTAACGACGTTCGGTAATGTTACTTCTTACCTAACCTAACCTCATCTAAGAACTGAATTTGCATCATTTGTGAGTAGTACTAGTGAATTCAGCTCTTTAAGACACTTTGAGCTGTAAAAGCTTCTTTGAATTTTGCATTCAGAACGTTTTTATAGTCCAGTCAGAATAAACAATACCTGTTGAGCGAGGGGATTAATCAAATTATTCTTTTGCAGTTCCAGAACCGATAACTGTCTCTCCGTTGTGCAAGGAACCTCAACAACCAGCCTGTGGATACGGACAAGTTATGAAGCTGACAACAGACTCCGATGGCTGCCAGAAATTTATATGTCGTACGTTGATTATTTTACAGATTTATCAGTATTTTTATAGTATAATTTATAGAGTGAGAAAAAGTAGAGTTCAACGTGTAAAAGTATACTTTAACCATCTCTCTGTAATTTGTATTTGATATATTTTAAGAGCTCTATGGATATATTTTTTGTTAGAATGCCTTCCTGCCGATGACTGTCCACCTGTGGATGAGATCGGACAGGAAGTCACCCTAGAAGTGAACAACCTCGAGCCAGGTTACGTGAGAGCAATCAATCGGTCTGGATGTTGTCCACAAGTGGTAAATCTGTGCAAACCTGAAACTTGTCCACAAGCTCCGAACTGTCCCAAATTTTATAACCTAAAAAAGAGAGAAGAAGCAAACTCTTGCTGTCCTCGCTACGAGTGTGGTAAGTATTTAAGATGATACGAAAGTGGCATCTGAAGGATGAATCGTTTATGAAACTTTTTTCCTAACTGGGTGCACGAAATCATTTTAAACTTTAGCACGTGATTATGGAGGGGGCCGATTAAAATTAAAATTCCATTTCAGTTATGTTACTCTGCGATTCAGTGCATCGAAGGCACCGATACGATAATTCTTTTTTGCAGAACCTCCGAAAGACATTTGCATTTACAATATAGTTTCTGGAAATGCACTGACGAGCATAGAGAATGTCACGGCCAAGAGAATCGGGGAACGCTGGAAAGACGGAAATTGTAAAACTTGTGTTTGCGAAGACTCCGGTGAAGGTCCTGTACCTAGATGCTTGATCACTGATTGTCCTCGAATAGAAGATCATCCGAATATCGATGATTTTGTGCTCGAAGAAGTCATTTTGGATGATCAGTGCTGCTCAAGTTACAATCGTGTCGCCTGCAAAGAACAAGGAACAGTTTATAACGTAAGGACATTTTCATTTATTAATTGCTAGTGTTATTTCTAGAACTGCGAAAGGTTTCTACGATGTTTTTTTATGCTTTTCAAAGCACAAATATTCAGTGAATTGTATTTTAATGAAATTCGAAAAGTCATGGCATAGTTTTTTTGTGCTCTCCAAGCAGAAAAATTTAACGATGTGTCTTTCAATGTAACCTCAAAATTTTATTGCGCCGCTTTTTGTACTTTCAAAATAAGAAAACTTTAAAGAATTCTATTTCAATGGAATTTCAAAATTTCAATGAGCAATGTTTCCATGCTTTCTAATGAAGGTTCATTCAATTATTTTTAGTAGAACTTTGAAACAAATAAATGGTACATGTGATTTCTAGCGAAGAATTATTTTTTAATAGGACGATGACCTTTAAAGATTTCTTAACGATGAACAATTTATTGAAAGTTAGGAGATTTCAAATGTGGTATTTGTAAACATTGAGAAACGTTCTTTATAAATGCAGAAATTTTTAGTGTGCATATATTGCAAAATACTCAAATTTGTATTTGAATATTCGTTAAAAGAGAATTAAAAATATTTAAGATAATAGTTTGAAAGTGTTTTAACTCAGCGATGGAAAATAAAAATTTCATCCAAAATTTATTAATCTCTATTCTTTAGTATATATTCATCAGAAACATACAGTCTCTTCGTCATGTGTTGTCAATTATGAATTGCACCGCAACTTCTAAGAAGCTTTTCTTCTCTTCTGTGAACGTTTAAATAAAGAAATGATTAAAACGTATATAATCGTTATGCTGAAATATTTTCAGGTCGGAGACACATGGCATCCCAATCCACATGATGTCTGCATATCTATCGAATGCAAAAATGATACAGGAATAGTATCGAAGAAGATTATCACTCATGAATGCAGTACTTCCTGTGAAAAGGGCTACGAATACAAACCATCGGTTGATAAAAGGAACAAATGCTGTGGAGAGTGCATTGCTGTTAGCTGCATCTTCAAAGATGAAGTTAAAGCAATCGGTGAATCCTGGCAGTCCGATGACTTCTGTGTTAATTATTCCTGCCTGACGGACAATGGAGTTGTAAGTTCAACACAATATTTTCACAATTCAAGCTAACTAATTTGTTTGTCTTCTAATCTTTATATCTAAATAATAACAAAATGTTCTATCGTATAATTAATATAATATTTATTTCTATTCATAATTAGATAATAATTAAGTAAAAATTCTATTAGGTAATTGATATAATATTTCTTATACTAACCTATGACTAAATAAGTAACTAAATATTATATCATGTAACCAATATATTTCTAATCCTCAAATATATAAAAAAAACATTTAAACCTTTTCAATCGTGTAACTAATATTTATTATCTAAATTTTTAACTAAATATTATATACAGTCGAGAAGCATGTGCAAAGTCTCTCTAAAAAATCCCTATTTCATAAATCTTATTTTAACATATCAACACATATTTTTCCAACTCATTAATACAATATTTTCTAATATATTTCAGTTACACGTGCAAAGTTCCACCCAAACATGTCCGGAGGTAGAACCTGAGATCGAAGCACAGTTCGAGATGGAACGAAGATCAATTCCAGGAAAATGCTGTCCTGAATTTGTGAAAACAGCGTGTCGACACAATGGGAAACTTTTCCTTCCTGGAGAATCTTGGAAACTACCCAACGACAGTTGTGTAACAGAAAGTTGTATCAAGGGAGTCAACGGTCTCTCGAAAGTGCAGGAGGTTAAGACCTGTTCCGAAGAGTGTCCATTGGTAAGTTATGTTTAAAATGAAGCACTACTGACATTGAAGAAGTATTTCATAAGACATTAAAGAAGCATTTGAAAAAGTCATAAAATTACGTTTTTTTTTATGACAAGGGTTGGGAGTACCAGAAACCAGTTCAGTCCGAAGAATGTTGTGGAATGTGCAAACAGGCATTCTGCGTAGTCGAAGGAGTTCTGTACAAACCTGAATCTTCCTGGACATCCGAAGACAATTGCACCACCTTTTCGTGTAAACAGCAAGACGGTCAAGTGAGTCTCTTTATCGAAATCATAACCCACCAAGCACTATGTTATCGTTACATAACACTGGAATAACATAATATATAACGAATGTTATTTAAAGGATACATTAATATCATATAACTGCAATGCTCGTAACAATGTTACCGAACTTATTAGCATTGCAGTTATATGATGTTAACATAACCTATAACATATTACCGATATGTAATGTATAGGTAAACGAATAATGAGAAAAATAGTAAATATCAAATGAAAAAACTGCAGTTTTTTCCAATAAGGAGTCTATTTTGCCCCACTTTATATTTCGTATTAATCGTATACATTAATCATATATTAATTATATTATGTTATCTTATATTTCAGTTGGCAATAAGTAGCAGCTCTCCGACATGCTCCGATGTGACCGATTGCCCTCCAAAGGCTATTTTCAACGATGGCTGCTGCAAGAGGTGTAACATGACCATCCTCGACCAGAAACGTAATCCTAATTTCTTTCATAAACTGTTCATGAAAACTATAAGATGATGTTTAAGTGGCAAAAAGATGAATACAACTTAAAATGTATTATAATTTGTTAGAATTGGTTTATAAAGCAAAGCTTTAACATCATTCTCCAGTTTTTAATGAGGAATTTATTTATTTAGGAGATTAATCAATTTGGTATTTGTTTGTAGTGAATTGTGCTGCCGAAGTATTGGAGCCTATCGGCACAATTGGTATTCTTATGGAGAGACGAGGCACCCATGGTTGGTGTAAAAATGTGGAGCCCATCGAAGGCTTTACGGAATGTCAAGGCACTTGCGCTTCTACGTCACACTTTAACATGGGTAATTATTGACAATCTATATTTTGAAAGAAAGTTTAAAAACTCCTTTAACCCTTTCGTTACGAGCGCCGACTTTAGTTGGTAACAAATTCTGCCATATCTATGGAGTATCATTTCATTGCATTGACTCGTATTGGATTAATCATCCTAAAAGTACATTTTGTATACGTAATGGCCATACGTAGTACAGTTTGGCCAACGAGACAAGATGAGAAGATCAGCTATTAGAATAACTTTTAATTTCAAATTAGACTTTCATTTGTAAATTTAATAATGGAATAATACGACAAAGCAATTGTCATTTAACACTTAGAAAAGTGTACATACAAAAGGATGTTAAGGTGTGTTTTTTTAAGGGTATTGGATCGAACTGTGAAATTTTGACACATGACTTGTGAGCACCTAGGAATTATCCTAACACTTTCACAATTTGGATTGTTGAAAAAAACTTGTTTACTTAGCCCAGAGCAGAACCAAAATAGCGTCGTGCTTTCATATTTCGATCGATATACAATTATCGAAGGCTTTTATATGAGAAATTAAAGGGTTAGGACAATTGTACGGCAATTTAGAACACTCTGTAAAAATTGGTCTTTTAATTAACTATGAATTTTGTTTTGTTGCAGTCCATGGGCGTCAAGAAATCGAATGCAAATGTTGCAAACCGGTGGACTACATGCCCATTGTCGTAAGGTTGGTCTGCGAGGATGGAAATATCGTTTCTAAACGCATAATAGTGCCGACTGGATGCTCCTGTGACTCGTGTGGTGCTACAAAACAGTATATTAAAGGCCGTTAATAATTAATTTCGATATATGTTCGTACCATATGCATTAACGGCGAATCATGTAACGCGAATATAAAATGTAGGTGTAGTACTTTAAGGTAGTTTAGTAGATACGTAAGTCTTGCGTGATGTTACGAATATTTTTTATAATTTTATATCGATTGTACTCACATACTCATGAATTTAAAAATACATGAGTTTTGTCTATTAATTCTCAGTGGAATTATTTGTATTGCGAAGATTCGCACACATTATGCCGGGGTGCATCGCAACGCATCGCATTTCAAAAACCCGCATTGGATCGATTTTATAGATTTTATATGGATCATCGCATATTATAGACGAAATATTGTGATGCATTGCCCCGGTTGTGATGTGTGCAAGCGTCACAAGAGGGTTTCGATGCCGGAGTCTCTCTGTCAATTGCTAGCGATAAGATGTTTTTGTTATAATAAAATGTGTACAATTTACCCGGTAGACGTACTCGGAGGATAAAATGATTTGGTTAAAATTACTATAGTGACATGGTTAAAATACTGTGGGAAGTAAAAGCACATAAATGAGAAAATTGACCACATGGAATGGGAAATGTAACCTTGCGAATAGGTACTGTATCCATGGCGCAGCACCTGAAAGGTGCAAGGGTGATCACCATTTGGAATATTAATATTAACTACATGAAGAGGTTACAATACGCACAAGAAAATGGAAGGTATATCTGGGAGCTGTAACCAGATATTATAGGAAGGTTATTCTAAACCTGCCTGTGTGATTGCAGAAACACTGGTTTATCCCATTAGTTCCGACAACGCCGCCAGGTGGCAAAACTCTTCTCAGGCGATGCAGCTACTCGGGTGCATATAAGACCCGTTACTGTACGTGCACGATGAAAACGCATTCATGTCCATCAGTGTACAAGTACAATAATAATGGTACGGTTGACGACAAGGGTCTGTATTAAGATCAATCATATCTACCAATGATAGAAGCGCCCAACCTCACCAGTCCGCTTGGCCAGTTTTGTCAGAAGAGGGGAAAAATCCAGCGTGCGGAATTTTCCCCTCCATTCCCGATGTCCCCACCACGACGTCTCCAGCTTTCCTTTGGAGCGCGATATTATATACAGTCGAGAAGCATGTGCAAAGTCTCTCTAAAAAATCCCTATTTCATAAATCTTATTTTAACATATCAACACATATTTTTCCAACTCATTAATACAATATTTTCTAATATATTTCAGTTACACGTGCAAAGTTCCACCCAAACATGTCCGGAGGTAGAACCTGAGATCNGTTGACGACATGAGACATCTTAAATAAATCTGTCGCTTGAGATATTTAGCAAAGATTACAAAGAAATATTTAGAAATTATTCTATGCTACTAGGGCACTATTCGCTTAAGAAATCAAAAGTGGCCCTACCCAGATAGCATAAAATATTCATAGAATATAGAAAAGAAGTTGGAAAATATTCCTCGTGTATATTCGACATTGGAATATACACGAGGAATATTTTCCAACTTCTTTTCTATATTCTATGAATATTTTATGCCGTCTGATTATAACCTAACATATATCGAACATTTACGGTATCCTTTATATTGTAAACATAATTTACTGAATTTCTACGATTATCCACGGTAAACTGCATGGTTTACGAAATATACGTGAAAAACCTTGAAACACGCGAAATTACTCAATCCTGTGTGCTAATAATAATTTGGCCAGCTAGTGAATAAATTGTTTAGAATTCTTACCAGATAAGAAATACCTTGAAATAATCACTAGAAACACGTGAAATTTATTTCGGTGAAGTTTAAATTAAAATAATTCCATACGAAAAAGCCACATGCTCGTGCAATGACTCCGTACATGAGTGTTTTTTTAAATTAATCTTATCTACTAATCGTAGAAGCGCATAAACTCAACAGTTTAGATAATTGCATTACCTTTAGACTTTAGGACAGTACATCATCGTTTTTTGGACTCCTCGCACGGATTTCTTGCTCGAAAATACAAATGGCATTCGTGGGGAATCGACTTCGTATAATTAGTCGATTTAAACATAAACATATAACGTAAATTTAAAAAAAATTGTACTAAACAAAATCGGCGAGTTGGAGACTTCGATGCTTCATGTGGAATTTGTGTTTCAGGTCTATGTATTTGCCTCAGGAGCAGCAATCAAATGGTAAATATAAAAACACTAGCAGCACAAAATATTTGTCCTATATTTTATATACATTTAACGAATATCGTACATTTTGTAAATATTGAACAGACATTTGAAATATNTTTTTACCAAAAATCTTAAAAAATATCCGAATGCATAGTTCTCCCTCCAACTCGGTGGAGGGAGGAAGTCGGACCTTGAGTCGAGCATTCTCATTGGCAGAGAAAAATTCCCGAAGGGTTTCCGCCCTCGAAGGCACCCGCGAAGCCGGCCGGTCACGTAGGCCGCGGATTCGCGGAAAAAACCCTCGAGTGGCGTCTGGTCGCCAGAAGCGGGCTTCGGAATTTTTAGAAAGTCAAAAAATCTGTTCGCCAGACGTCATCTCGGACCTTCGGCGAAAATCCTCGAAAAGAGACCCTTTGAGAATGCTCGGACTCGTAAGTTTTATTGCCCCCCTTTCGAGGGTGGCTTGGGTCCTTCGGTACGCGTGGGAAGGACCTCGAGTTTCCGTGGGCCTTGACTCGAGCGATTATAAAAGATTAAATTTATACTAATGATTAACGCGGATGGGCTATCGACGCTCCAGATAACGTTTCCCAAATATAGTTTGTTATCGGACAGGTTTCCTCCTTGACGGGGAGCCGTGATTCCGAGCTGTTGTATTGGACCAAACTGTCCAAAATTTTGACACATCACTCGTGACCATCTAAGAATTGTCCTGACACATTCCAAATTTTGATTTTTGGAAAAAATGTTTCAACTTAGCCCAGACCAGAACCAAAATGGCGTCGAGCTCTCATATTTCGATCAATCTGCAATTATTGAAGGCTCTGATATGAGATACGAAAGGGTCAGAACAATTTTACAACAATTTAGAACACTCTGGTAATCGATAAACTCGCATTTGAACGGGATAAAGGGAAAAAAAGTGTTGTATGCGCTTCTATGCTAAAACGATGGGAATACGAGGTCTCGGAGTGAAGATTTAATTGACCTGGAAATCACAGATGGCGCAGGGGGTCCCTCTGCAGTCAATTAGGACATCAGAAATCATGAATCCAGTGAATTTCTTGAATTTTACTTCGATTCCTTTATAATTATTGTATGAAAACGAGAGGTGGAGTATGCCATTTGGTACAATACCCAACATAATTCGACCCAGCTATCGATATAAAAACGAACGTCGGCAACGTAGGTATTTAGAAAAATTTTCTTTATCGACGTCGGTCAAGTTCCTTGACGTGTTTCATTTCGCCTTAAGGGGATATGGAAGTGGCATCCGATAGGTTAGTTTCTCATAGTGAATATGTAGTTAACCTGGAAATCACAGATGATGCAGGGGGTCCCTCTGCAGTCAATTAGAGCCTCAGAAAGCACGAATCCAGAGGGTTTCTGGAGTTTTACTTCGATTTCTTGATATTTTTTGTACGAAAACGAGAGGTGGAGTATGCCATTTGATACAATACCCAACATAATTCGACCCAGCTATCAATATAAAAACGAACGTCGACAACGTAGGTATTTAGAAAAATGTTCTTTATCGACGTCGATCAAGTTCCTTGACGTGTTTCATTTCGTCTTAAGGGGGTATGGAAGTGGCATCCGATAGGTTAGTTTCTCGGAGTGAATATGTAGTTAACCTGGAAATCACAGATGGCGCAGGGGGTCCCTCTGCAGTCAATTAAGGCCCCAGAAAGCACGAATCCAGAGGATTTCTGGAGTTTTACTTCGATTTCTTGATATTTATTGTATGAAAACGACAGGTGGAGTATGCCATTTGATACAATATCCAATATAATTCGAAACAGCTGTCAATATAGAAACGAACGTCGGCAACGTAGGTATTTAGAAAAATTTTCTTTATCGACGTCGATCAAGTCCCTCCACCTGTTTCACTTCGCCTTAATCCATTATGACCATTTAACTCTATTTTCTTTTACAGTCGAAATAAGAAACAACGCATCCAAGCAATTAGCCTTAACCTGGAAACGGCCGGCAGGGCCGCTAAAAGTCTGGAGGGTGATTGAAAGTAAAAAATTTACTCAAAATGGTAAACCCTTGAAAGTGTCCATTCAAGATATACCAAAAGACAGATACGATGACGTCATTTCTCATATGAGCGAACTTTATTCTAAAGATGAAACGGTTGCCAAAAGTTTCAGTGAGTCCTCTTTTCAATGTTGCGTATCGCTTTTCTATAATGTGCATATGAACATTTATTTGTTGGAAAAGAATGCATTAAAAACCATATCGCATTATTTCAGATGTCATCGATGCTCCAGTTTTTTTGGAGGATTATTGTACCGTTTGGCGTTTTGGACTCGAACAAGATATTTCCGTGGGAGCTTTCGTCGAAGATCCAAAAGGTGGGAAACCACTAATAGTAGGTGTTAACATTCAATATGTCGCATCTGAGGAGGATAACGAGATGAAGAAGAAAATTCCGGTATGTGTTTTTTAAGTACACTCTTTGAAAACATTATTAAGGTGAAGTGAAACACGTCGAGGAACTTGATCGACGTCGATAAGGAAGATTTTTCTAAATGCCTACGTTGGCGACGTTCGTTTTTATATCGACAGCTGGGTCGAATTATTTTGGATATTGTACCAAATGGCATACTCCATCTGTCGTTTTCGTACAATAAATATCAAGAAATCGAAGTAAAACATCAGAAATCCTCTGAATTCACGTTTTCTGGGGCCCTAATTGACTGCAGAGGGACCCCTTGCGCCATCTGTGATTTCCAGGTCAATTAAATTTTCACGCCGAGACCTCGTATTACCATCGTTTCGGCATAGAAGCGCATACAACACTTTTTTTGCCTTTATCCCGTTCAAATGCGAGTTTATCGATTACCAGAGTGTTCTAAATTGTCGCAAAATTGTCCTGATCCTTTCGTTTCTCATATCGGAGCCTTCGATAATTATATATTGATCGAAATATGAGAGCTCGACGCCATTTTGGTTCTGGTCTGGGCTAAGTTAAGAAATTTTTTTAAAAAATCCAAATTTTGAATGCGCCAGGACAATTCTTACATGATCAGGAATGATGTGTCAAAGTTTCGGACAGTTTGATGGGTATTAGACCCTTAAAAAAAAGTGTTGTATTCGAATCGACTGATTTGAAGGGGGTTTCACTTCACCCTAAGAGTGATGTGTCAAAGTTTCGGACAATTTGGTGTAACACCCTTAAAAAAAAGTGTTGTATTCGAATCGACTGATTTGAAGGGGGTTTCACTTCACCTTAAGGGATGTGAAAGTGGCATTTCAGTATTCTCCGAATTGGGTGTAGCAATTTGTTTAAAATTTTACCACATGAATAAGGAGACCCTAAGGTAGGTTTTGAAACTCGCGAAATTACGTTTCTTATTAAAAAAATGTTGAAAACAGTTATAAACAAATTCCGTGGGCGTCAGGACCTTCCTCATAGCTTCTATATTCACATTGTAAGGTTAAAACGATTCGGTATACACAGTTTGGAAATAAGTTTCATAAACGAGACTTTCATACCACCTTAAAACGTTCAATACTAATTTATTCGATGCAAAATATCGTATAAACAATTTCCCTAACACTCATGTGATACTAATAATTTCAGTGTAACAACTGTTATATTGATGTTTTGTTGGTCATGATTACAGTTCAAGACGAAGGAGATAAAAAATATATTTTTTTCAATCGAACGATTGAAAGACAACGTTAACATTAAAGAGCGATATGGCACAAAAACGTATTTATGTGGATACGGCCTAAGCACGGTTCCGGACTTTAGGGGAGACGGTATTGGGAAACATTTATTTACACTCAGGTAAATTTGTTATCTTATAATATTTAATTCTTTTTCTATCTGCAAATGTAGAGATTATATAAATATTTTCTATCTGCAAATTTTCAGGTCGCGATGATGCAGTACACCCACACGCCGTTGTAATAATGTTATTTGTTTGTCTTGTATATGTCTCAAAAACGTTGCTAATATTTATGAAAGCCCGTCACACATAACTCGCGTTAAGGTGAAGTGAAAACCCCTCAAATCGTACGAATAAAATATTACTATTTTTAATATTAATACTTTTTTCAAGAGTCGTCTGAAACTTTGACACACGACTCGAGAGCACCTAGGAATTATCCTGACACTTTCTAAAGTTAGATTAAAAAAAAAAAACTTTTTAACTTAGCCCCGACCAAAACCAAGATGGCGTCGCGCTCTCATATTTCGATCGATATACAATTATCGAAGGCTCTAACATGAGGAACGAGAGGGTCAGGGCGTTTATTACGTATTTTTGACGAGAGAGCTCACTTCTCACACTTTCATCTCACGTGGGTTTATTCGCCGAATCACGTATTGGCTATATGAAAGAACGAAATCACTAGCACTTCCGGTCTAGTAATATTGCAAGTAAAGATACATTTTTGACAAAAAAAAACTTTAACGTAGCCCCGACCAAAACCAAGATGGCGTCGCGCTCTCATATTTCGATCGATATATAATTATCGGAGGCTCTAACATGAGGAACGGAAGGGTCTGGGCGTTTATTACGTATTTTTGACGAGAGAGCTCACTTCTCACACTTTCATCTCACGTGGGTTTATTCGTCGAATCACGTATTCGCTGTATGAAAGAACGAGGTCACTAGCACTTCCGATCTAGTAATATTGCAAGTAAAGGTATATACCTTGTAAATCGAACATTGTTGATAGGTGTGGGTATAGACAGAAAAGGCGGGAAAATTGAAAGCCGTTAAAAGTAAAGAAGACGACTCGAGTCTATTCATATTTTTTAAATATGTATTATTAGAAGTTCAACGATATAATTTTCTTATCATATGTAAGCAAGAATTATTTAACAGTTCTCAATGTTTAATAATGTAATATAACCTCGTAATAACAAACACTAACCTGTACATCCTAGTAAATTCTCTTTCTTCTCACGAAAACGGGTCTCAGGCATCACGTAATTCCTTTCTTCTTCTAATAAGGTTATTATTACGTCCCCGAATACGATTGTTGCCAAAAATCAAAACACCCAGCAGATTTTCCATTTTGAATTTTGGTGTCACAATCCGTGGAAGATGGCGCTTATTTTTCTATCTTTTCTTATACGTTTCACTATTTCGGTAAACAATTTGTGCCGAGCCAGTTCACACGAATGGCCTCGCATTTTCACCACTAAAAACGTTGCGTAATACCGTCAGCTACTCATTTTTCACATCTTCACTCAAATTGCTTTACGTAATAGACCCCCAGGACAAATGTAAAATATAGAACACTCTGGTAAGCGAGAAACTCGCATTTAAACGGGATGAGTGCCAAAAAAAAGTGTCTTACGCGCTTCTATGCTAAAACGATGGTAATACGAGGTCTCGGAATGAAAATTGAGTTGATATGGAAATCACAGATGGCGCAGGGGATCCGTTTACAGTCAATTAGAACCTCAGAAAGCATGAATCCAGAGGATTTCTGGAGTTTAACTTCGATTTCTTCATAATTATTGTACGAAAACGAGAGGTGGAGTATGCCATTTGGTACAATACCCAATGTAATTCGACACAGCTGTGAATATAAAATCGAACGTCGGCAACGTAGGTATTTAGAAAAATTTTCTTTATCGACGTCGATCAAGTTCCTCGACGTGTTTCACTTCACCTTAAGGTGATATGAAAGGCGCTGAGAAATTTAATCGACGTAGATAAAGTTATTTCCATCTATACCCTTTTTGGTGGCAACGCGATTTTAATTATTATAAAAAAATAATAATTATAAATACTCAAGTGGTAACATAAACTGGCGCGTCCCGTTACCGACATTTATATTTACGTTGGTGTCTTTTACAGTCTACGTTGAGAATAATGCGAACTGAAGCGTTCCATGTGTAATTTCGGCAAAGTAATGTAAAAGAGACTGATGTAAAACTGTCGAAATCCCAAATAAAATTTCATAATTATTGTATGAAATATGGATTATGTACGATATATGGATTATGCAATTTAGTACAATACCCAATATAATTCAGCACAGTTGTCAATATAAAAACGAACGTCGGCAACGTTGGTATTTAGAAGAATCTTCTTTACCGACGTCGATCAAGTTTCTTGACCTGTTTCACTTCACCTTAACACTGTAGATCGGATAATCGAATTGCGAATGACTGTAACACCGATAAGCAAAAGTAAATTCTTCGTTACGTAAACGTGATTTTTACTTTTCAGGGTCAAACGATACGAAAGAGCACCATGAAGTATGTAACAGTCGAAATGGTTGATAAGAATTCATGTTACTTTTTTGCAGAGATGACGTTGCTCTGGAATATGGCGTCCCTGCGTCGGTGGCCGCATTCACAGGAGACATTTCGTGGAGATTGGCCGTTAGTGCAGGTTTTGATGTTTTAACCGATGTAAAGTTCTGCGACCTGCTGGATGAAGATGGACAGCCCATTTTTCCTTATTTAAAAAAAGAAACTATAAAGATTATGGGGAAAAAATATAGATAACGATACCTTGGAGATCTTGGTGTCTATTACGTATTTTTGACGAGCGCACTCACTTCTCGAACTTTCATCTCACGTGAGTTTATTCGCTATATGAAAGAACGAGATCACTAGCACTTCCGGTCTAGTAATATTTCAAATAAAGGTACATACCTTGTAAATCGAAAATTGTTGAAAGGTGGTAGGTTATAGGCAGGAAAAGCGAGAAGAAAAAAATCCGTTAAAAGCAAAGAACAGGACTCGACTCTATACATATTTTTTAAATATGTATTACATTCATATTTACATGTACTATAATTAGAAGTTCAACGATATAATTTTCTTATCATGTCACGTAAGCATAAATTATTTAACAGTTTTCAATGTTTAATAATGTAATATAACCTCGCAATAACAAATACTACAAAATAAAGTTCCTTTATGCCAAATTGGCTCGATAATGATAACTATTCTTTTTATACCAAAAGAGTGTTTTATTTATCATCGATTAAATTAAATGATTGGTGAGTCGAGTCAAATAAAAGATTATTAACACACATGTGACCAAAGTCGTCATGCCGGTATGACTTTCTTTTTCAATTGTTTCATGGATGGCGACACTTTGTTTGTAACAATTTTTAAACAATTTCATCAGTTGATATATCTTGTCATCGTCACATGGGTCATATGCAAATAATAGGGTTAGACGTCCGGATTGATCGATTGGTGAATTCAAGATTGATTCTGGCACGTTGCGGCCAGAAATAAATATTTTTAAATACAGTTTTCTTGTGAAAATAGGGTAAGAACAACAATTCGTATTATATTCATTAAATTAATGTTATGGCGATATCTTAATATTGTAATGATCTAATGAGATTTTCACTTTTTAGGTCAAACATTTCACGACAGAGAAAATTAAGAATCCTGTATAACTATTTGACGAAATGTTATGTATGATTAATTATGTTGTTATAATGAAATGTTTGGATATTCAAGCCGTAAGTAGTTAAGAGTCTAGTTCTAATTAGAAACAGATAGTCGTTAGATGTTAACTCAATATCAATCATGTACCAATTATTCAATGTTCAAAATATGAGACTTTGACGCCATTTTCGTACTGCCCGGGCTAAGTTAAAAAATTTTGTCCAAAAATTGTAATTTTCAAAGTGTCAGCATAATTTTTCAATAATAAGTCATGTGTCAAAGTTACAGACAGTTCTATTCAATACTCTAAAAAAAAAGTGTTATTCGAATCGACTGATTTCAGGGGGGGATTTCATTTCATCTTAAAACCTTCTACCCGCACTTCCTGCGCCATACAAAAAAACTCCCGCAAAAATTACCGTACAAAAAAACCCAGTCGATTTTTTAAAAAAAATTGTGCGAGAAAGTCCTCTTTGAAGAGTTTCCTTATTTGGCTATTTTTCGCAATTGTGACTTCAAGTGTGACTTACCGCTAAATGCTAAATGGAGTTTCTCATAATGGGTACTTGTATTTCATTAAACTTGCGTTGTAGCGTACAAAAACTATATATTATTCCAAACGTTTCTTAACAAAAAACGCGTATACATATATACACTTTTCCTACAGCCGGCCTGCCACTCGATATATATCTATTTATATACATATATACAAGTCAAATATGTACATTCGCATGTAACTTCTAACATTAGATTTTTCTATGATAGTCAGATTTGGGTAGGTTTAATACTTCGTGTAATATACGTGGTTATCTACGTGTATATACCCCAATAAGTAGTATAAGCACATCTAACGCTATTTATTGAAATCGTCCCTACTTTAGAGGTCCAAGAACTTCAGATTTTTTCCGATCTAGCGCCAAGAGCGCCACCTCGATGAAATTTTTAGTCTTTGTCGCGTTAAAAAAATCACATTCTGTATATTATGCGCGGATTATCGTTTCGCTTTGCGTACCTTGATTGCAAAATTAAAAGCATTTTAAATAATATACGCCGATAGGAAATGTTTTCGTGACGTAGACTGGAATTCTCTCGTTTTCCGCAAGTAGCGCTCGCATCGTTAAATCAGCGAAAATTTGAGATCGCTAAATAGTATAAGGAGATACAACGCCATAGAAAATGTATGCAACACTAATCCACTATTCATAACTATAAATTAAATGATTAATAGTCAAGTGATGAATAAAAATCAATAAAAATAATGAAACAGGGAAAAATGAATACTAGGATCAATACTAAAAGTTTCTGATATTAAGAAATTATGTTATGTAATATTATGAAAGGGTCATTTTATACATATAAAACGAGAAAATATTTAAAAAAAACTTTTCTCCAAACTGAGTGTACCGAATCGTGATGAACTTCGGCACGTGATTACAAAGGCACTAGGAACAAACGTGGTGGGCATGAAATTTCATGAAAAAAAAAATGTGTTGGTGTAGTTTGGGATAAATAAAAAAAATGTTTCATATCAAAAATGAAACTTCATGAACACCACATTCTTCCTTAGGGCCTTCATAATTACATGTTGAAGTTGCTAACTATTCGATGCATCCAGCTCTAAGAAGTTTCATAAATATTTTGAAGTTTCATATATATAGAATGATCCTTTCATATCATCTTAATGATTATGAACTACACGATCGCCAGAAGCACAGCCGCTGATTGGCTACTTAGATAACGAATTGAAATTAAATTAAAATAACTAAACCGTTTACGCAAATTGTGTTGTCAGTAAAAAACTAGATGACTGTAAATATCAATTAGATGTAAAAGAAAATCATTTTACTTTCCGAGTCGAATCCCTTAAAGTTATGTATACTATCTTACCATAAGTAGGTCCACTTAAATAAGTGATAAAGCGCTTGTAAATCGATTCGAAACAATGATGAGATGTACGTAAAGTGTAAAAACTTGCGTTATGCGTGTCATTAAAGTGATACGAAAGGGTCATTCTATACACATAAAACGTGAAAATATTTATGAAACTCATCTCCAAACTGCACCATCTCAATTATAAGTTCAGCACGTGATTAATGAGGCCCTAAGGGCAACCTCGATGCTCGTGAAATTTCATGTTTGAAACAAAAATTTCTTTATTTATCCCGGACTAGAACCAGGAACATATATTTTATTTTTTTTTAATGAAATTTCATGAGCATCGCGTTCTTCCTTAGACCCTCCATAATCACGTTTTAGAGTTTCAGATAATTCGATGTACCCAGTTTGGATAAAAGTTTTATAAATATGTTGACGTTTTGGTACGTATATATCTCCTTAAGGGGATGTGAAAGCGTCATTCTATATACATAAAACGCGAAAATATTTATAATACGTTTCTCTAAACTAGGTGCACCAAATGTTTGAAACTTCAGCACGTGATTAGGAAGGCCCCAAGGAAGAACGCGATGCTCGTGAAATTTCATTTTTCAACAAAAAAAATCTTTTTATTTAGATTAGACTGGAACCAGTCACATTTTTTTCTGAAAAATGAAATTTCACGAGCATTACGCTCTTTCATGGGGTATAATCACGTGCTAAAGTTTAAAATTATTTGATGCACCGAGTTCGGAGAAAAGTTTTATAAATATGTTGACTTTTGGTACGTATATATGACACTTTCATTACACCTTAAGGTGATATGTAAGTGCGATACATATATAAGAAAAAGTGAAAATATTTATAAAACTTTTCTCCAAACTGGGTGCACCGAATAATCTGAAATTTCAACACGTGATTCTGGAGGCTCTAAGGAATAACGCGCTGCTCATGAAATTTCTTTTTTCGATAAAAAATGGTATACTTATCTCGGACAAGAACCAAAAAAAAAATGCTTGGTTAAAGAAAATGAAATTTCACGGGCAGCGCGTTCTTTCTTAGAGCCTCCATAATCACGTGTTCAAGTTTCAGATAATTCGGTGCACCCAGTTTGGAGAAAAGTTTCATAAACGCGACCTCTTTGACGGTATTTGTACATCACCTTAATGCGTAAGGACCCTGCAATGTCTGTACACAACAACGTGGGTAGAAAGCCGGGTACAGCGAGTACGATAAAGACCTATTCTTTTATAAGAGGGAACTTAAGAAGTCAGCTTAAAAGAAAATAACTGGTTTATAAGTAAGGCTGCCACCCCGCGAAAAGGCGACAAAGGTTCCTAGGATCTCGAGCTTGTTCGATCAGACTTCCGACTTGGCCAGCAACGCTGGAAGCGACACCTTCCTCGGTCCCTTGCAACTTTTGTTCCACTCGTAGAAGCGCTCTCTCCGCCAGTTTGTTCGTCCCCGTGGAATCTGTAGGATAAACATTCATTACTTGTCCGGTTGTAGGTCCTAGGGTGTTTTAATACTCTAATGGACCCACGGCGCCATCTGTGACGTTTAGCTGCAACTAAACTTTTTCTCCAAAAACACGCGTCACCCACGGAACAAGCCAGCATTCTCTTCCAATCGTTGGTGAAAGTATTCTCCAGTTTCCCATCTGACTTTGTAATATTTCATTTTTTTTGGCATTCTAAATTGTTCGAGTTAGGTCCTGAAACTCTTCATTTTTTATTCTAAGTCTCCAAGAAGCGTAAAACATCGAAATCGTGCCAGAGCCACGCTATGTTGATTCTAGTCCGTAATAAAGAAATAATATTTTGATGAAAAATGAAATTTCGTGAGATTCAGGACCTACTTGCGCGCCTCCATATTCTCGCGGCAAAATTTGAAACGAATCGGTACCTCCAATTCAGAGAATACATTCACCAACGATTTGACTTCTCAGATGCATACAGGCTGACTCTTTCATATTACCTTAAGGTGATGTAAAAGTGACGTCAAAGAGGTATTGATTATGAAACTTCACTGAACTGGGTGTATAGAATTGTGTAAAACATAGCAACGTGAATATAGAGGCTATAAGAAAGGTTTTGGCACTTATGAAATTTGAATTATTAAAAAATTCGTTTAAAGACTTCTACAGTTGCTTTTTATAAAAAATGAAATGTCGTGGGTTTCAGGACTTTCCTTATAGTCTCCATATTCACCTAGTAATGTTTGAAACGATTCGGTACACCCAGTTCGAAGAAAAATTTCATCAACGAGACCTCTTGACGCCACTTTCACGTCGCCTTAAAAGTAGTTCCAATTTTTACAGAGGAGTAAAGAGCGTAGAGGGCGCCAGGGAGCCATGCCTCGCTTTCAAGCAATGGCTTGAAACATCTCCCCACTCATTTCTGTATATACTAACATTGTTAGAAAAGGAGACACGGCCCACGGGCGCCCTCTACGCCCTTTACCCCTCTGTAAAAATTGGAACTACTTTCAAAGGGGCGAAATCTTCGTGATCGGTAAAACAGGGTATACGTGGGTGCCGCGCATAACAACTATGTTTGGTATTCGTAGTCTTCTTTCCCAACCTGCGTCGACCCTGATACTAAAAACAAATAGGCAATAACTTCGTTCTATCGATACTGTGCCATATTTGAAATCTGCAGACGCATTTTTCTTTACCGGCAGAAAACATTTCGCCTCTTTGAAGGTAGTTCCACGGCGCTAGGAAGTCGTGCCTCCCTTTCGACGATGATGTGAAACATCTCCCCGCTCATCTGTGTTAGTATATGGATCAATGCAACGTGTCCAATGAAAATGGGAAGGTACCTTTATCACTGTCTTCGGAGAATCGCTCGGTAGAGCCGCCCTGGCGATTATAAGCCTGCGCCGGAGTAATGGCCCAGGAGAAGAGGGGGTCGTAGAGCAGAACCTGCAGGAGCATAATGATGATCTCCTTCCGGTCGCGCAAGACTCGCATGGTCTCTTCGCAACATCGCCTCATGATCCCGTCCACGCCGGAAGCTCCCATGGCCACTTCCATGTCTCTGGTCAGTCTGAATGGCACCGTTTCAGGAGTAGGAAGCACCTTTCCCTGCTCGAATGCTATACCTGGAGAAATAAATCATACCAAATGAAGCTCATGTAATACATGGACTGCGCACACCTCTGCACGGCACTGATCTACCCACTGAATACCAAACCTAACCTTTGGCGTTTGTGTTTAAATTCTTTCGACTTAACCCTGTTTAATATCCAATTTGAATGTACTTTGTGCTCGCGTAGAAAACTGGGGACGTATCATACGTTGTAATATACACGTAGAAAACCACGCATATTACATGACGTATTATACCTACCCAATCAGGCCTATGATCATCCACAATTCAGATTTAAATCTTAAGCAACATTGTATCGTTCAGATGACCATCTCGCTCTTACCAAAATCGATGTGGATAACTTCGGCGGTGGATTTGTCGATCAGGATGTTCTGTACGTGTCTATCTCCCAGGCCCAGGATGTATCCTATTATGGACGTGGTCGCCACGCTGAAAAGAACCGACTGGTTATCGATTTGTTCATGAAAAAGTATTTTTCTTCAATGGGCCGTTTTATGTTATGGTAAGCACGAATGTCTTCCTCGCGTTATGGTGGCGTCAGTCAAAGAATTCAGAAGTTCCATAGAAGCCCAGAAGGATACGGACGTTTGATGCTCGATAAATAGTACGTTAGTCAATGGATGGTGGCGCTGTAATCATCTCTCCGTCTCTCTTAATCTTATAGCGATAAGATACTGTTGACTAACACATGCGATTTTTTTTTTAACCCCACTCCTGGTTTGTTAGCCAACTTTTAGAGCATCAAGCGCTAACATAGAAGCCCAGAAGGATACGGACGTTTGATGCTGGATAAATAGTATGTTAGCCAACGGATGGTGGCGCTGTAATCATCTCTCTATCTCTCTTAATCTTATAGCGATAAAATACCGTTGACTAACACATGCGATTTCTTTTTTACCCCCACTCCTGGTTTTTTAGCCAACTTTTATAGCATCAAGCGCTAACATAGAAGCCCAGAAGGATACGGACGTTTGATGCTGGATAAATAGTATGTTAGCCAACGGATGGTGACGCTGTAATCCTCTCTATCTCTCTTAATCTTATAGCAATAAGATACCGTTGGCTAACACATGTGATCTTTTTTTACCCCCACTCCTGGTTTGTTAGCCAACTTTTAGAACATCAAGCGCTAACATAGAAGCCCAGAAGGATACGGACGTTTGATGCTGGATAAATAGTACGTTAGCCAACGGATGGCGGCGCTGTAATCATCTCTCAGTCTCTCTTAATCTTATAGCGATAAGATACCGTTGACTAACACATGCGATTTCTTTTTTACCCCCACTCCAGGTTTGTTAGCCAACTTTTAGAGCAGCAAGCGCTGACATAGGATCTGGGCTTCTATGGAACTTCTGAATTCTGTGCGTCAATGTAAGAAGGGAAGGCATTCGCGTCGATGTATATTACCTCCTTGTAAAAGCTAATCGCCTTTCAAACCAAGTCTCTGGCGATGGATATGTTTCCGTGAAGAAATGGTGGAAGGCCGGATGCATGTTTTTGCAACACTCCAAATATACCTTTAGTTTCTCTTCGTATGACTTCATGGCTGCGTCCTTAAAGAAATAACAATTTCACTTTAATCTTAATTACTTGAGATGAGACAATTTATGTATGTAGGATGTAAAGGCGAGCCGTCTATCTGACTTGTCACATCAAAGATGAGAAAATTGTGCTAGTTCCAAAAACTTTTACAGCGTTCCCTTCGAAATGAAACGAAGCATCTACCCTGATAACACCATTGTACTTGTGAATATTCTGTATATGTGTACATTTATAAGCCAGACCATGCTTTGAATATTCTCCATGAATATTCACTGTATATATTAAATATTTCCATCATATTCATTTGAAATATTAACACGGGTCGCTCATGAAATTTCATATCTCAAGAAATTCCTTTGTAACTAAACCAAAGGATAGGCATTTTTTTATAATTATCCCTTCAAGAAAGAACTTACCGCCATCTTTGTTCTACAGGTCGAGGCACTGTAATCGTTCGGATAATATTTCTGATGTACCCCTGGAATATCGCCAACTCCTCCAATGAGAACCCTTCCAATCGGTACTGTATTATCGCACCATTGCAGCACTCCGGATCTCTGGCTTAATGGAACCACCTGAAAAGGCACGACAACATTGTAAAACGTATATTAACAATGCGGGAGAACGTTTCTTCTATCCAATCTGTTGCAGAAGACTAAACTTCGAAAATACTGCTTCAGCGCCTGGTGTTGATACGAGTTTTATATATGTATTTGGCGCGAAACTCTGCCGAGTTTCTTGATCCCTATCCAGTTGAAATATCCTGGTTCAGTAAAGAGTACCTTGTACGTCCTGATGTTCAACTTCCTCTTGTTGGCCTCCTTGCTGGCTTTTAAAAGAGAGTTCATGACGGTGAACACTTGTTGCATGACCGCGTCTTGCCTCAAGTCGTCTTTGCCCTTCGAGGAAAAATAAGGAAAATGAATTACAAAGTGCCGAGGAAAAGGTATACAGGGTGAATCAGGAGGAGGATATATATTGGGAAACAATGTACGCGATTTAGAAACTTCATTATCACTTTTGTTAAGGTGAAGGAACTCGATCGACGTCGGTAAAGATTTTTCTAAATACCTACGTTGCCGACGTTCATTTTTATATAGACAGCTGGGTCGAATTATATTGAGTATTGTACTAAATGCCATACTCCACCTGTCGTTTTCGTACAATAATTATAAAGAAATTGATCTAAAACTCCAGATATTGTCTGGGTTCAGGGTTTCTGAGGCCCTAGTTGACTGCAGAGGGACCCCCTGCGCCATCTGTGATTTCCATGTTCTACTACTACAATATCAGGTATTTTCATGCAAACCTTTTTTGTACCGATCAAAAATATTGTTTCCCAAAGCGTTTCTCCCTCTCCTACAAACTAGACCCATAAAAAAAGATATTGAAAAATACCAACTTTGACTAGTTCTCTACTAGGAATTCCGTCAGTGCCGACACAGGTGATCTTTTTTGGAGCGTTTATGCCCCCTACGACTTCGTAAGTGTCCATGTATTTGTAGACGCCGACTACGTCGGTGTAATTCCCATTTGGCCTCACAGGAACCTCTCGCGTCAGCACGTTGACGTTAACCAAGTTTCTTATTTTCCGGATCTTTTGTACACTTGGAATATTTTGTATACAGCTACCTGAAAGGAAAATCACGTCTGAGAAAACAGGCGACGAGAAAGATCGCTATTTACGGTGAAGTGAAACACGCCCAGGAACTTCAACCCTGTCGGCAAAAGAGGTTTTTCTAAATACCTACGTTCGTTTTTAAATTGACAGCTGGGTCGAATTATATTGTGTATTGTACCAAATGGCATATTCCACCTTTCGTTTTCGTACAATAATTATAAAGAAATTGAAGTAAAACTCCAGAAATCATCTGGATTCATGCTTTCTGGGTTCCTAATTGACTGCAGAGGGACCCCCTGCGCCATCTGTGATTTTCAGGTCAATTAAATTTTCACTCCGAGACCTCGTATTACCATCGTTTTAGCAAAGAAGCGTATACAACACTTTATTTTGCCTTTATCCCGTTCAAATGGGAGTTTATCGATTACCGGAGTGTTCTAAATTGTCGTAAAATTGTCCTGACCCTTTCGATTCTCATATCAGAGCCTTCGATAATTGTATATCGATCGAAATATGAGAGCTCGACGCCATTTTGGTTCTGGTCTGGACTGAGTTGAAAATTTGTTTTGAAAAATCCAAATTTTTAACGTGTCAGGACAATTCTTAGATGATCAGGAGTGACGTGTCAAAGTTTCGGACAATTTGGTCTAATACCCTTAAAAAAAAGTGTTGTATTTGAATCGGCTGATTTGAAGGATGTTTCACTTCACCTTAAACCATCTAGCAGTGGAAGTCATCGTCCCCACTTCGGTGGTGAACGCCGTAAACGTTCAGCTGCCCTTTCGTTGAAAATGTGAAACGTTACTTACGACTCTGTCTCCCGGTCTCTTTCTTCGGCTGCCAATTGGCCAGCATCACCAGGGCGCGAGACAAAGTGTTCATCTCCTGTATAATCGGCTTGACATCGGTGTTCAACAACTTCTCGACGAGATTCTTCGCGCCCCGGACCCGGGGCTGTGGAGTGATTTCGCTTCCGCTTTCGTAATACTCATGGTCCTCGTACAAGTTCATCAAAGCCAGCAGAACGGGTAAAGTGTGGTGCGGATGATCCACGGCGCACTTCTCCAGGATGCCGTTGATCTTCTTGGTGAAGACGTCGGTGACGTTGCTTACGCGAGACGCCAGCTGAGGAACCAACGGCAGGAACTTGAAGGACGGGATCTTGAGCAGATTATCTCGGAAGAGCTGGTTCACTCCTTCCTCGTATTTGTTGTCCAGCCAAAGGGAGACCAGCCGGAACATCAGGAAGTTGTGGTCGTCGCTTTGCTGCAGAACCTTTAAGTACGACCTGAAATTCAGGAAAGGGCGAATGAGCGCTTTGATTTTTTCCTTCGCTTCTCTTTTTTCTATACTACTCTTTTAAGGTGAAGTGAAACACGTGGAGCAACTTGATCGACGTCGGTAAAGAAGATTTTTCTAAATACCTTACGTTGCCGACGTTTGTTTTTATATCGATAACTGTGTCGAATTATATTGGGTATTCGACCAAATGGCATACTCCATCTATCGTTTTCGTACAATAATTATAAAGAAATCGAAGTAAAACTCCAGAAATCCTCTGGATTCGTGCTTTCTGGGGCCCTAATTGACTGCAGAGGGACTCCCTGCGCCATCTGTGATTTCCAGATCAACTAAATATTCACTCCGAGAAACTAATCTATCGGATGCCACTTCCACATCCCCTTAGGGCGAAATGAAACACGTCAAGGAACTTGACCGACGTCGGTAAAGAAGATTTTTCTAAATACCTTACGTTGCCGACGTTCGTTTTTATATCGACAGCTGTGTCGAATTATATTGGATATTGTATCAAATGGCATATTCCACCTGTCGTTTTCGTACAATAATTATAAAGAAATCGAAGTAAAACTCCAGAAATCCTCTGGATTCGTGCTTTTTGGGGCCCTAATTGACTGCAGAGGGACCCCCTGCGCCATCTGTGATTTCCAGGTCAATTAAATTTTCACTCCGAGACCTCGTATTCCCATCGTTTTACCATAGAGCGCATACAACACTTCTTTTTGCCTTTATCCCGTTCAAATGCGAGTTTATCAATCACCAGAGTGTTCTAAATTGTCGTAAAATTGTCCTGACCCTTTCGCTTCTCATATCAGAGCCTTCGATAATTGTATATTGATCGAAATATGAGAGCTCGACGCCATTTTGGTTCTGGTCTGGGCTGAGTTAACAAAATTTTTTTTAAATTCAAATTTTGAACGTGTCAGGACAATTCTTAGATGATCAAGAGTGATGTGTCAAAATTTCGGACAGTTGGTCTAATACCCTTAAAAAAAGTGTTGTATTCGAATCGACTGATTTGAAGGGGGTTTCACTTCACCTTAATTCTACTTTTGCAATTATTCCTATAAATGCGAAGACTTACTCGAGGGCTAGGAGTAGATAAACGTTTCGCTCTTTCTTGATGTCCTCCAATTCCGCGCTATCGTTCCTGCTCTGCTGTTGATTTAAATTCACTGCTCGTTTGGTGTCCATATCTTTCCGCGACCTCAGCTTCGTCGCAACGTCGCGGGAGTATTCGATGCATTCTTTTAAGCTCTCAAATTGCGGGGACTTCATGTACGCCGTGATTTGTTGGTAACGCGTGTCCGCGTAATGCGCCAAAGCTGCGTAAGAGTCGTTCCTGTTCTTAATGTCCTTCGGCGTCGGGTTTCTTATCTCCTGGCTGACTCGTATGGACTCCCGAAAATAATCGTCTATCACTACCTGGAAAGGAAAGATGAAATCTTCAATAAATATACGAAACGGTAAAATCCCAACAAAAACACCTTCGGTGTAAAAAAAAAAGACCAGTTCATTGTCTGATGTATTATCATGATGTTACCTGATACTCCACCTTCCGGAAACACTACGAACAATACTACAAAGAATCAGTTGCCACTAGCTTATTATTAATTTAAAAAAAAAAAAAGAAAAGTACGACAAACCGTTTGAAGTAGCAGTAGTAATCACTTTATATTGACAAAACAAGGACCAACAAATTATTTTTCTACTTCAACCTACTAAAATGATGAAATCAACCGTTGCTGACAAGTTTAGAACAATTTGACCCGTGTACCGATGGCCTTTTAAAGTAGTGAAATCAGTTACCGCAAGACAAGTACAAATACAACTCGATTAGTAATCACTTTATATTGACAAAATAAGGACCAACAAATTATTTTTCAACTTCAACCTACTAAAATGATGAAATCAACCGTTGCTGACAAGTTTAGAACAATTTGACCGGTGTACCGATGGCCTTTTAAAGTAGTGAAATCAGTTACCGCAAGACAAGTACAAATACAACTCGATTAGTAATCACTTTATATTGACAAAAAAAGGACCAACTAATTATTTTTCAACTTTAACCTACTAAAGTTATGAAATCAATCATTGCTGACAAGTTTAGAACAATTTAACCCGTGTACCGATGGCCTTTTAAAGTAGTGAAATCAGTTACCGCAAGACAAGTACAAATACAACTCGATTAATAATCACTTTATTTTGACAAAAAAAGGACCAACAGATTATTTTTCAACTTCAACCTACTAAAGTTATGAAATCAACCATTGCTGACAAGTTTAGAACAATTTGACCGGTGTACCGATGGCCTTTTAAAATAGTGAAATCAGTTACCGCAAGACAAGTACAAATACAACTCGATTAATAATCCTTCCTATAACTTTGAATTGTTAATATATTATATGAAAGTAACAGCAAATAAACTTTCAAAAATATCTAACGATGTATGCTAGTATAATACTTTCATGGTCTATCATTTTCCTCACTTTTTGGCCTCCACTTGATTCTATAAGTGACTAATCTTCATTCTGAACCATTTAAAGGGTTGCTAATCGCAGTACCGAACTTGTCGGGCCCCTTGCATAAATTACCGAAACAACGATGAAAATTGATATTTCGTCCGCTCTAAATCCGAATGCACATCATTGCACTTTTATTATGACGCACTAATGATAGTTTTTATATAAACAGTATATTTAAGTGAAACATTTGTATGCGGGTGCCAAATTGTCTCAAGTTTGACAATGTGAATATGGAGGCTATAAGGAAGGTCCTGAAACCCAAGACATTTCAATTTTACGATGATTTGTTTATAGCTATTTTGAACAATTTTAAAAACAAAAGAAGTTTCCCGAGTTTCAGGACCTACCTTAGAGTCTCTTAATTATTGTTGTAAAATTTGAAAGAAATTGGTAAACCCAATTCGGAGAAAAGATTCATGAACGAGTGACCCCTAAGATGCCACTTCCACACCCCCTTAAAGTGATATAAAAGGCGCTTAGAAATTCAGTTGACATAGATGAAATAATATTCATCTATACCCTTTTTGATGGTATTGCCATTTTGATAAACTCAGAAAGAAGCCCTGAGTTATTAGACAGACCAAATGAAAAGTATTCTCTTACCCGTGGATTCTCCAACTTCATTTCTACCATCCAATTTCCGTATACTCTTAGAACTTCCGCCCTAAGACGCGGATTCAGAGATTTTTTATTCATCAGGTTCCTCAAAACGGGCCGGGCGATGTCCTGATGACCTTGAGTCCAAGATAGTAAACCTCTTCGATACAACACTTGGTCTCTGTCTTCTTCCGATAGGAAGTTTTGGGTCGCTAGCGTAGCTGTAAGGAAATTCATTAAAAGAGAACGCCCTGGGTAATAGTAGCAAAAATACAATTAATCTCGATATCGTTATCGAGTTAAGGTCATATGAAAGGCGCTGAGAGGTCCAATCGACGTCGGTAAAATAAAATTCTTCTATAAAAAAATATCATTCAGATATGTATATGACATGCTACTTCTTATGTGTATGAAGTATCAATTCCATGTTCAAACAATATTTCGTTAAATATATTTCGAATATAAAAAAACTGACCAAAACTACGTTCATCATACGTTCAAGAAACGTACATAGCACATAAATCCATATCTTAGGAATATAGAAATATTTTCAAAGAATATTCTATGAACCTCCGTGCTATGTATTTGTGCTGTCTGGGATAGACTAACCGTTTCATATCACCTTAAAACGAAAGAGGGCGCTGTGTACCTAGAGGCTTGGTAGCAACTTCTTATGTATAAGAAGTATCAATTCCATGTTTATACAATATTTCGTTAAATATATTTCGAATATAAAAAACTGACCAAAACTACATACATCATACGTTCAAAAAACGTACATAGCACAAATTCATATGCTATTAATATTGAATTATTTTTAAAGAATATTCTATGAACCTCCGTGCTATGTATTTGAGCTGTCTGGGATAGGCTAACCGTTTCATATCACCTTAAAACGAAAGAGGGCGCTGTTTACCTAGAGCCCTGGTAGCAACTTCTTATGTATAAGAAGTATCAATTCCATGTTCATACAATATTTCGTTAAATATATTTCGAATATAAAAAACTAACCAAAACTACATACATCATACGTTCAAGAAACGTACATAGCACAAATTCATATGCTATTAATATTGAATTATTTTTAAAGAATATTCTATGAACCTCCGTGCTATGTATTTGTGCTGTCTGGGATAGGCTGACCGTTTCATATCACCTTAAAACGAAAGAGGGCGCTGTTTACCTAGAGCCCTGGTAGCAACTTTCAAGTATCCTTGTTCTTCTGCAAGAATGGCGATTTTTAGATAGGTATCGAGCAGTGCATCACAAAACGGAGCATCGATGTCGGACGAATCTTTCTCTTTGAACATGACGGCTCTCTGGGCCAAGATCGGCTCGACATATTGGAAGTCGTTGTTGCTGACGAAGTCGTGCTTCCGCCATTTCTCCAGGACGTCGTGATAGTTGTCAGGAGTGGCCGAGTATAGTTCTTCGACTTCTCTCAGCATTTGCAGTCGCGACAGCATGGGATACACCGTCTTGCTGCTTTCTGTAAAAAGATATTTCTTTATGGTCATGTATAAATGGAATAATTCTACGGAGAAAGACATTTCCGAGTGTACATCACCATTTGTATCCTGTGCAATTTCATTCCAGGAATAAAATATTTCTTGCGCTATATATATTTTTTTCAGAAATTAACAACTATTAAGGTGAAGTGAAACGCGCGGAGGAACTTGATCAACGTCGATAAAGATTTTTCAAAATATCTACGTTGCCGACGGAGAAAGACATTTCCGAGTGTACATCACCATTTGTATCCTGCGCTATATATATATATTTTCAGAAATTAACAACTATTAAGGCGAAGTGAAACGCGCGGAGGAACTTGATCAACGTCGATAAAGATTTTTCCAAATACCTACGTTGCCGACGTGGGTTTATATATCGACAGCTATGTCGAATTATATTGGATATTGTATTAAGGTGAATTGAACCACGTCAAGGAACTTGATCGACGCCGATAAAGAACATTTTTCTAAAAGCCTACGTTGCCGACGTTCGTTTTTATATTGACAGCCGTGACAAATTATATTGAGTACTGTACTAAATGACATACTTCATCTGTCGTTTTCGTACAATAATTATAAAGAAATCGAAGCAAAACTCCAAAAACTAAAAAACTGAGTATCCAAGATGGCGTTGCCGTCGAAAAGGGTATAGCTGAATCTTATTTCATCGACGTCGATTTAGTTTCTCAGCGCCTTTCATATGACCTTAATAAAGTAAACGAAAGAAATGTCTTTTAGCCTAAAAACACTATAGAAAAACAGATGAACCCTGAATTTCCCGTACTCGCCTAAACTAGCGTTGCGAAGAGCCTTAATGACGTCGGCGCGCGCACGTTCCAGAGAGTTCTTCAAGCCGAGAGTGTCGTTCTCGTGGAAACACCTTAAGGCATGATAATGATGAAGATGGGAATTATCGTCAGTCAATTGCGAGAAGTCCTTGCTCTCTTCGTCCTTGCTTCTCGAGGAGAATGGTCCTAGGGCGTTCCAATCCGAGAGTCTCCACAGGGATTCATAGGCGAAGTCGTCAAGGTCGTCGCATTCGTTGCCCACGGAGTGGATGAGCGTCATCAACAGGTGATAGTACCCGGATTGTTGGAGCGCGGTCAGCATCGCTGTAAAAAAGAGATTAGAATCAATTTATTCCATCCTTCCTCCATAATCACATGCTGAAGTTTCCAAAGATTAGGCGCAGGTTCTCCCAGGGATCGCGATGGCGGCAAGATGTCCGCCATTGCGATTGCCGGGGGTCTCATGAAAAACTCGTTGTATAAACTTACATAAATAATAAAAATATACTAAATAATAAATAAACTTAAACTAACAATTGTTTAGAACGAAATACCTACGCAATAGAAACCAGTGCATTAAAATAACTACACCCAAGACAACAAACAAAACGATATAACAAGATGTTAAGACCTAGACAAAAACAAAGCACGCGGGAGACGTTCTGGTAACGCCACGAACGAAATATCTATACAATAAAAACCAGTTCATTAAAATAACTACACCCAAGACAACAAACAAAACGATATAACAAGATATTAAGACCTATACAGAAACAAAGGCAAGACGTCCGCCATTGCGATTGCCGGGGGTCTCATGAAAAACTTGTTGTATAAACTAACAATTGTTTTGAACGAAATACCTACGCAATAGAAACCAGTGCATTAAAATAACTACACCCAAGACAACAAACAATGCGATATAACAAAATGTTAAGACCTATACAAAAACAAAGCACGCGGGAGGCGTTTTGGTAACGCCACGAACGAAATAGCTATACAATAAAAACCAGTTCATTAAAATAACTACTACTAATTTTAATTTTGCAATTAAGGTACGCAAAGTGAAACGATAATCCGTGCATGATATACAGAATGTGATGTTTTTAACGCGATAAAGACTAGCAGACAATAATTTTTAATTGCAAAATCTCCTTATACTATTTAATGATCTCAGATTTTCGGTGATTTAACGACGCGAGCGCTCCTTGCGGAAAACGAGAGACTTCCATTCCTATGTGGCCAAAACGTTTCCTATCGACGTGAATTACTTAAAAAGCTTCTAATTTTGCAATTAAAGTACGCAAAGTGGAACGATAATCCACGCATGATATACAGAATGTGATGTTGTTAACGTGATAAAGACTAGCAGACAATAATTTTGAATTGCAAAATCTATACTATTCAGTGATCTCAGATATTCGGTGATTTAACGCCTCGAGCGCTCCTTGCGGAAAATAAGAGAATTCCAATCCTACGTGGCCAAAACATTTCCTACCGACGTGAATACTTAAAAAGCTTTTAATTTTGCAATTAAGGTCCGCAAAGTAAAACGATAATCCGCGCATGATATACAGAATGTGATTTTTTTAACGCGATAAAGACTAGTGGGCGACAATTTTGAATTGTAAAATTTCATCGAGGTGGCGCTAGATCGGAGAAAATCTGAAGTTCTTGGACCCCTGAAGAGGGGCGGATGTCGATACACGACGTTGGATCTCAGTATACTACTTCGTGGTGGGGACGGTTTCAATCCATGATCTTGTATCTCCTTATACTAGTTCCTGATCGCGACATTACTATTTCCACCACCGAAGGCTTACTTCTCATCCCGTCCTTGCTCCTCCTCAGATTAACGTCCATGACGGCCGTGACCTCGTCCCAGTTCCGCAGATGCACGTTCCTCTGGACCAGCGAATCCAGGTCGAACAGATTCCAGGATCCACAGCCATGAATGGCATCCGGGTCCCCGATCCTGACGTACGCCTCGATCAGGATATCCTGGACGACCTTCCCCATCTCGGGTTCCTGCTTGCACACGAAATCCACGACGGACTCGTCCACCATCCCCAGGGACTTGTCCACGAACGGCTGGCACCACAGCTCCACGCAGAGGACGGAGGTGAAGTACGCCGAGCAGTACAACCCCGCCTTCGCGATGTCCAGGTAATTCAGGTCCAACCTGACGTTCTCCCTCGACTGTACCCTGAGGAAGTTCACCACGTCCAGCATGCAGCGCACCGACTCGTGGCTGACCGAAGTGCTCCTCCTCTGCGTGTCCAGGAACGTCGACTGGTGGGACTCCATGGCGGAGTCGAAGTGGAACCCGAAGAACCCGTTGATGCACCTGCAGACCGCAGCGGCGAACTTGTCGTCCACCCAGACGATGAGGTGCACCAGCCTAGGCAGCAGCATCTTGCAGAAGGACCCGCTAAGTCTGCAGACCGGGATCAGGTTGTCCAAGCAGGTGCCGGAGAAGCAGGCGATGATGCCGCAGGTGACCTCCGTGACCCACGCGCGGGAGTCAGACCTGTTGGTATTAAGGCGATATGAAAGACGATGGAAACTTTTAATCGATGTCGATCAATTTTCTTGGTATTAAGGGGATATGGAAGACGCTGACAAATTTAATCGACGTCGATAAACTTGGTTGGTGTTAAGGCGATATAAAAGACGCTGAGAAATTTATTCGACGCCGATAAATTTCGTTGGTATTAAGGCGATGTGAAAGACGCTGAGAAATTTAATCGACGTCGATAAACTTGGTTGGTGTTAAGGCGATATAAAAGACGATGAGAAATTTAATCGACGTCGATAAATTTTGTTGGCATTAAGGCGATATAAAAGACGCTGAGAAATTTAATCGACGTCGATAAACTTGGTTGGTATTAAGGCGATATCAAAGACGATGAGAAATTTAATTGACGTCGATAAACTTGGTTGGTATAAAAGCGATATGAAAGACGCTGAGAAATTTAATCGACGTCGATAAATTTTGTTGGTATTAAGGCGATATAAAAGACACTGAGAAATTTAATCGATGTCGATAAATTTCGTTGGTATTAAGGGGATATGAAAGACACTGAGAAATTTAATCGACGCCGATAAATTTCGTTGGTATTAAGGGGATATGAAAGACGCTGAGAAATTTAATCGACGTCGATAAACTTGGTTGGTATTAAGGGGATATGGAAGACGCTGAGAAATTTAATCGACGTCGATAAATGTAGTTGGTATTAAGGTGATTTGAAAGACGCTGAGAAATCTAATCGATGTCGATAAATTTAATTGCTATTAAGGCGATATGAAAGACGCTGAGAAATTTAATCGACGTCGATAAATTTCGTTGCTATTAAGGCGATATGAAAGACGCTGAGAGATTTTAACGACGTCGATAAATTTGATTGGTATTAAGGCGATATGAAAGACGATGAGAAATTTCAACAGTGTTGATCAATTTCGTTCATATTAAGGCGATATGAAAGACGCTGAGAGATTTTAACGACGTCGATAAATTTGGTTGGTATTAAGGTGATATGAAAGACGCCAAAGAGGTCTCGTTTATGAAACTTTTAATCGAACTAGGTGTACCGAATCGTTTCAAACTTGAAAATATGAACACAAGAGCTATAAGGAAGGTCCTGACCCTCATGAAATTACAATGTTTTTACCAATTTGTTTATAGATATTTTCATATTGAATAAAATCTGAAATTTTACGAGGGTCAGGACCTTCCTTACGGTCTCCGTGTTCACGTAATAAAGTGTGAATCGATTCCATTCACCGAGTTCAAAAAAAAGTTTCATGAACGATTGACCCTCCAGATGCCACTTTCACACCCCCTTAAAGTGTTAAAAATCCATATAAAAATCTCAACTAAAGTTAAATCCGCTTTATAGTCTAACCTATTCGACTCCACCGTCCACAGCTCGTTGTGAGGATTCATGAATTCGCTAAACTTCAGCTCATCGACCGCCGGGGAGTAGGTGGACGAAGTCCCGGGTGTGATGAAAGGTCTAATGTAATCGAAGCACAAGGTGTGCTCGTTCAGCATCTCGCTCTCCAGGTTCTTCAGGTAGTTCCTCCGGGTCATCTTCCTGCCCCAGTGGGAGCCGAGGACCTCGAAGAGGGCTTCGGCGCTGGCGCAGCGAAGCTCGACATCCGCGTCCACCAGGAAATCCACCAGCATCAGGAGGACCTTATAGGTCAGCACCTCCAGGGGGTCGTTGGTGTCCTTGACGAGGGTCTCTTCGGGTTGCAGGATCATGGTGGTCAGGTCTGCAGGGCCAAGTTCCCCGAGGCACTTGGCAGCCTCCGAAGAGACGATTCTATCGGTCGACCTGGTCAACCTGACGAGCATGTGCGTCAACCTGTGGAGAGTACTCGAAGAGCAGTCCTCGGCGAAGCCGCGGAGCTCTTCAAGGTGTTCGTACATCTCCCGGAGTTCGTCCTTCCTGGTGGAGAGCTGTTCCCTGAGATGAAGAAGGCTCTCCTCGCTGCAGGTGAAGATCTTCTGGCCGGCGTCCAGGAAGTGCCGGATCTCCTGGTCCAGGGTGTAGGTCTCTTCAGCCTTGTACTTCAGGTTCCCGTGGACGTCCCTGATCCTGGCGAAGGTGGGATGGTTCGGGAAGGAGTCGAGTCTCTCGATGGCACCGCTCAGCAGCTCCTTCTGCTCGATAATCAGGAACTCGAGGACCTCCACGGCAACGGGCACACAGCAGCCGTTCAGGACGACCGGGGTCAGCACGGCGACGGAGAAGCTCATCATCTTGTCGACCTCCGCTCGTCGCTCCGGCAGGGAATGGCGAAGAAGTTTGTGGAAGCTCTTCAGGGCGAATTCCTGAAGAGGTGGAACCTCCTCCTTGATCAGGTGAAGCAAGGTATAGCCGACGTCCCTGATGACGTAGGGAGCGGCCTCGTCGAAGCTGGCCTTCCTCAGCTCCTCGGCGACCAGGATGCCGAAGAACGCGTACTGGTGGAAACTCTTCAGCTTCCGCTCGAAGTGCCTCGTCCGGTAGACCCTGCTCATCAGGGTCGTCAGGACCTTCTGAAGGACGTCTTGACGACGCTTGGCTAAGTAGCCGACTAATGTCTCCCCGGAAGGGAGGAAGTTGGCTTCGAGGTACCGGAAGCACCCTTGTATGGCGTCGACTTTGAAGAAGGGCGGCTCCGCCTCGGCAAACTGTACCCGCGTCTGGAACATCTCTTCGAAGCACTCTTCGTCGTGGAGGGAGAGAACGAGGCCCACGAGAACTTCGTCCAGCTTCTCCTCCAGGAGGTCCTGGAACCTCTTCATGGTCCGGAAGACCTCCTCCTTGTTCTTCAGCTTCTGGAATAGAAGCGTGGCGGACTTCGTCTCGGGAGACTCTTCAGGGTCTCCCACGACGTGGGGAAGTGTCCAGGTCAGGATGCCGGAGAAGGAGTTCTTCAAGGCCTCGTCCCAAGGGATGTCCAGCTTCTTGCAGAACGCGATCGCATTGGGGAGGTCGTCGTTTTCTATCATTTTGGAGACCAGCACGTGGTGGTACTCCCTGAAGAACGACTCCTGACTGGCGCAGTGGGTCAGGAACCACGGGAACTCCTGCAGAGGGTATTGGTATTTCATCCAGTTCGCCAGAAGATACTTCAGGTTCGCCTCGACGAGGTCCCGGGAGCCGCTGCACCGAGCCACAGCCTCCAACACCTTGCGGACGGTCTTCGAATCCACGTCCTTGCCGAAGACCAAGTGGTACATCGCGATGAGAGCTCGGCCCTGAAAGTAGGGATAAATAGATACGCGTGGGACGAGTATTTTCTCTTCGGTACTAAGTATGAATTGATACTACTTTTTGAAGCAAGTACTAAGTAAAAGTATTGATACTGCTTTCTTCGATACTGAAAACGTATGAGTACTTCTTTTTGATTATGTATCGATGCAGGTTTTCTTTTTCTACTAAGTGTTTTTTTTTCAATACCAAATATATATCGATAAGTTAATCATGCAGGTAAGCAATGTATCGATACTTTCTTTCAATGTAAGCAGTAGGGAAGAGAATCGATCCTTTTCCTTCGATGCTGAATATGTATCGATATTTTTTTTTGTAATTAAATAAAGGTATCGATACTTATTTTTTCAATACTGAGAGCGTATGAATACTTTTTGATTATGTATCGATACTCTCTTTCAATGGAAGCAATAGGCAAGAGTAACGATCCTTTTTTCTTTGATACTGAATATGTATCGTTACATTAATGATGCAAGTAATAAGCAAAGTATTGATACTCTCTCAATGTAAGCAATAGGTAAAAGTATTGATCCTTTTTCTTCGATGCTGAATATGTCGTTACATTAATGATGCAAGTAATAAACAAAGTATCGATACTCTCTTTCAATGGAAGCAATAGGCAAGAGTATCGATCCTTTTTCTTCGATGCTGAATATGTATCGTTACATTAATGGTGCAAGTAATAAGCAAAGTATCGATATACTCTTTCGATGCAAGCAATAGGTAAGAGTATCGATCCTTTTTCTTCGATGCTGACTATGTATCGGCACATGTCCTCAATTCAAGCAACAAACATAAGCCTCGATACTTTAGTAGCATCTATTCGTCCCAACCTGAAAGAAGTCGCTGCTGGAAATAACAGTAGCAAATACATGTAAGGCGCTGGCCACCCTACAGGCCCTCTCGTCAGCCTTCTCGCAGCCCTCCAAATTCCTGTTCACCGTGAAAGAGTTCATTGTCGCCTTCAGCAGTTTCTGCAGGAAGGAGGCCTGCCACTGAACACTGGTGCTCCTGGAGAAGAGGACCTTAACGGAGCGCGCGACTTCCAGGCGCACCACGTAGAACGGACTGTCCACGAACGTGAACATGTCCTCGACTATCGGGACGCTCTCTTCGTCTTCGTTGGACCACCTGGCCCAGGTGAAGGTCGGGTCCAACCTGGCCAACTCGCTCAGGCACTTTATGTATTCGACGTACACCGCGTGGCCGTAATTGTTGGCGAGAAGTCGCTCGCGAATCGTCCATAGGACCTCCAGGAGTTCCTGCTGGTGCAAGGCGAAGTTTCGGGCAAGGTCCAGGTATCGGGGGAGAACGCTCAGGATCTTCCTCGCACATTCTTCGTCCTTGAAATTTGACCGCGACAGGTGCAGCAGAAGATCGAACGCGCGAGTCATCGTCGAATTACAGACGACCTGAGCCTTACAGGACCCGAAGGCCTCCAACACCGACATCGCTATCTTCAGGTCGGAGAGAGACGCGTCCTCGTACACGTCGATCTTAAGGAAGTTCTTCAACAAGTTCTCCTACGGTCCAGGGATAAATCGGGATTAGTAGGTGCGCTTTTCATCTTCGAACTTATATAAGCTTGTGTATGTATACACTGTTAAAAATATCGTTTTGAAATATTGTAAACATGTGGAAGTTTTTCCACGATGCAATATTTCGAAATTGTGTTTGGGATATTAGTATACAACCACATGAATTTCAGAGGACGTGTATAGAGTGTGTTTTGTAATTGATACTATGATGGTATTAATTCATCTGAAAGTATCGATACATTCTTTTCGATATAATGTATCGATACATTCCTTTCGATACTACGTATCGAAGCAATAAGTAAATATATGAATAGTTTGGTAGTACCAGCTCAGCTCCAGGTACCAGCACTTTCTTCTCGACACAGAATATGTATCGATACATCTCTTCGATGTATGTAACAAGCAATCGATACTTAATCTGCTATCAACCATCCCTACCTGTAGGTCAGTCATCGCGTTCTCCGGAGTCAGACAGCAGAAGCCAATCAGGGCATTGACAACCTCCGCCCTGACGAGATCCCTGCTGGAGGTCTTGCTCCCTGCACTCCGCTGGCCTTCCAAATGCATTCTATTCCTAAAATCCGTATAATCCTCAAGATTGACGTTAACGGTGCGCACCTCGTCCTCGTAATAATTCTCCTCCACGTTGACCAGGTCGAAAACGTTCCTCAGCATGTTCTTCGTGGTGGCAGAGACGATGACCTGGGCGACTTCATCGTCGTATCCACCGCTATAAAGGGTCTTCAGGGATATCAAGATATTCATGATATACGGGAAGCGATACTTGCTGGTCAACAAATTACTAGCCGCGAGGGAAGTGGCGACCTTCTCCAGGGCCGACCTTAAGGCCTCCATCACAATCGGCTTCTGCTTCTCCCTTATCACTTCAAGTTCCGCCATCTTCGGGAGAATTTTCGCGATAAGCGCGGCGCGAATAACGAGTACGCTGATATCATCGCTGTCCTCACTAGCAACGTGTACGATAGTTCTAATTAAAAACTCTACGTCCTCCTTCACGCAAGAGACGCCCTTCTTCTCAGCGACCTCCACGTGGCGCTCTTCCTCAAGATCATACAGGTCAACCTCGAAGTTCATCGCCAGGTAACACCTCTCTACGACCTTGAAATCGGACGAGTCGAGGTCGAAACTCGCGTTTTTCTTTACAGGGCCCTTCTTTAACGACGATTTCCGAGACTTCGACCACGTCTTCAGGGTCAGGCCCACCAGGAGGAAGGAACAATCGTCCACCGCGTTCTGCATTATCATTTTCGACCAGCTGATGTTGAAGACCCACTCCAGGAGGAGTCTCTTCACGGATTCCTGCTCGCTGGAGGTGCAGGATTGGTCGCCGTCGCCCTGGCTCATTCTTCTAGGGATTTTAGAGTGCTCGCAGAAGGAAATCAGAGTCTTCAGGCTCAGGGACGACCACTTGATGATGCTCTTCAAGTATAGGTTCAGGAACGCGTTGGGATTTACCGCTTTGTTTGCCTCTATCAGCTTTTGCAGAATCCTGTGAACGGTGCTCTCGTTCTGGTTCATGCTTAGCATTCTGGAATTGAGGTTATGAGCATTACAAAACTTTTCTCAGATCTGTGTTGATATTGTGATATGATAACATCATTGTATATTCGACATTGGAATGATATTTTAAGTACGATATTAGGTTACGTACATGTGATAATGTTTCCCAGATATATATTGGATTGTCTCATAATTTCGTGCGGTTTTTTTTAGATTAAAAATTGCACCAATATCATTGATTAATTTTTGTTTTAAATAAAAAATTGAAAATTAAAATACTGCACGAAATTATGAGGCAACCTAATATATGGAATGACCCTTCGCATACAATTGCGACATGTTATATTCATTAATTTATGTTCAATCGTCAATTATATCAGAAACGGTATCATACCTTAACGTTACATCCCAAATTGTGTTCCACGAGTCTTTTATCTTATCACTCTTCGTGACATCGTCCGGAAAAGTCCTTTCAACTTGCACAAGTACTTCGATGAGTTGGCATACGCTATCCGTCATTTCTTTCCTCTTGCAGGGAGATGAGTACAATTTGGTGACAGCCACCATGAATGACTCGACCTCATGCGGCTTCAGACATTCTGGATAATTTTTTAATAATGTGGATAATATTTGCACCATCGGCCAAACTTGATCCATGTTGGAACTGGATATCAGATCGACCAATCTTTGCGGTCCATCCGAAAGACGTCTTCGTTTAATGGATGGTCCTTCATCGATGGAACACTTTATATCCCCAGAGAAATTCTCATGCGTCAACTGTTTAAATACTGTAATAACGAGATGATTATATTATAAATAACAGAATTATTAAAGGGATTTGAAAGGATATCAGATCAACTAATGTCTACGGTCCATCCGAAAGACGCTTTTATTTAATAGATGGTCCTTCATCGAAGGAACACTTTAGATTTCCAGAGAAATTTTCATCCGTCAACTGTTTAAATACTGTAATAACGAGATTATTATATTATAATTAACAGAATTGGTGAAGGGATGTGAAAGTTGCATCCGAGGAGTCAATCGTTTATAAAACTTTTCTTCGAACTGGGTGTACCAAATCGTTTGAAACTTCACAACATGAATATAAAGGCCATAAGGAAGGTTCCGACCCCCATGACATTTTATTTTTTATAACAATTTTTAAAAATATCTGAATAAATTTTGATAAAAATTGAAATCTCATGACTTTTGGGATCTTCCTTGTACCATCCATATTTATATTGTAAAGTTTGAATCAATTCGGTACACCCAGTTTGGAGAAAAGTTTCATCAACAAGACCTCCTTAACATCACATTCTGTATATATAAAACATTAAAATGTTAATAAAATATTTCTCCAAACTCGGTGCATCAAATAATTTTAAACTTTAGCACGTGATTACGGAGGTCCTATCACAAAAAAATGTAACATTGCAAGAGTCGTTACCTTCACTGGCGAGCTTAACAAACGCCTCCGGAAGCAACTCTGGAGTAACATCCCTAAAAATAAGGGATTTAATCCCTTGCAGTATCGACTTCCATTTGTCCCAGTTGTAGGCGTAAGATGTTTCCTGCTTTTCGTGAGCTCCGCCTGGATGATGCACTTGCACTAAGAGCAGTAAGAGCTCGTACTTCCCTTGGGCCTTCGGTGAATTAATTACATCCGGTAACACGTTCTCACTAAACTCACACAGCATAAACCGACTTTCTGCACTAATCTGTCGGCAGACGGTATTAGCCAGTTTATATACAGATGTTAGGAGTACTTTCTTGTCCGTTTTTATATCGGCGAACACTTTAACTGAAAGAAGTAACGAGAAATTTAGTCATCGACATCTGCTGCATCCGATCAAGGTGGCTAATAGCGATAGTGACATAAAAGGCACTGAGAATACTTTCACAAACGACTTAACCTCTCAGATATATATAGGCTCTTTCATATCACCTTAAGCTATTTCAAAATTAAAATCACATTTCGGTTACCTAAAAATGACAGAAGTCTTTTAACGTGTACAAGCAAGTGTGACTGCAAACAACCATACTGCGCAGCTCTTTGTACACCATCCAGCGCAAGACTTTTAGACATGTTAGAAGACGGATTATTGTACAAGTCGACACAAATCTTTAGTATCTCTCTCCACAACTCTATCGACATTTGTGGCCAATACAATCTAACTGGTAATATGTGCATGACCAAAATGGTCAAATAGGTATCGTGGTAAGCTTCGTACGTCTTATTTCCGAAAATTTCAAGAACCAATGTTGTAATGGCTGAACGTTTTAAAAGGGCTGCGGAAGAACTGTTTGCTCTTCGAACCGCATTTAACATGGCACTGCAAATATCCACTCTGTACATATCTCTGTGAATGGTACTTTTTTTCGCTGTCTTATCAGCCCCCTGTGAAAAATTGATATTAATAAAACTTTTGGAAACAAATATTAATCTTGAGGGCGAAATTACTTACTTTTATGATTATCCTGTGAATGGCATCAACAATGTAATTCCAATTAGCCGTGCTGGAAACATTATTCCTTGTATTCTCGTTTATTTCTCGCACGGCCTCATCATTTTCAATTACCTCCATAATGTCGGTAGCACATTTCTATATTAACAAACGTAATATTTGCTTAATTTCCCAGTTTCAAAGCAAACAGAAATCATAATTTCTTTATAAAAGCTAACAAAACGCTGATTTTTTTATCACAATTAAAATCGCTGATTGTTTTTAAATAACAATTACAATTGTTAATTTTTTTTAAATCATGATTAAAATTGCGATTTAAAAAAATATCTTAATTATTCAAATGAAGTCCTCATTTACAACGTTCGAAAATTTACGCCGGCGCGAACATGTTTAACTATTTGTTTTAATCAATAGAACAAAAAAACTATCATAATTTATTTCCAGAATGAGAGAACATATGAGGTATGACCTAATAATTCCCATTCATGACCATAGCTCTTTCTATAGATATGTAGATAAAATGTTTTCGTTATACATGTTTATACAGGCTTTTAGATTCAATTATTATAAATAGATTAGCCAATCAAAAAGTATCTAAATTAGTATTTCCGATCACAAAATTCAGTAAAGCATCGGCAGTAAACAGAATAGCTATTTGTACGTCGATATAATATTAGTTACATATTTCTACTTTAATATACAAACGTAATGCTTATTTAATTCTCAAATTACATTCAAATTATAAAAGTGCAACACAAAATCCAGTAAAGCATCGGCAGTGAACACAGAATGGTTATTTGTAAGTCGATATAATGTTTGTTCCATATTTCTAATTTAATATACAAACGTAATGCTTATTTAATTCTCAAATTATATTCACATTATGAAAGTGCAACACAAAACTCAGTAAAGAATCGTAGTATATACAGACATAACAGCTCTTTGTATGTCCAGTACGTCACACCGACACAACGTTTGTTACATATTTCTAATTTAATATACAAACGTAACGCTTATTTAATTCTCGAATCATATTCATATTATGAAAGTGCAACACAAAACTCAATAAAGAATCGTAGTATATACAGACATAACAGCTCTTTGTTTGTCCAGTACGTCACGCCGACACAATATGAGATAGTCATAGTTCTGTAAACAAACCTCTTTACTATAATTATTAAATTAATGAACGCTCGTTATACTTACTTTCTTGCCGGTAATCGTGTTGCATTCGCCACCCTTAAGAATCTCCTCGATTCTTCGTGATAACGACATTGCCAAATCTTCTGCGAGCTGTCAATCCGTAATGATAAGTTAAACTTCCAGTTCTATCAGCGTCCTCGCGGTGCCTAATTTTCCGGCGGACAACGAAATCGACATAACAAAGGAAACAAAGGTTACTTACAATAAAAATCACGTGTACGAAAACGAGAGTTTGAATTCTGAGGCCATAGATACTCGGTAACCTAATGGTCACTTTACATGCGCGCGCAGCAGGCTCGCCAGTCGTCAAGAAATTTTATCACCAGAATTGATACAACAAATCACCAGAAATCAGCCGTCTAAATAAAATGGTGGGAAATTTAAACGCGTAGAGTAAAATCAACACTGTGATAGAAAATGTAAAATAAAATACCCCCTCGTATCAATATAAGATACCATTTCTCACAAAAAGGGCAAAAAAATAAGCACATAAGCTTTGAAATTATTGAATATATGGACATACATGCACACGCAACTTTATGGTTTAGTTTGTACAAAGTGTGTTTGGTACACGCTCCAAAAGCGTAATCTTATCAAACTTTCCATATAAACGATGAAGAATTCTCTTAGACCCGGTTCTACAATTCGAATTAACTGACGTTTAGCCAGTGTAAACCTGATGTAAATCAAATAAACTTCGATTAAGTGGTTTACGCACGATTTAAACCTTCTGTAAACTATTTAAACTCCGATCAACTGGTTTATACACGGCTTAGACCTTCTATAAATCACTTAAACTCCGGTTAACTGGTTTACACCGGTTTAAATCTTTTGTAAACCAATTAAACTCCAGTTAATTTATGTTACGGAAGTTTACGTAAAATATATACGGGCTACGTATCCATCGTACTCTTCAATCCAGGATTTATCGGGTTCAAATAGAGTAAATACAGTAAATTATTAATGCAATGGAGACATGCTATTTACTGGATCCGGAAGCGATAAATCCCAGAAATCGAGCACGATGGAGACGTAGTTATTCAGAGCGTGGTAAAATCCCTAGTTTTAATCTAGGGACCTCATACGACGAAAGCGCCATCAAGCGCTGTCGCATACGGCCGGAGGTTACGTAGCGTCGCGCCGTGCGGACCGGCCATAACCTCCAATTCCGCAGAAGGTGCTCTCGGGAATTGCAGGTTCTCTACGCGTCGATCTTCGGAGGTTGGAGTTTTACAGCCGTTTTGCACTTGGAGTCGCAAAAACTTGCCAGAAGGATGGCCGATTTCCTCGACTCGGAGGCGGAGGAAAGCGAGGTGAGCTTCTGCTCAGAGTTTATCCAAACGTTTCGCGGTATCTCGAGATGCACACGACGTTCGTCTTTCCCTGCACTGTCTGACCTCGTATTTCCTCGTTTTCAAGGAGGAGGAAGAGCTGGATCATAATGAGAAGAAGAAGCTCAAGAAGATGAAGGCTATGGAAGAGAGCGACGAGGATGAGGAAGGTAGAATACGCAGAGTTGGTCCTGCGATATCTACTATGTATCGTTTGTGTTTATACTTGGACAGTGCCTGAACGATGCTTAGTTTTATCCTAACTTTCAATTCACAAAACGCTATTAGAGTGGCTTCTGACTGTAGACGTTTTAAGCGAAAAGCTGTAGTTGTTTTTCTTTTGATAATATTTATTAATGAAATACTGCTGCGGTGGTTTTCCTCAGAGTGACGTTTTTTTTAATGAAACTCCGCTAATCTAGCTTCTCTCTAAATTACGTTTTAACAAGATGCTCCTATAGTGGCTTTCCACTAAGTGATATTTTTAAGCAAAATGCCACTATAGTATCGTTCCTTTAAGTAACATTTATTAATTAAAACGGTACTACAGTGGCTTATTTCTAAGTCACGGTCTTGATTGATACGCCATTGTAATAATGTTTCTCGGAGAGATAGCATTGAACAAAACACTGTTACAGATTTCCTCTAAGTGACGCATTTGAATGAAACGTTATTGTAGTGACTTTAGTTTGGAGATGTTTTCGATGAAAAACTAGTGGTTTCCATTTTAATAATATTTATTAATGAAATACTGCTGCGGTGGTTTTCCTCAGAGTGACGTTTTTTAATGAAACTCCGCTAATCTAGCTTTTCTCTAAATTACGTTTTAAGAAGATGCTCCTACGGTGGCTTTCCATTAATTAATGTTTTAGAGTAAAACCCCACTATAATATTATTCCAGTAAGTAATGTTTATTAATAAAACACTACTACAGTGGTTTATTGCTAAGTGATGGTCCTGATTAATATGCCACTTTAATGATATTTCTTGGACAGATAGTTTTGAACAAAACACTACTATAGGTTTCCTCTAAGTGACGTATTTTAATGAAACGTTATTGTAGTGACTTCTCTAAGCAATGTTTTTAACAAAATATCCTATAGTGGTTTTCTTTTATCATGCATTCAAAATTACAGAAAAATATCATCACTATATCTTCTTTATCAAGCTTTATTATTTATATAACGGTAGAGCCTCAAAGGTCGGATTCGCCATAGTCGGAGGATTAAAGTTTTATTTTAGGGTTTTAGGCTTGACTGCGGAAATGTTCTTGATCCAAAACCTATCAAGATATATTTTAAATAATGCATCTTGATTGGCAGAATTCACTAATACCACTCATAACGGTGTAAGCTTGGTTCCGTCACTTAATCTTAAAAATTCATTGAGAAATTCACGGTTTGTTAACCTCATAAATCGAGTCATTCTACTAATCTTATTTTGTTGATAGCAAATTCTATGGGGAAATTACTGAATCCACAGAAAAGTATCAAATAAACAATGATGGAATTGGAAGGACAGTGAAATTCAGTGGAAACGCAGCGAACTTAATATGGAAATGAATTTCATTTTCTGAAATTGTCACTATTCGTCACTATCAAATAAACAATGATTGGAAGGACAATGAAATTCAGTGGAAACGTAGCAAACTGAATATGGAAATGAATTTCATTTTCTGAAATTGTCACTATTTGACTTAACTACTAAGAGGTATAAAAATGGCCCATATTTTGAGGTTATTTGATGTGAATTTTTCACTAAATATTTAACAAAAAAAGTGATTTAACAAAAGTTGTGTCGATTGAGAGTGGTACCATTGAATTCTGTTCGTCGATATATATATTTTGTTTTCATATTTATGCTGTTTTATCCTTCATAGCAACATTTTATTTTCTAACCTAAATCGTTAAGAAAAATAAAAGGCATGATTTAATTTAGTCAATCCAATAATAACAATAATAGTAATAATAATAATAATCCTGCTCATAAAGCTGCTACGAGATATATATTTTGTTTTCACATTTTAGCAGTCTTATCTCTTATAGGAACAATTTATTTTCTAACTTAAAACATTCAGAAAAAGAAGACACGATTCAATTTAGTCAATCTAATGATGATACTTCTGAATGCTGTTCGTTAAAATACATCGATTGATATCTATTTTGTTGGATTTTAAAACAAAGACATCACTGCAGTCTTTTATTAAACTTTATAGGCGTTATTTTCTTTTATGAGTTCGCCGAGTTGTATCACTCCTGTATAATTTTCAGATGACGAAGAACGACTGCGTGAAGAACTGAAAGACCTTATCGATGACAATCCAATAGACGAGAGTGAGGGAGACAGCGATGGTTCCGGTGTCTCTAAAAAGCGAAAGAAAAGTGATGACGAAGATTTCGACGATCGTCTCGAAGATGAAGATTACGATCTTATCGAGGAGAATTTAGGAGTTAAAGTCGAAAGGGTGAGAAAGTGCTTCCTCTTAGAGCGGATTATTGCATGGATTATAAAGATGGATTAAAATGAAATGATTTAATGAAATTTATAGAAGCGGTTTAAGCGTCTACGCAGAATACAGGATGAAGAATCCGAAGGAGAGCAGGAACATGAAGCAGACGAGGAAAGAGATGCCATTGCAAACGAGCTGTTCGAAGGCTCCGGAGACGTAAGTTTAATTCACTCCCAGTCGTTGCATTAATTAAGAGGTTACACCCTGATGGATATTTGTAAAAAAGGGATTTTTCTTTATAATATTAATTTTTATATCGTGCTACAAATGATTTTATGCAAATATTTTTGGCAATCTTTGACATTTTGAATGAAAAAGTATTACGGCAAAACTACTCGACAGCTGCCATTTTGTATTTAAAAAAAAAAAGTCTTTACATGGTCTTTTATATTTGTATAACAAAATCCCATTGACAAGAGTTCCACTTAGTTTCTTCGTTGCACTAGAAAAAAAATTGTAAAATATCGCAATGATAATCAGACGCTCATCACAGTGTGTAACCCTTTAAGAATTTTGTTATTTCAAAGTGGCACGTTGTAATTCATTATTGGGATTTTGTGCTTTTCCATAAAGGAGAGGGATGTCGTAGCGGTAGGTATAGTTTATGAATTATTGGTCTGCGAATGAAAAAGTAACTATGGATTCGGGTTTTAGGAGGATGAAAGAAGAAGCGAACGCAGTCACAGACCAGAGGCTGAGGCTTTCGAAGAAGAAGGCAGCGGTGGAGAGTACTCCGATGAAGATGACTTCATCGTCGATGACGACGGCAGACCCATTGCAGAAAAGAGAAAAAAGAAGAAGCCCATTTTCTCAGACGCGTAAGCAATAATTCGCTACTTAACGTTTCCGTCTTTAACGTTGTTCCCTATTAACGTTGTAAAGTTTCATACTATTCGGTAAACTGAGTTGGAAGAAAAGTTTTATAAAGAAAACCACTTTCACATCACCTTAATGAACTTCTTAATGTTTCGTAGGGCATTACAAGAAGCCCAAGACATTTTCGGAGTGGACTTCGATTACGACGAGTTTGGAAAATATGGGGAAGAGGATTACGAGGAGGAAGAGGAGGAAGACGAGGAGGACGAATACGTGGACGACGTGGGGGACGGGGACAGGCCGAGGCGGCCGAAGAAGCAGCCCAAGAAGAAGACCACCAGGAAGAGCATCTTCGAGATCTACGAACCGAGCGAGTTGAAGAGGGGGCACTTTACCGATTTGGATAATGAGGTACGAGATTCAGGGTGATTTGAATGATTTGGCGAGGCTACGCGATGATCCGAGTATGAAGGTTAACGGAAGGGCAGTTTTAACTGGGGAGTATCATCGTAATCGTATCACCTTAAGATGAAGTGAAACCTCCTTCAAATCAGTCGATTCGAGTACAATACTTTTTTTTTTAAGGGTATTAGACCAAACTGTCTTATCCTGTCCTCGTCTATCATCTTACGGTTTGATATGTATAAAATGACCCTTTCATATCGCCTTAAGGTGATGTGAAAGTGGCGTCGAAGAAGTTTTGTTTATACTTTTCTCCCTACTCGGTTTACCGAATAGTTTGAAACTTTACAACGTGAATAGGAAGACTATAAGGAAGGTCCTGAAACTCATGAAATTTCAATTCTTTTCAAATTTCTTTATAGGTATTTGAAAAATAGTTTAAAAAAAATGAAATCTCGCGAGTTTCGGGACCTAACTTAGGGTCTCCATATTCACGTTTTAAAGTATGAAACGATTTGAGACCCCCAGTTCATAGAAAAGTTTTATGAACGATTGAGCTTTCGGATGCCACTTTCACATCCCCTTAACGTTATGTGAAAGTGGCGCCAAAGAAGTTTTGTTTATAAAAGTTTTCTCCCTACTCGGTTTACCGAATAGTTTGAAACTTTACAACGTGAATAGGAAGGCTATAAGGAAGGTCCTGAAACTCATGAAATTTCAATTCTTTTCACATTTCTTTATAGGCATTTTAAAAATAGTTTTAAAAAAATGAAATCTCGCGAGTTTCAGGACCTACCTTAGGGTCTCCATATTCACGTTTTAAAATATGAAACGATTTGAGACCCCCAGTTCGTAGAAAAGTTTTATGAACAATTGAGCTTTCGGATGCCACTTTCACATCCTCTTAATTCCACCCAGATCTGGGTATAAAACCCCGAATCTGGAATGGCCGTACCCGAAGTCCCAGACACGTCCCCACTGACAGAGGTCGACTTGCAGATCCGGAACACGGACATCCCGGAGCGGATGCAGCTGCGGTCGGTCCCGGTGACAGCGGTGCCGGAGGGCTCGGACGAGCTGGACCTGGAGGCCGAGTGGATCTACAACCAGGCGTTCTGCCGGCCGAGCGTCTCCGTGCAGGACGCGCACCTGAACGAGGAGGCGAAGGAGCGGGCCCGGAAGGGTCCGCAGACCGTGGGGAAGATCAAGAAGGCCCTCGACTTCATGCGCAACCAGCACTTCGAGGTGCCCTTCATCTCGTTCTACCGGAAGGAGTACGTCCTGCCGGAGCTGAACATCAACGACCTCTGGAAGGTGTACAAGTACGACGCCAAGTGGTGCCAGCTGAGGCAGCGGAAGGAGAACCTGCTGCGCCTCTTCGAGAAGATGAGGAACCACCAGCTGGACGAGATCATGAAGAACCCGGACGCGCCTCTGCCGGAGAGCGTCAGGGTTATCAAGGACGAGGACCTGGAGAGGGTGCGGAACGTGCAGACCAGCGAGGAGCTGAACGACGTGCACCACCATTTCATGCTTTATTATAGCCACGAGATCCCGGCCATGCAGGAGACCACCAGGAGGAAGGAGAGGGAGGCCAAGAGGGAGGCCAGGAGGCAGGAGCGGAAGCGGAAGATGGCAGAGGCCGAAGAGAACGGAGAGGAACCGCCCGCGGATGTGGAGGACGTCGAAGAGGACGACCAGCCCGAGGAGGAGATCCTCAAACAGGCTGTCAGGACGGGCCCGTACTCGATCTGCCGGAAGGCTGGCCTCGATGGACTCGCCAAGAAGTTCGGACTCAGCCCCGAGCACTACGCCGAGAACCTGAGGGACAACTATCAGCGGCACGAGGTGGAGCAGGAACCCACGGAACCGTCGACCGTGGCCGCGGACTTCATCGGGGAAAAATTCAAGTAAGGGTGCTCGGTCACTGGTTCAAGGTACTCGGGACCTTTTGCTTATTAAGGGGATGCGTAGAGTCAATCGTTCATGAAACTCTTCTTCTAATGGGGTACACCGGTACATCGAATCGATTCAAGCTTTACGATATAAATATGGAGAGTGTAAGGAAGGTCCTGAAACTCACGAAATTTAAATTTTTAATAAATTTGTTTGTAGATATTTTTAAAATTGTAGAAGTTGTAGAATTTGAAACGATTCGGTATACCCAGTTCAGCGAAAAATTTCATGAACAATTGACCTCTTAGATGCCACTTAAGGCGATGTGAAAGTAACGTCAAAGAGGTCTCGTTTATGAAACTTTTCATCGAATCGTCTCAAGCTTGAAAATATGAACATGAAAGGTATAAGGAAGATCCTGATCCTCATGAAAATTGAATTTTTTAATAATTTGCTTATAGATATTTTCAAAATTCCGGATAAAAACTGAAATTTCATGAGGGTCAGGACCTTCCATATTGTCTCCGTGTTCATATTACAAGGTCTGAAACGATTCGGTACACCCAGTTCAGCGACAAGTTTCATGAACAATTGACTTCTCAGATGCCACTTAAGGCGATATGAAAGTAACGTCAAAGAGGTCTCGTTTATGAAACTTTTCATTGAATCGTCTCAAACTTGAAAATATGAACATGAAAGGTATAAGGAAGATCCTGACCCTCATGAAAATTCAATTTTTTACTAATTTGCTTATAGATATTTTCAAAATTCCGGATAAAAACTGAAATTTCATGAGGGTCAGGACCTTCCTTATAGTCTCCGTGTTCATATTACAAGGTCTGAAACGATTCGGTACACCCAGATCGGAGTAAAGTTTCATTATCGATTGGCTCTTCGGATGACACTTTCACATCCCCTTAAATTAGAGCGGAAGCCGTAACCCAGAATTTCGCAACAGCTCCAGGTTCAAGTCCCCGGAGGAGGTGTTGAAGGCGTGCCAGCTGATGGTGGCGATCCAGCTCGCCCGGGAGCCTCTCGTCAGGAAGTGCGTCCGGGAGATGTACATGGAACGAGCTCGAGTTTCCGTCAGACCGACGAAGAAGGGGGCGAAGGAGATCGACGAGAACCACCCGGTCTACCCGATGAAGTACCTGAAGGACAAGCCGGTGCGGGACCTGGTGGGCGAGCAGTTCCTGAAGCTGGCCATCGCCGAGGAGGACAAGCTGATCACCCTGACCCTGAGCGACGCCATCGAGGGCAACACCGGGACCGACTACGTCGAGGAGTCCAAGCAGCTCTACTACAGGGACGAGTTCAGCAAGAACGTCCAGGACTGGAACGCCCTGAGGGTCGGCAGCGTCGAGATGGCCATGAACCGGATGCTGATCCCGGACCTGAAGAAGGAACTGCGCGTTAATCTGCTCGAGGAGGCGAAGGAGTGCGTGATGCGCGCCTGCTGCAGGAAGATGTACAACTGGATCAAGGTAGCGCCCTACACCTGCGAGTTCGCCGAAGAGGAGGACGAGGACTGGGACACGGGGAAGGGCCTCAGGGTGATGGGCCTGGCGTATGTCCCGGATTTCGGCCAGGCCGCGTTCGCGTGTCTGGTGTCTCCCGACGGGGAGTGCACCGATTACCTGAGGCTTCCTCACCTTCTGAAGAGGAGGAACGGTCCCAGGGAGGCGGACAAGGTCATGAAGGAGGCCGATCTCCTGGCCTTGAGGAACTTTATCGCCAGTCGGAAACCCCACGCCGTCGCCGTCGCTGGCGAGTCCAGGGAGGCCGTCATGATCTCGGACGACCTGAAGGAGATCATCGCCAAGCTGGTCGAGGACGAGCAGTTCCCCTCGGTCCATGTCGAGATCCTGGACAACGAGCTCGCCAAGATCTACTCGAATAGTAATAAGGGGGTGGCCGAGTTCAGGGATTATCCGGAGCTCCTCAGACAGGCCATCTCCGTCGCCAGGTTGCTCCAGGACCCGCTGGTGGAATTCTCGCAGCTTTGCACCGCGGATGAGGAGATTCTCTGCTTGAAGTACCACAGCCTGCAGGTAGGTCCTAAAACTCGCAAAATTTCATTTTTTATAAAAAAAATTTTGAAAATATGTATGAACAAATTTGCATAAAATTTAAATTCCTTGGGTGTAAGAACCTTCTTTATAGCGTTAATATGCACGTTGCAAAGTTTGAGATGACTTGGTACGTTCAGTTCGGAGAAAAGTTTCATGAACGATACCTCTTTGTCACTTTAAGGTGATGTGAAAGTGGCGCCAATGAGGTCAATTGTTCATGAAAGTATTCTTCGAATTGGGTGTACCAATTTGTTTCAAATCTTGCCTCATGAATAAGGAGGTCCTAATTTAGGTCCTAAAACTCGCAAAATTTAATTTTTTATACAAAAATTTTGAAAATATGTATAAACAAATTTGCATAAAATTGAAATTCCATGGGTGTCAGAACCTTCTTTATAGCGTTAATATGCACGTTGCAAAATTTGAGATGATTTGGTACGTTCAGATCGGAGAAAAGTTTCTTGAACGATACCTCTTTGTCACTTTAAGGTGAAGTGAAACACCTCGAGGAACTTGATCGACGTCGATAAAGAAGATTTTTCTAAATGCCTACGTTGCCGACGTTCGTTTTTATATTGACGGCTGTGTCGAATTAAATTGGATATTGTACCAAATGGCGTACACCATATGTCGTTTCCGTACAATAATTATAAAGAAATCAAAGTAAAACTCCAGAAATCCTCTGGATTCGTGCTTTCTGGGGCCCTAATTGACTGCAGAAGGACCCCCTGCGCCATCTGTGATTTCCAGGTCAATTAAATTTTCACTCCGAGGCCTCGTGTTCCCATCGTTTTAGCAAAGAAGCGCATACAACACTTTTTTTGCCTTTATCCCGTTCAAATGCGAGTTTATCGATTACCAGAGTGTTCTAAATTGTCGTAAAATTGTCCTGACCCTTTCGTTTCTCATATCAGAGCCTTCGATAATTGTATATTGATCGAAATATGAGAGCTCGACGCCATTTTGGTTCTTGTTTGGGCTAAGTTAAAAAATTTTTTCAAAAAATCCAAATTTTGAATGTGTCAGGACAATTCTTAGGCGATCAGGAGTGGCGCGTCAAAGTTTCGGACAGTTTGGTCTAATACCCGTAAAAAAAAGTGTTGTATTTCGAATCGTCTGATTTGAAGGGGGTTTCACGTCACCTTAAGGTGATGTGAAAGTGGCGTCAAAGAGGTCTCGTTTCTGAAACTTCTGACCAAATCGTTTCAAACTTTACAATGTTTACAATGTTCGTATCACCTTAACAGGGTGAAATTGTTCAGTTCACCAGGTCTTTTTCTCTCGGTGTCCTTAGACTCGTTCCGTGCATCGAAAAGAAGTACCGATACTCATTTGAACCGTTCGATCCCCGCAGGACCAGCTCTCGAAGGAGGAACTCCTGGAGAACCTGTACCTGGAGTTCGTGAACCGGGTGAACGAGGTCGGAGTGGACGTGAACCGCGCGGTTCAGCAGCCCTACGCCGGCAACCTGGTGCAGTTCGTGTGCGGCCTGGGCCCGAGGAAGGGCCAGGCGCTCCTGAAGATGCTGAAGCAGAGCAACCAGAGGCTGGAGAACCGCACCCAGCTGGTGACGGCCTGCCACATGGGTCCGAAGGTCTTCATCAACTGCGCCGGCTTCGTGAAGATCGACACCAACAGCCTGGGCGACAGCACCGAGGCCTACGTGGAGGTGCTAGACGGGTCCAGGGTGCACCCGGAGACCTACGAGTGGGCACGGAAGATGGCCGTCGATGCCCTCGAGTACGACGACGAGGACGCCAACCCGGCAGGGGCTCTGGAGGAGATCCTGGAGGCGCCAGAGAGGCTCAAGGACCTCGACCTGGATGCCTTCGCCGAGGAGCTGGAGCGACAGGGCTTCGGCAACAAGTGTGTCACCCTCTACGACATCCGCGCGGAGCTGAACTGCCGGTACAAGGATCTAAGAGTGCCGTATCTCACCCCGACCCCGGAGCGCCTCTTCGACATCCTCACCAAGGAGACCCCGGAGACCTTCTACATAGGTAAGGGCAAAGAATTCAGAAGTCTGCATAGAAGCGCAGAAGGATACGGACGTTCGATGCTCGCTCAATAGTACGTTAGCCAACGGATGGCGGCGCTGTAATCATTCCCTCCGTCTCTCTTAATCTTATGGCGATATATAGCGAATTGCATTCTTTCTTTATCTTACCCCCAATACTCGCCCTTCTATATGCGTCTCTCTTCCTCTTGTGTGTAAGATATCGTTGGCTAACTCATGCGATCTCTCTTTTACCCCCACTTTTGGTTTATTAGCCAACTTTTACAGCATCAAGCGCTAATATAGAAGCCCAGAAGGATACGGACGTTCGATGGTTGCTCAATAGTACGTTAGCCAACGAATGGCGGCGCTGTAATCATTCTCTCCATCTCTCTTAATCTTATGGCGATATATAGCGAATTGCATTCCTTCTTTATCTTACACACAATACTTGCCCTTCTATATGCGTTTCTCTTCCTCTTTGTATGTAAGATATCGTTGGCTAACACATGCGATCTCTCTTTTACCCTCACTTCTGATTTGTTAGCCAACTTTTAGAGCATCAAACGCTAACGTAGAAGCCCAGAAGGATACGGGCGTTCGATGCTCGATAAATAGTACATTAGCCTACGGATGGCGGCGCTGTAATCATTCTCTCCGTCTCTCTTAATCTTATGGCGATATATACCGAATAGCATCCTTTCTTTATCTTACCCCAATACTCGCCCTTCTATATGCGTCTCTCTTCCTCTTTGTATGTAAGATATCGTTGGCTAACACATGCGGTCTCTCTTTTACCCTCACTTCTGATATGTTAGCCAACTTTTAGAGCATCAAGCGCTAACATAGAAGCCCAGAAGGATACGGACGTTCGATGCTCGCTCAATAGTACGTTAGCCAACGGATGGCGGCGCTGTAATCATCTCTCCACCTCTCTTAATACATAACTGTTAAGTTACTGCATTGTAACAAATGCCACGTAACTAGTTAGCTCTATGTTACGTAACTGTTAGGTTATTACATTGTAACAAACGTTATATTATTTATTAATTTTAAGTAACGTCCCTGTTAGGTTTGGTGTTCAGTGGGGTATGGTATTTTACAAGACAATCGCCAAGTTGCATCCTCGGTTTGTCGGGGAAATTATTGCAGTAATATGTCGTTTAATGTCTTTCGTCAGCTTATTTCGTTGAGAGCAAACCTTCCGTAGGAACGTAATATACATGAAAACCGTCGAAAAGCGTGGGATCACCCAACCCTGATCGAAGGGAAGAGATGTCTGGAATACAGTGAATCTTCTCATTTGACAGGGAAACTCGTCCTGGCGACCGTGGTGGGGATTTCGCACAGGAAGCCCCAGGGCGAGCAGCTCGACCAGGCCAACCCGGTGAGGAACGACGAGACCGGGCTCTGGCAGTGCCCCTTCTGCTTGAAGAACGACTTCCCGGAGCTCTCCGAGGTCTGGAACCACTTCGACGCCGGCGCGTGTCCTGGGAAGGCCAGCGGGGTGAGGCTGAGGCTGGACAACGGACTCTCCGGGTACATCCACGTGAAGAACCTCTCCGACAAGCACGTGGCCAACCCTGAGGAGCGCGTCGGGGTCGGGCAGATCATACATTGCAGGGTCACGAAGATCGAGGTCGATCGATTCAGCGTTGAATGCACCAGCAAGAGCAGCGACCTCGCGGATAAGAATCACGAGTGGAGGTACGACTTTACTTCCTGTTGGCGTTAACACTTTACCGACCGGAGGCCTATTAACACACTCGCGACCGCTGACGTGAATTCACGACTTTCAAGTTCTATTCCTGGTTGCCGCTGACGTGATTTCACGTCATTTTAAATTCTATTCCTTGTTGCCGCCGACGTGATTTCACGTCATTTTAAATTCTATTCCTTGTTGCCGCTGACGTGATTTCACGTCATTTTAAATTCTATTCCTGGTTGCCGCTGACGTGATTTCACGTTATTTTAAATTCTATTCCTGGTTACCGCTGACGTGATTTCACGTCATTTTAAATTCTATTCCTGATTGCCGCTGACGCGAATCACGTCCATAACGATGCATGATACAAGTTTGCGGCAAGCAGTTTCAGAATTTCATTATTTTCGCCGATATTCAGTATTTGAAACGGAACAAATTTGCCGGTCGCGAATGTGTTAAGGTGAAGTGAAACCCCCTTCAAATCAGTCGATTCGAGTACAACACTTTTTTTTAAGGGTATTAGACCAAACTGTCCGAAACTTTGACACGTCACTCCTGATCATCTAAGAATTGTCCTGACGCATTCAAAATTTGGATTTTTCAACAAAATGTTTTAACTCAGTCCAGACCAGAACCAAAATGGCGTCGAGCTTTCATATTTCGATCGATATACAATTATCGAAGGCTCCGATATGAGAATCGAAAGGGTCAGGACAATTTTACGACAATTTAGAACACTCTGGTAATCGATAAACTCGCATTTGAACGGGATAAAGGCAAAACAAGTGTTGTATGCGCTTCTATGCCAAAACGATGGCAATACGAGGTCTCGGAGTGAAAATTTAATTGATCTAGAAATCACAGATGGCGCAAGGTGTCCCTTTGCAGCTAATTAGGGTCCCAGAAAGCATGAATCCAGAGGATTTCTGGAGTTTTACTTCGATTTCTTGATATATTGTACGAAAACGACAGGTGGAGTATGCCATTTGATACAATATCCCATATAACTCGACACAGCTGTCAATATAAAAACGAACGTCGGCAACATAGGCATTTAGAAAAATCTTCTTTATCGACGTCGATCAAGTTCCTCGATGCGTTTCACTTCACCTTAAGCGCACCGCTAATCATACGGTACCCATTGGCATGGTTATGTTTGCCATTCCACGTGGTCAATTTCACCATTTGTGTGGTTTCACATTCCACGGTATTTTAACCATGTTATAGTAACTGTAACCAAATTACCTTTATATATGATTTTGTTTGCCATTCCATGTGGTCAGTTTCACCATTTGTGTGGTTTCACTCCACACGATATTTTAACCATGTCGCTACAATAATTATAGCTAAATTACCTTTATATATGATTATGTTTGCTAGTCCACGTGGTCAATTTCACCATTCGTGTGGTTTCACTCCCCACGGTATTTTAACCATGCCGTTATGGCAACTGTAACCAAATTACCTTTATATATGATTGTTTACTATTCCACCATTTGTGTGGTTTCACTCCACACGATATTTTAACCATGTCGGTGTAATAATTGTAGCCAAATTACCTTTATATATGATTGCTATTCCACCATTTGTGTGGTTTCACTCCCCACGATATTTGAACCATGTCGCTGTAATAATTGTAACTAAATTACCTTTATATATATATGATTGTTTGTTATTCCACCATTTGTGTGGTTTCACTCCCCAGGATATTTGAACGATGTCGTTATAGTAAATGTAACGAAATGACCTTTTTGCTCCCAGGCCGCAGCGGGACATCTTCTACGACACGGAGGCCGAGGAGAAGGACACGAAGGCGGAGGAGGAGACGAAGAAGGCGCGACAAAGGCAGACCTACGTGAAGCGCGTCATCGTCCACCCCTCGTTCCACAACATCGGCTTCGCCGAGGCGGAGAAGCTGATGCAGACCATGAAGCAGGGCGAGGCGATCGTCCGGCCCAGCAGCAAGGGGGCGGACCACCTGACGGTTACCTGGAAGGTCACCGACGACATCTACCAGCACATCGACGTCCGCGAGGAGGGCAAGGAGAACGCCTTCTCCCTCGGCCAGAGCCTCTGGATCGGCAGCGAGGAGTTCGAGGACCTGGACGAGATCATCGCCCGCCACGTCAACCCCATGGCCGCCTACGCCGCCGAGCTCCTCGACTTCAAGTACTACAAGCCCGTCGTCGAGGGCATCAAGGACAAGGCCGAGGAGATCCTCAAGGAGCAGAAGAAGGAGAACCCTGGAGGCATCCCCTACATCGTCTCCGCCGCGAAGGTGAGGATCCTGCGGTTGAAAGTGGTCGCGTACCCGGGGAAATATAGGAGCCTTAAGGTGATATCAAAGTGTGATATGTACGTAACAAAAAGTCAAAATATTTATAATTCTTTTCTCCTAATTGGGTGCACCGAATTATCTAAAACTTTAACGCGTGATTATGGAGGCTCTAAGGAATAACGCGCTGCTCGTGAAATTTCTTTTTTCGAAAAAAATGTACTTACCTTGGACAAGAACCAAAAAAAGATATTTTCTTTTTTTTGGAAAATGAAATTTTACGGTCAGTGCGTAGTTTCTTAGAGCCTCCATAATCAAGTGTTAAAGTTTTAGATAATTTGGCGCACCTAGTTTGGAGAAAAGTTTTATATATATTTTGACTTTTTGGTATGTATATATCCACTCTTTCGATGTTTTGCGCTTCTTGGAGGCTTAGAATCGAAAATGAAGATTTTCAGGTTTGAACAATTTAGAATACCGTAGAAATGGAATATTACAGAGTCAGATGGCAAGATGTAAATACTTTCACCAACGATTGCAAAAGAATGCTGGGTTATCCAGCGGGTAACACGTGTTTTTGGAGCAAAAATTTAGTTACAGCTAAACGTCACAGATGGCGCCGTTAGTCCTAAACAGTCGCCAGAATAATGAATTCCCGAGATTTTGACCGTTTTACATTTGTTACTGATGTTTACAAGAGAATCCTGGCTTGTCTCGTGATAAACGCGTTTTTGGAGCAAACATTTAGTTGCAGCTAAACGTCACAGATGGCGCCGTTGGTCCTAACCAGTCGTTAGAATGATGAATTCACGAGATTTCGACCGTTTTACATTTGTTACCAATGTTTACAAGAGAATCCTGACTTGTCTCGTGATAAACGCGTTTTTGGAGCAAAAATTTAGTTGCAGCTAAACGTCACAGATGGCGACGTTGGTTAATCAAAATATAAACAGTCGTGAATTCATGGTATTTCGGCAGTTTTACGTCGATCTTTTTATCATTACTTTACCGAAATGCCATATAGAACCCTTCAGTTCGTATAATTCTCAACGTAGACTGTAAGAGACTTCAACATAAATATAAATGTCGGTAACGGGACGCGCCATCTTCTGTTCCCCCTTGAGTATTCAAAACGGCATTACCCTCAAAAAGGGTATAAATGAATTTTACTTTATCGACCTAAATTAAATTTCTTAGCGCCTTCCATATCCTTTTAAAATAACCAGCTAAACCCGTTGTCGAAAACATTGAAAATTTATAAACGTTGAGTCCTTTTGTTGGTTGATACAGCAGATATCTATTTTTTATTAATTTTATCGCCAATCATTACCACCAAGAAGGATATAGATGAATTTTACGTTATCGACCTAAATTAGATTTCTTAGCGCCTTCCATATCCTTTTAAAATAACCAGCTAAACTCGTTGTCGAAAACATTGAAAATTTATAAACGTTGAGTCCTTTTGTTGGTTGATACAGCAGATATCTATTTTTTATTGAAATCGAATACTTAGTTAATTCGCCACCTTTTCGAGCATCAGGCGCTGACGCGCCATCTTGTGCGGAACTACTAAATTATTTGCCATTTGTCGTGAACTAATGCCGATCATTCCAGAACTACCCGGGGAAATTCCTGCTGTCGTATCTTCCTCGGGTTCGATGTCGACACGAGTACGTGACGGTGTCGCCAGATGGCTTCAGGTTCCGCGGGCAGATGTTCGGCAGAGTGAGCGACCTCTTCCGCTGGTTCAAGGAACACTTCAGGGACCCGGTGCCGGGCCAGTCGACCCCCAGCACGCCCAGAGGAGCCATGACCTCCAGGACGCCGTATCTCACCACACCCGGAGGACCAGTAGGAGGTTAGACCGGATAAATATAGTTTCAGTTACTATAAGATTCGTACTAAAGCCAAGAGGATACTAAACTGTTAGTAAATAGTTGCAGATATCAATTTATAGTAGATTAAACCATTAATTGCGTTTCTTTAACGAAAATGGCTTTAATAGGCTCAAATTGTTCAGTTTGCCAGGTCCTTTTCTCTCAGTGAAGGTTCAGAAATGATGCAAAGACAGTTATAGCGCGATCAAGAAACTCGGTAGAGTTTCGAGCCAAATACATTTTTAAGCGAGATAATTCGTAGCTTTGAGTGACGCAGTAGGAACTTAATGGAAAGACATGTTATTATAAAATTCATGGAAAAGCGGAGAAAGATTCAAAAATGATGCAAAGACAGTTATAGCGCGATGAAGAATCACGGTAGAGTTTCGAGCCAAATACTTTTTTAAGCGATATAATATGTAGCTTTCAGTGATGCGGTATAAACTTAATAGAAAAACATGTTAACATTAAATTTATGTAAACGCAGAGAAAGGTTCAGAAATGATGCAAAGACAGTTATAGCGCGATCAAGAAACTCGGTAGAGTTTCGAGCCAAATACATTTCCTCGCGAGAAACTGATAGTTTTGTGTGATGCGGTATAAACTTAATGGAAAGACATGTTAACATTAAATTTATGGATAAGCGGAGGAAGGTTCTGAAACGATACAGTCAGTTAGCGCGATGAAGAAGCACGGTAGAGTTTCGAGCCAAATACATTTTTCATCGAGAAATGGGTGGCTTTCAATGATGCGGCATAAACTTAATGGAAAGACATGTTAACATAAAATTTATGGAAAAGCGGAGAAAGGTTCGGAAACTATACAAAGACAGTTACAGCGCGATGAAGAAGCACGGTAGAGTTTCTAGCCAAATACATTTTTCATCGAGAAATGGGTGGCTTTCAATGATGCGGCATAAACTTAATGGAAAGACATGTTAACATAAAATTTATGGAAAAGCGGAGGAAGGTTCAGAAACGATGCAAAGAAAGTTACAGCACGATCTAGAAACTCGGTAGAGTTTCGAGCCAAATACATTTTCTCACGAGCAACTGGTAGCTTTGAGTGATGCAGTACGAACTTAATGAAATGACATGTTATTATAAAATTCATGGAAAAGCGGAGGAAGGTTCAGAAACTATACAAAGAAAGTTACAGCGTGATTAAGAAACTCGGTAGAGTTTCGAGCCAAATACATTTTTAAGCGAGATAGTTCGTAGCTTTCAGTGATGCGGTATAATCTTAATGGAAAGACATTCATGTCGACGTAAAATGTATGAAAAACGGTCGTTTCTTTATATAATTGACGCCACCATGTAACGTTTCAGCCATGAACCAAGAGGCGATCCAGAGGGTGGCGCAGAATCTGCCGCACCACATGCTGCACTCCTTGTCGCAAGTGGCGAACCACACGCCCCACCACTACCACCCGCCACACACTCCTGGGGCCGGCAGCACGGCGGGGTACGGGGGCCTCCACACCTACCCCAACACGCCGTACACGCCGTCCGGACAGACGCCCTTCATGACGCCCTACCAGACGCCGCACCAGACGCCACATCACACGCCGCACCACGGCCAGCCCACGCCGCGATACGGCCAGCAGACGCCGAGCCACCACCAGGGTCCCTTCCTGCACCCGGCGGCGCCCGGCGTCGCCCCCACCCACCACCGTGCCACCCCCTCGCACCGCCCCACCCCGCCGATGCCCGCCCAGGGCGACCCCACCGACTGGAAGAAGGCCGCCGAGGCCTGGGCCATGAAGCGCAGCGCCCCGAGGATAACGTAAGGCTCCGTTTCCTTCTATCAGGAAACTCGGTAGAGTTTCGCGCCAAATACATTTAAGAGCATGCGCGAACGGCACCGAATACTTTACGCCAAAATTCGGCCCGTCAATTCGATAGATATCTTTTTTTATTTCGAATTAGAGAACCTATTATGGACTCGTGCTTGGCATAATGAAAGTACGTTCCGTTTTGTAGAGCCTGTAATTTTTTCAGATTTTTTAGATTGGGTTGTCTCGTCATTTCGTGCGGGTTTGTTTCTTTCATTTTTCATTTAAAACAAAAATTAACATAACAATCAATGATATTGGCGCAATTTTGAATCTAAATAAAAAAGCACGAAGTTAGGAGACAAACCAATAGATCGCCTCCTTTTGCGTGACTTTTAAGGAGAGGTGAAACACGTTGAGAAATTTCATCGACGTCGGTAAAAGAGATCCTTGTAAATACCTGCCTTGCCGACGTTCGCTTTTATATCGACAGCTCTGTCGAATTATATTGGGCTGGTTCATCAATCCTTAAGATGATATGAAAGTGTGATATATATACATAACAGAAAGTTAAAGTATTTATAAAACTTTTCTCTAAACTGGGTGCACCGAATTATCTGAAATTGTAACACGTAATTATGGAGCCTCTAAGGAAGGACGCGCTGCCCGTGAAATTACATTTTTCGAAAAAAAATATATATATCTTCTTTGGTTCTTGTCCGAGATAAATGCAAAATTTTTTTCGAAAAATGAAATTTCACGAGCAGCGCATTCTTCCTTAGAGTCTCTGGAGAAAAGTTTTATAAATATGTTGACTTTTTGGTACGTATATATCACTCGAGATGTATATATCACACAAGAGTCAGGCTATATATTAAACTACGTAGCAAAAATTTAGTTGCAGCTAAACGTCACAGATGGCGCCGTTCATCACCTTAAGGGGATGCGAAAACGGTATCTGAGAGATTAACCGTTCATAAAACTTCTCCGAACTGGAAGCCCCGAATCATATCAAACTTTACAATGTGATTGTAAAGTCTTTAAACAAGGTCTGGACACTCGTGTAATTTCATTTTTTATAAAAAAAATTTTGAAAATATCTATAAACAAATAGAGAAAAAAATTAAAATGTGTCAGGACCTTCCATGTACCCTCCATATTTATTTTGTAAAGTTTGAATCGATTCGGTACATTTAATTCGGAGATAGGTTTAATAAGCGATGTCTCGACTTCACTTTCATATCACCTTAAAGCTTTTCTTTTTATTCGTTTCAGTGGAGGCACGCCCCGATACGATGACGTCAGGGAGACGCCGCGAGGCTACGACGACGTCACCTCCGGGAGGAGCACCCCGCGCACCAGAGCGCCGTCCTCCCGCACTCCGTCGTACAAGTCGCCCCGGGGAACACCCAACACGAATTCTAGTCCTCGGAGCATGTCCCTCAGTGGGGACGGCACGCCCCTCTACGACGAGAGCTAACGGAATTGACTTTTCTATTAACGCGTTAACGCCAATATCGATAAGGGCCTGCGGAGCCGTTCACATTATTGCAGTAATCTCCCGGAGATCGTAGAGCGGCGGTCAGTGTTGCCTCTATCGCGATTGGGTGGGTAGATAACATCTGACAATTAGAGTAGATTCACTATCGGCTACACTGCGGGTAGAGACCAGGAGGACGAACACAGTGCTGTAGAAGTGTCTGGGAAATAGGGCAAAGATTCGCTAGGTGGCGACACACTCGTTTGAAGACCACTATTTGATTAAAGCGCGGGATCTAAACTTGCAAACGTACAATTGCGATGCAGTTGTACTTATAAGTGTCCGCGAAATAAGGTAAAGATTTGCCAGGTGGCGCTACATTCGTTTGAAGACCACTACTTGACTAAAGCGCGGACTTGAACTTGCAAACGTACAATTGCGATGCAATTATTAGTTGCGCCACATTCGTTTTAAGACCATTACTTGACTAAAGCGCGGACTTGAACTTGCAAACGTACAATTGCGATGCAATTATTAGTTGCGCCACATTCGTTTTAAGACCACTACTTGACTAAAGCGCGGACTTGAACTTGCAAACGTACAATTGCGATGCAGTTGTACTTATAAGTGTCTGCTAGGAGGCGCCACATTCGTTTGGAGACCACTTACTTGACTAAAGCGCGGATCTGAACTGGCAAACGTACAATTGCGATGCAGTTGTACTTATAAATGTCTGCGAAATACGGTCAAGATGTGCTAGGTGGCGCCATCTTCGTTTGGAGATCACTACTTGACTAAAGCGCGGGATTTGAACTTATAAACGTACAGTTGCAATGTGGCTATACTTATAAGTGTCCGAAAATTAGGGTAAAAATTTGCCAGGTGGCACCACATTTGTTTGGAGACTACGACTTGACTAAAGTGCGGGATCTGAACTTGCAAACGTACAATTGCGATGCAGTTGTTCTTATAAGTGTCTGCGAAATAAGGTCAAGATGTGCTAGGTAGCGCCACCTTCGTTTGGAGATCACTAATTGACCAAAGCACGGGATTTGAACTTGTAAACGTACAGTTGCAATGTGGCTATACTTATAAGTGTCCGAAAATTAGGGTAAAGATTTGCAAGGTGGCGCCACATTTGTTTGGAGACCACTACTCGAATAAAGCAAGGATCTGAACTTGCAAACGTACAATTGCGATGCAGTTGTACTTATAAGTGTCTGCGAAATACGGTAAAGATTTGCTAGGTTGCGTCACACTCATTTGACAACCACTACTTGATTAAAGTGCGGGATCTGAAATTGCAAACGTACAATTGCGATGCAGTTGTACTTATAAGTGTCCGCGAAATACGGTCAAGATGTGCTAGGTGGCGCCACCTTCGTTTGGAGACCACTACTTGACTAAAGCGCGGCATTTGAACTTACAAACGTACAGTTGCAATGTGACTATACTTATAATTGTCCGAAAATTAAGGTAAAGAGTTGCTAGATGGCGCCACGCTCGTTTGAAGACCACTACTCGAACAAAACGCGTTTATCATACCGAATGTAAAATTATCATACATTTCATAATTCTGCACGGACCTCGGAATTTGTTAGGTTATACCCGTTTGTGGCTTGCAGGTTATACAAAACGTTTCCAAGTGCTCCCACCGAGGGCGCTGCTACTCGAACTACCGGACAACTCTTAACTGAAAGTAAAAATAACCTAACTGAAAGATATCTTCCGGATTACCTTATCAGGAACTTATCCATACGTGAAAAACCGGGAACTAGAAATAAATTGGAGAAGGTATAAAAATTGAAATTGACTAATAAATTCGTATTAACAGTGGTAGAATCTACTCCGATCGCAGCAATAGTGGCAACACTGACGACAACTAACGCCTTGACGTTGTGTATGTATAGCTATGTATACACTAGCGTACGGATGCATATGTATGTGTTCAGGGAGTCTAGAAATATGTCGCCGGCATTCCCAGGGGAAAAGTAAAAGTACTTTGTCTAAGTTAATTTTTATTTCATTGCGCCGCGTTCGTAATCGAGGTCTGCAAAGTTGCACGAATTAGGAAACACTTTTAGCTTGTTGTATGTTTATTTCTGTGGGTGATTTCCCTTTAGTACATAGTATAAACTACGGGTGGCGCTTAGATAGGTTCAGTTTTGAAATTTGAATACAAAATATGATATGCAATGATATTTGTCGCGAAACGTTGTACAGACCACGGGACATTAGTTCTTAAAAATATCTTCTAAATGTAAACTATTACGTGTGAGGCTTTTTTCTAGCTTGTCACTCGGTCAAAACTGAAATTGTTTTCGAGCCATCCTATACAATGCTACATAAAGTATGCAAATATATACATATCTATATGTGTATGCAAATATGTGCAAAAGAATATGCAGACAATTGCGAGAAATTATTACAATTAGTTTGCAAAACGTAGATTAAGTACTATTGTTATAGGTTCTTAGGATTCCAGCAACTCTTTTATGCGTACTACGCATGCGCGGAGGAGAGTAGGTCGATGCGCGCCAATTTCAAAATTTTTGGTTTAAAATGGAATTGCCTCCGTTAAAACGTTGGCATCGTATACCGTAATTAATCAGTTAAATGAAAATTTGTTTATTTTATGTAACACTGACATATGCTGTATTAATTAGTTACGGTGGTTGGTTAATTTTTCTAATTATTCTTGGAGAATATGAGATATTAACGCTTGATAAATATCGTTTTCTCAGTTAGGAAGTTTGTTAGAGTCAGCCAAATGCTATTGTATGGTTGTTAATCATGATACACAGTTATTTTTAAACAGTGAACTAAATAATTGTCTTAAAATAAGAGACCGCCGGTATTTACAATGTTCATTAAGGGGGTGTGAAAGTGACATCTGGGGGATCCTTCATGAAACTTTTCGCTGAACTGTGTGTACCGAATCGTGTCAAATTTTACAATGTGAATATGAAGTCTATAAAGAATATCCTGACACTCATGAAATTTCATTTCTTGTACAAAATTTTAAAAATACCTATAAACAAATTTTAAAAACTTGAAATTTCATTAGTTCAGGACCTTCCTTATAGTCTCGATATTCACTTTGCAAAGTTTGAGATGATTTGGTACGTTCAGTTCGGAGAAAAGTTTCATGAACTCTTTGTCACCTTAAGGCGATTTGAAAGTGGCGTCAAAGAGGTCAATTGTTCATGAAAGTGTTCTTCGAATTGGGTGTACCAATTTATTTCAAATCTTGCCTCATGAATAAGGAGGTCCTAATTTGGGTCCTAAAACTCGCAAAATTTCATTTTTTACACAAAAATATTGAAAATATCTATAAACAAATTTGCATAAAATTGAAATTTCATTAGTTCAGGACCTTCCTTATAGTCTCGATATTCACTTTGCAAAGTTTGAGATGATTTGGTACGTTCAGTTCGGAGGAAAGTTTCATGAACGATACCTCTTTGTTACCTTAAGGCGATTTTAAAGTGGCGTCAGAGGTCAATTGTTCATGAAAGTATTCTTCGAATTGGGTGTACCAATTTGTTTCAAATCTTGCCTCATCAATAAGGAGGTCCTAATTTAGATCCTAAAACTCGCAAAATTTCATTTTTTATACATAAATTTTGAAAATATGTATAAACAAATTTGCTTAAAGTTGAAATTTCATTAGTTCAGGACCTTCCTTATAGTCTCGATATTCACGTTGCAAAGTTTAAAACGATTCGGTCAACAAAGTTTAGAAAAGGGTTTCATAAACGAATGCAACTCTTCGATGCAACTTTCACGTCACCCTAAGGTGATATGAAAGAAATTTTATTTATCAAAACGTGAGAATATTTATAAAACCTTTCTCCAAATTGAGTTCACCGAATCATTTGAAACTTCAGCACGTGATTATAAAGGCCATAAGGAAAAAAGCGATGCTCTTGAAATTTCATTTTTCGAAAAAAGAAAAGTTCTTTTTACATATCCTAGACTAGAACCAAGATGACATTTTTTTTGTAAAAAATGGAATTTTACGAGCACCGTGTTCTTCCTTAGAGCTTCCATAATCACGTGTTAAAGTATGAAATAATTCGGTGCACCCAGTTTGGAGAAAAGTTTTATAAATATTATAACGTTTCATGTATATAAAATGTCCCTTTCATATCATCTTAAATATAGATAGCGGAAACGGATTAAGAAGATTGGGTGATATATCAAGATGGCTGAAAACGTGTTTAGCGTATAATCGTTGATGCATAAAATGAAAAATGGATTTTCTGATTTGTGCAACTTTGCAGACCATTGTAAATGCGCTTTAAGGTGGGATGAAAGTGTCATTCTATACATATAAAACATAAAAATATTTATAAAACTTTTCTCCAAAATGGGTGCGCCGAATCATTTGAAACTTCATCGCGTGAAATTTCATTAAAAAAAAATAAAAATGTATTCTTGGTTCTAGTCTGGGATAAATACGATTCGAAACTTCAGCGCGTGAGATTTCATTTTTCAAAAAAAGTATGTATTGGTTCTAGTGTAGGATAAATAAAAACAATTTTTGATTAAAAATGAAATTTCACGAGCACTACGTTCTTCATTGGGGCCTCCATATTCACATGCTGAAGTTTCCAACGATTCGGTGCATCCAGTTTGGAGAATAGATTTATAAATATTTTTACGTTTTATGTATATATAGAATGATCCTTTCATATCACCTTAATATAATACCGACCCAAGACATGTCTCGTCATTTTATTTTATTACATTTTATCCTTATTTCCTCCCCAGAAATTTCGGTCACATCGTATTAGATACGAGTTTTTGGACCCCCTGTAAACATGTACATTAGAAATAAATATACATATATATTTATATATATATATATATATACATGGGGATTCGGTTCGATCGCTTTAACGTGGCTACACGTGTAACGATAAATCGTAGCGTTTAATTCGTGCAGTTAAATCGAGTTCTTTTGTGACGTGCACGCGTTTATACGTGTCAGTTAAATCTGTAGGTGTCGATGTGTACAGATTTATCGTAGCGATGCAACATTATACATGTAACGATAAATCGTAGCGATTAATTCGTGCAGTTAAATCGAGTTCTTTTATGACGTGCACGCATTTATACGTGTCAGTTAAATCTGTATATGTCGATGTGTACAGATTTATCGTAGCGATGCAACATTACAAATGTAACGATAAATCGTAGCGATTAATTCGTGCAGTTAAATCGAGTTCATTTGTGACGTGCACGCATTTATACATGACAGTTAAATCCGTATATGTCGATGTATACAGATTTATCGTAGCG